ACTAAATGGAAACCTGAGAAGAAAATGAACCCATCCCTGCCTTCGGGTTGTTACTCTTAAGAATGATCAGTCCGTCTCCGTGGCTGAGTTTTCCGAGAAACACTTCACTTGGTGCCGGCTATCCCGAAAGGAGTCCGCCATAAACATTTTCACATGCCCGGCCATAAAATCTGTGTGTTCCCTTGTTTATTTCGCAAAGTGAATCGGAATTGGGTTAGCATTTAGTGCCGCCTCAGCGGAAGTCAGCATAAGGTTGCAATGTGTGCTCGCCTCATTCACTTAGCCTCTGGTCATCAATGAGTGTTTATGGGTCTGCCCCGTGCTTCGCTCCTCTCCCGAATACCGCAAAAAGTGCAGCGACAGACAGCACGGATTTGATTACAGGCCGAAGTCGGTTCTTTCGGTAAATGTGTTGGCTCTTCCCGAGACATACTCAGCAGGAGGTCCCCTCCCTCACCCCAAGATCCTTGCCAAGAACCAAATATTCCCGGGCTAAAGATGACTTAATTGTATCAGCACCATCGGCAGCCGACGCTTGAAATTTGCCTGCTATCGAAAGTTGTTTTTCATGTTTGTTTCGCCGCTCGCCCACCAATCGGGGTTCTTGGGAAAGTGTTGTAGTCGCTGTTGCAAGCATGGCTTTTATCATGCAAGCACTTCAAGTGACAACCACAGATACATCGAGGCACTTCTCCACTTCGCATTCTTACATTTCCCCTGCATTATTTTTGGCGCGCTGTGGCAGCCAATCTGCTTTGTATCTCACGGATGCCTCTGCCAGATGTGCAGATGAGGCAATTATGAGAAATAGGAGATCGAAGTGCAAATTTCTCACTTTACTGGATACTTTACTGTAATAAACATTTTTAAATAACAAACAAAGAAATGTTCGTGAAAGCCTTTAAGAACATTATACATCAATTTTACGTTCACTTCTTCTTTCCTATGAAAATTCTATCCTCCTTCCAACCTTGCTAGCTTTTTTCACGATCTCAGGAGTCTGAGCAAGCCATAACTTATGCTGCCCATATGAGCCCCTTTGTTTTCGGTTTTGTATCTTAATTTTCAATATGCAAGTAATGAATGGTTGCAAGGTCTCGTTCCGTCTCCATATGCTGTAACTTGCAACTGACAACGGTTGGGACGGGACCCCTCATGAATAATGCAAGACCTTGAAACGCAGGCTGAGGAAAACACAATGATATCCGAGAGTTTTCCTTGCTGCTTCCAAAGGCAAATATCGCGGTAAGAATCCGGATTTCATTAGGCCTCAGTTCCTCGGGATTGCAGATTAAGACGCTGATTGTCACGACAAATTGTTAAACACGCCGCCTGCTCCCAGCCAAACCCAACCACAATGTGTGAAATTACCGATAGTTCTGGGTTGAGTTTTTGAAGTTCCAAAAAACCGTAAGAAGGTGGAATAGATATTCGAGGTAAAGCTTATTTATATTGATATTGGTAAACAGAGTAACGGTAATCTTAAAGTAGCGGCACTTGACTATAGCTTTCCATCATGTCAAATGAGTAGCAGCACTGACTTACAGGTCAGTTGGCTTGCCTTTCTCCTGCGGCACATAAACATGTCGGCAAACTCTGCCCTATCACCGGCCATAACTGACCTGACCAAACCCCAAAAAGCCTAGAGAGGCGACGAGGTGCATCGGGGGGTCGTAAACTTGGAGATTCATTAAGATGTACATCTTAATTGCGCCCGCAGCCGAAAAAGACGATCCTGTATTTCACTTTTCTCAAAACTGGGCTCGTTCGTTTGTCCATCGATGGCTGTATTGTTTTACGAGGAGTGGCTGTGACCCCAGCTAATTGATGAATTTATGGCCCAACATGGAGTGCCACAATGATTCCAATCACTTTTACCGATTGCCCTTCTTATCGCGTGCCTCCAGCTGCTGGTTCTTACTTTTCTAATTGGCTATCGTAGGGGCTGATCTGGCCCCCTGACAAGTAGGTGGGGTAAGACGGGAAAAGTCCGGAATTGCTTTCAGTGTATGGTTCGGTCTGCTCCGACGTGCCCCATTTCTGCCCAATCCCTTTTGTTTCCGTTGCCGAAACGGCTGGTTTCTTATTCCACTTCTGATTCCGCCACTCTGGCATCTATTTCGATCCATTCGCATCTTCAGCATTGTTTTTCTGAAGTGGCACGTACTGGCTCTTTATGGCGCACGCATGGTCAGCAGCAAAGCTGAGATGTGGCCAGTTGTTGTGGTTGCAATCAGAGCCCTAGATTGGAAGCAAGATAGGACAAGAAATGTGTAAAGTGTCTGGGAGTGTGATTGTTCAATAACAGAGATGCCAATATCTCGGACTTAACTAGCTGAACAAACTGTTTTTGATTTGCATGAATGCCTCAACTCATTTAGTTGTTCTTAAAACCGAATATTTCAGGTTTGATGCCTGATGTCTGGATGTTCCTTTTCGAAAAACACTTAGTTGGGGATTGTCTAATTGGATATCCTACAGACACGCTTACTTAGAGTTGTAATCCCACGAGAGGAGTTCCGCTTGCAGGGATCAGGGAGAAGTTTTATTTAAATATGCAATAAAATACAGTTGCCCTTCTTGTTGGGGACTCGTTGGCCATAGCTGCCACAAATATTTGATAGAGAATTCTCCGTCATCCTTAACCGCTGATTGGGCAACATGTGGAAAACAAAACAGCGGCACGAGATTGTTGAGTCAGGTGCCACTATTCCCAAAGCAACAAATTTCATTTTCCCGCCCTTGGCAACCGCAAAAAATTCTGAAGGGAAAACAACATCATTTAGATAAAAAAAAGTGACGCCTACAATTTGTATTATACACGCAACTACGAGTGCTTATATGCGAGTTTAGTCTGATTTACATACAATATTTATTCAGCTTCTAAACTGAAATGGATCTTACGAGGTGTTGTGAATGAATGGCCACTTGGGGGGGTCGGTGAGCTAAGCCATCCATATGAAAACGTCTTCTTTCATTTGCATATTTACGAGGGCTCCAACATTTAGTCCGAAGAATGCAAAGAGTGGGTGCCCGATAAACAATTTATAAGAGAAGCTATTTGTATTGATATCATGGCTATTATAATTTAAATATAAACTCAATTTATTAAGTTATGTTTACATTGAAGAAAGGCCTCGCCCTACTCCTGCTATTCAAGGACGCACAGAACCAATTAGTGGGCTGGCATATGGATGTGCCTTGTTCTAGTCATTTTGCTGACATCCTTTCTGATCCTGCATATTTTTCTAACCCTAAGCAAACACAAAATTGCCGACTAATTCTCTGGAATGCGGGTGGGTCCGAACTCATCTCATTTCACTTCTGATCGTTTGTATTGTCAGAAACCGGTTTGTTGGCATCCGTGACAGGAACAAAGATTCACGGGGGAGGAACATCGCTTTCCAAAACACGCACAGGACAACGATAATAGCTATGGCGCAGGATAATGCACACGCAAGCGTTCATACCATAGGAATTTTCTTGTAAACTTCATTGACAATCTCTTTGGGCTGGAAAATGGGAGAAGCCCACGCTTTTAAGTGGAAAAATGAAATGACGACCGAAACTTTTTATGACTCCACCATTTTAGATAAGAGCACAAATCGGTTGAAAGTCCCCTCCAAAATGCTAGAAGCTGATTCGAACTGAGCAAATTAAATTAAATCAGTCCATGGACAACGAAAGTGACAATAAAACCCAACGAGTGTCGGAGTTTTTGATTTTCCTGGCGGTTGGGGTGTCCGGTTCTCCAATTTTCGAGTTGCTTTGTCTGGTTTTAACGTCTTCGCTCTTAGCGTGACTTAAGTGGGCATGCAAACCATGTCAAACGTCACTTTCAGCTCAGTTCAGAACTGCAGCTGCACAGACACAGGGGGCGCCCTTTCGTCCTTTCCGTGCAGAAGGGAACGGGTTGCCTGACCTTCGGCATTGACTTGTGGATTGTAAGATTTGAGTTCCTGCCCTTGATTCTTGCCCAACACTTCCCACGCCTTCAAGAGGCAAGAGCCGCTACTGTTCTCGTACTTGCCCCATCGGAAGCTTGGCCAGCGACTCGAATTCCAGCTAATTGAGCTTTTGGGGCAACACGATCCGCTTTATGGAGAACGTCTGCACTTGATATGTTCCTCGAGACATGCATCCAAAATAATCAAAGTGGATCGGTTGTCTCGCATAACAAAATGTTTGTCATACCCAGTATGGGATAAGGGCAAAGAACTTGAGCATACGAGTAATACAATATGGAATAAATAAGATAGTCTGTGATAATAATAAAATATGATGCATTTCTGTGGTTCATATTAATATCTAAAGCTTTCTGTTCGATGAAAATAAAACTATGAACAACTGAGATATAAGAGTCTGTAAGAGGTGCTTTAGGATTTGTCATAGCGCCCTAGGAACTGAAACTTATTAGCCTTTGAGTGAAGCGCAGCATACTCAAAATATTCCTGAAATGTTCTTTGTTTCCTTCAAACCAGCAACCAACAGGGATCTAAAATACATATCTTGTATACAAGCGATATTGGTCTCTATGTCACCTAACAGCCTTCTTAACATTTACGACATTAAAAATGTATCTACAGAGAGCTGCCAAAACTGAGAGTTCTCTCTCACTGCGCTCCCGCTCTCATTCTCAGAAAATGTTACGGTAAAACATTTTTTTAACAGTGACAGAGGAACAGCAAAGGCCAACTGCTTTCGACTATATGTCATATAGTATATGAGAGTAAAAATGTATATGTGAAGGGTCGAGGTATTTTACAGTTTGTCGCATTATTATTTTAAGTTTTTTAAATTTATGATTTTCCTATTTGAATAATACAACGCTGATTTGCGACATACATTTATATAGTACCTTTCATACCATAAACAATCTATAGTACCAACTCTGTTAACTTTTACCAGTCACTGTGAACGGCACCGGGAGAGTGCTAAGGCTACGATATAGCAGTTGTACCTGGGAGTTCGCCGACGATTTATTCCAATTTAGACCGCACTGCGGAGCGGACCTAAGCGCTTCGAGATACGAAATACGAGATACGAGAACCGATTCGTGACAACCGACCGAAAGACACGGGGAGTAGCAAAATTGCTACGTTTGTGGTTTGGCAGAGTCTTTTGATTTTTCATTTCGTTTGTTTTTCGGCTACCCGCGGCTAAACTTGAAATTAAAGCTGATTCGGCGAAGCCAGATACAAGGTACATATGCAGATGTGAGCTCAGCGTTGAGCGGCGAATAAGCAACAGTGAAGTGATATAAAAGTGGCGAGATAACTCGCGATCCCACGTCGAGATACTTTATTTATATTGTCCTGGATTAAATATATCTAAAAACATCTCGATTGTGGCAGTCAACATGTCGTGCTAAGCTGCGACTGCTGCAGCTTAACTCCTGCTACATCCCGGACCACAGATCAGATCGACGGCACTCCCACGGACAGAAGATGATGGACAAGGCGACAAGCTCCTCCGTGTCGGTGTCCACCTCCTGCTGCAGTTCAAACGCCACAAATGCGGACCTGGACTACGACGTTCCCGTCTCGCGCCGCATCCTCATTAAATCGGTTAGTAGACCCTCGCGATAAGCCTAACCATAAGCTGCCGGACTTTACGTGGTGCAGATGAAGCCATCCTGGCTATCTTCGGGGCTCATCTGTGGAGTGTAGTTGGGCTGTAAGGAAACCGTAGCGGATTTCGCAACTTCTATCTTTGGCAGCTGTCAGGGGGAAAAGATTCCGGGATTTTGCGCCTTGCGTTCGCTTTTTCCTCGGTGCGACATCGTTTGATGTGGCACTTTACGGCGCAGGTGAGATATCGTCTTTGCCGTTATAACTCATTCGATGATGCCTACCTGTGCTTAATACATCAGAAGTGTTTTGTTGAAAACAGCATGAGCTCACCCTGATAAACAATCTACAAGTGATTCCCTCTATATATTTTGGTTCTTAGTTAAAGGAGCCTCTGATTAGATTGGAATCCAGTGTGATAAGATTGAGGCTTTGGGACTTAACTGAAAATAGAATAAGAAGCGAACGGATTAAGACTCAACAGCTTAATAGACTTTCACAGCTACAGTCTTGCCTGGCTCGCTCTTCTGATCTTAAATGAAAGCTATGATCTAAGGGCCGCCGTAACTGCAAGCTAACACTGATCAATAGATTCACACTGGCTTCTATTTTTATCAGGCCCTCAATCAATATCAGCTGCCTGCCCTCTACTTGACATTAATTTCCCAGCAATCCTGGCCAACAGTAACTTCTGGGACTCAAAAATGAAGTGTCGAAGAAGAAAAATGTTCTGTCTAGACGAATGCAGTGGGGTGCCCACTTAATCAGTGAGCGAGAAGAGATGTCCCTTAGGACGTAGCATGCGTGGTAATCCTCTGAGATAACCCTGTGCCAGACTCTCCCTTACATAATCTTAATTAATAATAATACCAGCGTTAGGGAGGAACTATATGGGTTTGTGGTCTTTTATCTGAATCTCTTTTACTTTTCTGACATTTTAGGGTTCTTGGCTTTGGGTGACGCTCTATTAAGACTGATTAGATTTGGCAGTGGAATCGTTTCTTCGATACGCCTTCGTAGCCCTGCGCTGGCCCTTATCTTTTGCCTTTTCTTCGGTCTCGCCTGCTCCCTCTGTCCGATAAGGGGTCGCCACCCAGGCACTGTCCGCTACGTGCGTGGTCTTGGCCTATGACGATTGGTGGCCTTGCTGGAACTCCCATTGATTTGGCTTGATTGTTTACGGGGCTCCTCGCTTGGCTCCCCCCAATCAATTAAATTTTCTGCAAGAAATCAACTGATTCCATTTGGCGCACTCTCAATTAGTCGGCCTTTCGTCAAGCGCACGTCCTCAGGACGCTTAGGAGTGGGGGAATACTTTTAATTCCCATCAGAAAGCGGAATGCTAATAAACCCTTTAGCCTTTCGTTTTGCTATCATAGAGAGCATGACACGCATGGAATTGCGTTTAAGTTGTGGATCAAACTAAGCTCCATGGAAGATATTTTTCCTATCACTATTAAATCCAGTCGCAGCTGACGCGCGAGGCCAAAGAACGCAGGAAACCCATCTTCGCATTTTTTCCGCTGTTTGCATTTTGAAATCTAAGCTGAGAACTGAACCGGCTTCGGGGCCTCCTCCAGGCCCTAAGAGCGGAGCGTCAATTACTTTTCGCATTTGTGCGCATTTGGAGCACATTTATTTTAATCTCACCTGTGCGTCTTTCGCTGCACGTCCGCATCTGTGATGGACGCACTGGTTCCCTGCCCCCGGCTACCCCTCAATTATGTGGCACTTTCTGCAAGCGACTTCTAGGCCCAAGAACCAGTATCCTCCGACTCCTGGACACCGGAGAGCTGGTCATTACAGAGCTCGAGATCATGTCCGAGACACGGCGGTGGTAATTAGCCGTTGTTGTTTATTTAATTTCAAGCATAATACAACCTCAGCCCCACAGTATTGCAATGGTGCAAGGGGGTAAGGGGGTAAGAATGCATTTTCATTTGCATTTGCAAGTACATCTCTCCACCAGACACACTCACTCGAACCGTGTAAAACTCGTTAGCACGTAAGCAAGCTAATTTATTTTAGAGCTCAAGTTGTGCAAACATTTGCGAATTCTAATTTGTCCAACGGGCTGCCATGGCTGCAGCTTCAGCCGTCTGCTATTGGCAGTTTTGAGTTGATGAATTTGGCAAGGTTAAGGCCCAGGAGGTGGCCCAGGCCAGAAGAGGTGACTGAGTGGAAATGGCCCCCAGGAATGTTAATAAAGCCAAGAGGGAAGGCAATTTGCAAGACCAATGGGGTAGCGGAGGAAAGGGCAGCTACGTAATTTCTGAATGCAACGCATTTTCCGGCATATCATATCGCCTTTGAAAAAGCACAACCAGCGAAGAAAAGACTTTCGCTTTTGTGCACTATAGTTTTTATCTTTTCGAGTTCGACACTCGAGTTGAGTCGCTTTCAGCTAAGTGAACGCGTAGTTCCCGCAGGAATTTACCCATTCATTATCTAACAGTCATGTGCCGCCAAGCGATCATTTCTGCCGAGCAAACATGTCGGCCAAATGGATTATAGGGCAACAGCTCTGTGCTCACGAATTGGTCGATAGTGAGTAAGTGTTTATAGACTAGTTGTAGTCTAGCAGAACGTGTCGGTTCCAAAGACAAGATGGGATAAGGGGTCGATAAGCCATCTAAACATTAGGTGGATACAGGAGCTGGGGCTATCAGGGACCCCCTGGAGTTTCCTTACTCAAAGATACACAATACCACACATTGTCGGCGTTTCTTTCTGCTACCTTCACAAGTTCAGATGACATTTATGAACAACAAATTACGTGAGAAGTCACGTTTTGTATTAAAAAGGCAAAAAGGATTGTTCGAAGTCCTTCACAAGTCGTAGAATATTAACCTTTATATTGTTGTTTAAGGCGTGTTGGCAGTGCTTACTGTTAATTATTTATTGCATTTTGGCCCTAAAAGAGATTGATCATTTGCACTACCCTACACCCTGCTTAAACCGGAAATTACGAAGACCCAGGCCTCCTCTCCAGATAAGAACGGCAAACGGGTTATAACGGAGTAATAAAAGTTACATGAAACCCAGTAGTGCAGTGATTCGAGCCAACCGCCTGCGGTGGCTGACGATCGCTAGCTACGGCTGAGACCACTTAATGGGCCCATTTACATCGAAACGGAGATGGGCTACCGGAGTTGCCTTCTGGCCCATTATACTCAACAAATAAGAACAATTACTGTCTTTCGAGATATTAAAAAACACTTATCTGTGAGTCGAGAAGTTCCTGATTGCCTTTATTTGGCGCTTAGATGATATGAAGAGTGGCTTGACGAGTGCTTCTACCAAAAAGGAAAAAACGAAAAATGCAAAATTTGAGAAAAAATTTGCTTTCGAAAATCATCACAAAAATGATGCAGAAAGTTGGTTAGGGTCATAAGCTGCACAGAACAGTCTTTCTTTTGGTTCTGCGTCTTCTTTTGAAAAAGTTATAAGCATAACACTGGGAAAAAATATCGCAAATTTTACTCAAAGTCATAATTTTGATAATCCCCCAAAATATCAGTATTTTCCCCATTACAAAGACAAAAATCATCATATCATGGAATGTTATACCTCGTTGAGTTCGTATTTAAATTCCCCGTCGAACTGTGTACCACACTCAAAAAGTGAATTTTTTCAGATTCTTCGTGAATTTTTATGATGTTTCCTAAAATTCGGAAATCGGTATGTCCCGATTTGTGTCTCAAAATATCAGTATTTCCTTCATTACAAAGCCAAAAATGGTCGGAATATGGAATGCCATATGTCGTTAGGCTTGTATTTCAATCTATTTTCAAAATATCGAAGTGCAATTCAAATCTGAAGAAAAAAATATTTTTTCAATTTTTTGAAAAAATGATAATGGTACCCCTTACAAAAAAGTGAAATTTGACAAAAAATTTAATTTCCGAAAATCATTGCCATACCCACATAGGAAGTTTGCTTGGGTCGTAAGCTGCACAAAACAGGCTTTCTTTTGGTTCTGCGTCTTGATTTGGCAATGTTATAAGCATAACACTGGGGAAAAATATCGCGAATTTTACTAAGAAGTCACAATTTTGATTTTATGCTTAATCTATCAGTATGTTTCACACAACATTGCCAAAAATGGAACGAAATACTCTTTGAGTAATTTAATTCTAAATAAAACTGCATTCAAACCTTAACAAATCCAAAAATGGTTCGAAGATGGAATCCCATAGTCATCGTAGGTCCGAAAATGGTAAAAAAAAAGGCGGAATACTTTGGACCATTAAGCTGCGTGGGCCACAACAGCAGAAGAAGGTCGTCCATCATGGCTGGATAGTGAACGAGAAAACTGGGAAATGCCAGAGATAACATTTTTCAAACCCGACACTCAGAGTTCAATTTTCAGTAGTCCTGATATTTAAACTGGTTTGAAGAGAATAAGAGTTTAAGAGGCCGCGAACCATTGGAGATTCCCCAGGCATGAGTCACGTCCGGGGCATTCCCCTCACCTGATCTCATTGTTAGTCAATGGGGCTTAATTGTATTGACTTCCCGAGGCGGGGGAAGTTTGTAAAATAAATCTTGTAAATTGGTCAAGGGGTTGCCCTCAATGTTAATTGAATGAAGGAGGCACGAGATTTCTTGCCCCCAGAGAAACTGTTTTCAGTACAATTTTGTTGCTTACGGAATTCCTCTTTCACTTTTATGACTTTGAATGCTAACTCTGCTCGACTGAACGATCTTTGTAGTTTATTGGCTTTAGTATATAGTCTCTGTGTTTTGTTTATTTTCAATTCTTTATAAATAAATTGATGCCAATTAAAACAAATGTACAGAAATGTACACACGCAAAAAGTTGTGGAACCGCTTGAAACTTTTTGTTCATTTGCCACAAATGAATGCTAACTGCTTCGCTTTTCTTCTTTCCTTAGCGAATTCATTTTGCAACGTTTTTGCGTATTTCACTTGAAATAGCTGCGAAGGTCGACCGTACTTTGTGTAAACTCCGTTTTATTTGTTCTTTTATATTCAAAATCAACAGTTGGCAATTTGTTTTCAGTTATTATTCGAATTGCTTCATGAGTCACTTTCTTGGCAATGTGTTGCGATCGAATTGTATTCAACAGGCAGAATGAAGCGTTTCTAGCCAACGTTAACGTGGTAAACGGATTACCGGGTATCTAGAAATATCTTTTGTTGTTTTTGCGGTTCATTTTTGATTGATTTTTGAATTTATTGCTAATTGGGAAGGCTAGTGCTACCGATGATATCGATTTCCCTGTCAGTGACTTGCTTTCGGCTCACTGGCTTCATCCTAGACGAACTGCTGACCCGGAGTGACATGTGGCCGAGAAGCTAGAGTCGACTAGGTGCACTTGTCAGTGCAACTTATCGTCAATGGCGCCTTGATTTCAACCCAGTCTCGATTCGGAACGTGTTTCCCTGCTCAAGCTGCCCCGAGTCGGGGGTTTATTGTCACGCCGCATTTCGAACTGATTTTCTTGCTTTGCTGTTTTATACCCGCCTAAAAGGTATATTGTATTGTGAATTGTGAATGAAAGGTTTACATATACATATATATTTCTGAACAGAGTCACTTGAAAAGTCGAACTTCCGATGTCGAGCTGTCTGTCCATAGTAAATTCAATTCAAAACTTAAATTACATAACAAATCCAACAGAAGGGGCTTAAAAGAGTATACGATAGTCGGGACACTCTAATGAAATCTTCCATTTTGTTTTTTTTGCAAGCAAGAAGCTGACGAAATGTGTCGAAAAGGCCGCTGTAAACATTTTGTTTATTTTCGCAAACGGAAACCAGTTCAGCGCGACATTTCCCGTTTTATTACAAGCAAAACCTAAATATTTCATATTCGTCGCTGGCCGACTCACCGCATTTCTTAGAAATGTATCAGCCCTAGTAAAGGTCCAAAGTCCGCTTATCAACTGTCGAACGCAGATCGATCGGATCTAAAAGCTAGAAAGACCGCTATAGTCAAAAGCGGTTTCTGTTTCAACATTTTCAGGGTTCAATTTTCATACATAACATTCTGGTAATTAGATTTGACAAAATGTTATCCGTCAGTTGAGTCAGCTCTTGATTTCAGACTATTATTAGAGGGGCACATGTTATCAGTTGAATGCTGAAAACCAGCTCGCGTTTCTATATAAAATATTGCCGAGCCATCGCCATTGATTGAAGCCGCTTTTTCGCTTCCTATGCTGACCAGCACTTAAGAGTCAAATGCTCCTTAACGATCTCTTCAGACAGCGGGATGAAAACAAATTGTCATCTCTCAAAAAAGATGTGGAAATTTATGGATTATTGAGTGCTCATTAAGACTTTTGTCGGCGGCTCCTTCGCACTTTAAATCTAAATCTCTGCTGCCAAAGGAAGATGCCAAGCCTGAGTTATTGGTCGGTCTTGGTTCTGGAAGACATTAATAACTCTCTGAAGCAAGGGATTGGGACTGGTACATCACTAAAACATATAGGTTATTTTTTTAAGATTAATAACAAGTACTTAGCGAGATGGTACAGGATGTGGGAACCTTTCAGTTCCGTTTTCGAGTTACGGGAAGGCAGTCAGAGAAAAATGCCCTAAACAAACCAATTAAAGTCATATGAGCAAACAAGCAAACAACTGTAGAAAGGCCCCAACTTTTGTAACCGAAATGACACACAACAGAATTGATTTTTATTTGCCGGCAGACACAGCCTGAGTCTTCCAATTCTCGACTTTAGATGTTTGCCTCTTCAATTAGCGCTGTGTCAAACGCCGAACTGGCGAGATGGCAGCGAAGAAAGCAGCGAGTTTTGAGTCTGTGGGTCTTCGGGTTGTAGAGCTGTTAGGCCCCAACCCAGCAAACATTGGATCTGTTTGTTTTTGTTTGAGCAACACACAAGGTCCAGACACTGAACTTCGAGTGCGCTCATTATTCTTTTGACATTTGAAAGCTTTCGATGTGCTTTCGAAACTGAAAAGTAGAATAGCCGAAGCCGGCAGGTAAAACGGGTTTCGAAACTACCTACCTATGTACAAAAGTTGTGTACATCAAACCTGAGCAGCGGGTTAAAAGTTCAGTAGCGATTAAACGCTCCGTATTGTAATCGCGGGCTCACTCGCCGTCTTTCACTTTTCCTACACAGCAAGCAACTGAGCAGTATTTGTATTGGATAAGTTGGCTCGTTCAAACCCAGACTTCTACTTCGTTTCAAAAATTTGAACTCTTTGCCCTGTGTATGTGGTGGGGAATGGGGTAGTGTTTCGGGCTAAGAGGCAGTGAGGAAAGGACTAGTCACGGTTGCTTTGTTTTCTCTGCTTCTTCTGGGGAGTTCAAACGTTAGTTTTGCATTTTTGTTGGGGGCTGTGGCAAACTTAAAAGCACAATGCTTTGCCCACTAGACTCACTGATTCATGCTCACTCACACAGGGACACTCATATTCATTGATTAAAAAGTTTCCGTTGATTCATAGTCAAAGTCAACTATAAATAAGAAGACGTTTAGACTTGGAAATAGAGTAAGTTTAGTATGAATGAGCAGTTGAGCAGTGTCCAAAAGTGTTTGAAGATCGAGGAGCGTCTAATGAATTACCATGTTGAACTTGTTGAAAAGCAACCCGAAATCGGCTTAAAGAGAACCACACAAAGTTGGCCTTAAATTCCATCTCAACTAATTAACAAAGTTGCGGTTTGGTACGAACAAAAAACAAAAACCTTTTTTCTGAACCTCTTTTATAATGTGGTAGCAGCAAAAGATTTGCAAATTTGATTCCACAAGAAACCTGAAATACACGCTGGAAAAGGGAGATCAGCAGGATCAGTTCTTATGAATGATGAAAGTCAGAGCCGAATTTTGGCTTGCGAAAAAGGTCAGTGGCTGGAGTGGCCTTTGAAATTCCACTGAAATCGTTTGCCCTGCGGCTTCTTGAAAGTAAAAAAGGCAAACCGCTTTGTTTTAGTCCAAGCAGAGCCAAAGCATATGAATTCATGTATAGTATTTAAATTCCTTTTTTCGATTTACTTTCAGAAACTTTATGCCAAGGCTATTTACGATAATTATGCAGACACGGCGGACGAACTGCCTTTCAAGAAGGGCGACATCCTCACCGTCATCGAACAGGACACGGACGGTATCCAGGGGTGGTGGCTCTGCTCCCTCCGCAACCGACAGGTGAGTTAGGATCCTTGAACAGTCTTTTTAGGAACGAAATAGCTCAATTTAGGGCATATACCTGAAAAAACGCCAGACACAATCTGGTCTCCATATTAGAACGTCGTGTGCGATAGAAAAAACAATATCCCTGGCTTAAACTGGCCTTCTTTTCCTTAATAACTGCTTTGGTCGGGTGTTTTTGATTTTAAGCGCTCACTAACTTTCTAACCAATTTCATTAATCAATCGCAAATATTACTGGGCCAGACTTTGACCCAAATTACCAATTTTGCTAATTATCTCAGCGTGATGGGAAGCCCGAGGCTACGATCCCGCATACCCAGCATCCCAACTCCCCCTAAGCAATCGTATGACCAGACAACTTTTTAACAACGAAAAGCTTCGACAAAAGTTAAAATTTATGAACGTTGATCAGCGGCAATTTTTAATTAACAACTCAAGTGGCGCCGCAAAAATGAAAACATTTTCATTGGTGAAGCGATCGATGGTGTCAAAACATATATCAGAGCGGAATTTAAGAGTTCCAGACGCGATGTGGATACGTGAACGCCTGGGCAACACGGTCTATGTCGGGCAATTGTCGCTAATTAAAAAGTAGCTGCCACTTTTTAATGGAAACAATTAACCCAAAAACGGACAATTGAGTGTGGCATAAATATTTACAACAGCGAAAATGACGGTGACAAAAAACGAAATCAGCTTTTGGCATAAGTTTTTAGCTGAAACACATGTTGACAAGATTTTCTGTCCACTTTGATGTGGCCAATATTTTTGGAGAATCGCACGGAGCTCTATCGAAACTCGCGAAAAGCATGTCAGCATGGCAAAATGGCCAAGAATGTGTCTGGCCATTAAACCCAAAATAGCAGAAACCGCTGTTATTGAAGTATATATCATTTTGTGAGCTACATTCATCAACAGTACTAATTTATTAATCGGTATTACTTTCTGAATGAAAACTCCCCAAATGGTTTCCAATAATGTCGAAACCCAACTAAAACTCTTCTTTTCTTATTTTTCAGGGTCTTTGCCCGGGCAACCGGTTGCGCGTCTTGAATTCGTACGACTCTGGATGTTTCTCTCCGTCGCCGGCCAGCTCCCCGAGTCCGTCCCTGGCGGCCAGTACTGCCACGTTGAACAGCTCCATATGCTCGGCGGAGATCTACGAGAACGGTTCCATCATCAGTGAAGTCTCGTCCTCGAACTCCAACTCGGGTGGAGTGATTTGCGGAGCTGGAGCGGAGTCAACGACGGCGTTGCGGGGCACGAGAAGATCGTGGCACGTCTCGCCGAACAAGGTAGGTTGCACATCCTCGTCCCGGATGACTTGTCAATTTCTTAATTTTCCGCTCCGTCTGTCTTTCCAACGGGGAGCAGAGATCTTGGAGGAAGTGCATCTTAATTGATTTTGTTTCTTGGCCAATTTTAAATCCTCTTGCGGCTACTGAATTATGATGTTTGCCTCGGGAAAGTGAAAGAAAGTAATTTTTTGGCTCGGTCGGCCTCTCCATCTTTACGCTCTGAGGGGTCCATCGCTCATCCATCCTGCAGCCCCACGACGCAAATGCGATCCCCTGCCTCTTCCACGTCAACTGCGTGCAGTAATTGTGCAATTAATAAGAGTTGCGAGAGGCGATCTTCGGTTCACGTAGTTGGCCTCTTGGTCCAACTGGTTTTCCTTTTGCCATTTCCATACGGCTTGTAATTCGACAATTTGTCAGCTGGATATGCGTTTTATTTGCATTTCTTTCACTTTGATTTGATTTGCAAATTAAAGGAAACGAACAATTTCGCATCGGAAGAGCATGACTGCTACATCAATAGAGATTATTGATGGTGGTACTCAGGTTAAAGGAGAAGGAGAACGAAGTAGACTGCAGGAAGCGGCTCTTTATCAAAATAGATTTGATTAGATCCTTGATTTGTACCATAGTAAGTTTTTTCCGAGTCTAAGCTGTGCCATCCAATAGCTTTAATAAACAGACCGATGTTGCTATTGGCTCAACTAGAGCTGAGCTGGCCTTTCGCTGCCCAGACCTTCATATCCATCAATGATGGAACTGGGTGTCGCCCTAGTGATGGTGGAGTGTAGCGACTTTCGCTTTCCCAGTGGACTGGCTGTCTGCAAGTCAGACAAATCAAATAAAATGAAACCCAAATTACAGAGTTGTAAACATTTCCTCGCATTATCGGCAGCTATTAATCTTTACTGGAGGCTGGTGAAACCATAAATTCAAGCTTCGACCCGTAGAGAGCTAACAATTTTTGTTGGAAGACAGTTGGAGGCGAGGATTCGGAGAAACATTTTGCCCCTAAAAGTTCAGCAGTAAATGCTGTCTTTTATTCATGAGCGATTTTATTACCTCGGCAAAATATAAAAGCGCTAGGCTGTCACTTTAAGGCGTCAAATGTCATATGTGAGATGCCTTCGAATGGGCACTTGACCCAGCATCTGAGGAAGACATGGAAGAGATTCCCCGTTTCCATAACATCATCGGGAATGGCATTTATTCGTAATGAGGGACGAAAGAAAGTCAGTTAGTTATGTTGATAGACAAAGGACGGACAACAGTTATCAAATAGGTTAACACTCCGTTCGAGCAAATTTGTTGGGAAATAAGTCAGGCCATCCTTGGTCCGTTGGTGGTCAGATATTCATCCCATAACTCGCCGGAACCGTTAGACAGGTCCCTCCGCCAGCTTGCGCGACCGTTTCCAAGTTCGTTGAGTCCACATACAGACAGGTCCGCAGCTACAACGCTTCAACAATCCGTCTACTGAATCCACTTCTTCCACCTCCACCGTCACGCAGCGACCATAAAACCAAACCAAGTCAGATGGCCAAATCTACTAGCCTGGCCAATGGCCAATGAAGATTTATGGCCAGATCCAAAACGAGCTAAAAAGATACGTTGTATTTGAGCACAACAAGTCATTTATTTATTTTTATTTTTTCTGCCCAAAAATGGCTAAAAATGCAGCCATAGCCGCCGCAATAGCTCCTTTTCATTTCGGATTCTGAGATGCAGAGGTTTGTGCGTGACCAAAGACGGCAGGACTGGAGAATTCCCATTTCTGCTCCGGCAATGCGGACTCGTTGCGAAAGCGATGAAAACATCCGCACCGGTTTGGTTCCACACAAGGTCGCCATAAGGCGGGCTTTACTGCATTTCTTTCTCAGCAGATCCCTTCGGAGAAAGATTCCCCCGCAGCTTAATTATCATTTTCCATACAAATGTTTTTTTTTCTTTTGTTTCGTACGTGATAAAATTCTAAAGCGTATGTCCAACCGAGAATCCCAGAAGTGCGTGGGCCAAACACGGCTCTTTCTTTTGGGCTCCTTGGATTTGACGGGTCAGGTGTGCGATGATCAGCCCAGAACGTGTTAAAGATACATTGAAATGCAGGGTATGAGCTGCGAAACTCTGTAGATTGTTATCTTACGTTAGCTACTGTTTTTGGGTTTGGAATTTCAAGAAGAAAATAAAACGTGGAAAGATCATTACACATCCAGAATGTGGAATTATTCATAGCATGTAAACTGATTTGACCGAATCACTAAAAGAAAACAGTGGGCCTTTGGTTCCCCGATTTTGCTCATTTCCTATTGACTAACTGACCTGAGACTCTCTGTCCGCAGTTCCGGTACTTCGACTCGGTTCAGCTGCCCTCATTTCCACCTAACCATATCCTGATCTCGAGAGTTAACCCCCATCTGCAGCAGCAGCTGTTTGCTTTTATTTTCGCGTTTTACAGAACATTCTGATGACTCGTGTTACGCGTCAATTAACACTTCAAAGGCCAATGCAAACGCAAACAAAACCGTGTTCCTTGACAATGGGTATTTTCTGAATTTCTGGCACTAAAAACTGGACTCAGGTAGAATTCTTCGGCATCAAACGGTCCCCTTTCGAGAGGCGTAATGGCTTTCCCAATTAGGACCCGATTCACTTAAGGGATGTAGCGACCACACTGCTACCCTTCTTCAGTCCGTTTATTGAAAATATTGGGTAAAGGGATAAAAAATCATGCATTTAAGTTCTTATGAGGAAAATCAATATGCTGCAAAATACTCGTGACATTGGTTTGTTTTGTTGTTATTCATTCAAAGACTTCCCTGCCTGTATCGTGACACTGAACCGCCTTGAACCGTGTCCTAGGCCACCAATGCGCAGGCGCTATAAATTAACACGTCCTTTCCTCAACCATTCTCATCTCTCTTTGGGTTGCACTCCCAGTCTAGTTTTTCTCTTCCAACGGCGACGTTTGCCTAAGCCGGAATTTTCCATTTTTTAACGCATTTTTGATACTAGTAAATTTTTGCAAGATGTGATATGTAGCAGAGGAGGAGGAGAAGGTGAGTTGGAATCCAAGTCACGGCCATATCATTTGATAATAAAAGGGTTTATCGAATTATTTAAAAAAGATGCCAGACGCACAGGACAGGGCAGGGAAATCGATAAACCATTCGGGTGCAGGCAGAGCGGGGTGGGAGTTGTACTATGGCTAGGGTTACTGAACCGCACAAACGTAGTAAATTACGATTTTAACCATTTGCTTCTCCCGTAGGTAATTACTCCGCAGAGACACGGTGATGTATACATCTACAACTGCTCCCCAAACTCAACGAATAGATCTGGGACAGTAGCAGCGCCCAGCACGCCGCACCAGCAGCAAATCTACAGCAACCAAAGCATCTACCAGAACCTAGCCATGATGTCCAGTCCCCACCAGAACGGGAGTGGCAGCGAGTTCGAGACTTACGACATACCCAAACCGGCCACGCCCGTGCCGCTGAACTACGACGGTCCCAGGAGCGGTCTACCAAGGACTCCCACATCCAACTCCAGTCTGGGGGCCCGCTTTGAGTCGCTTAAGAGTGTAGCCGCATCTATCGAAGAGGAATCGTACGATGTGCCTCGGCCCCTGATCTCTGGCAGCAGCCTGGTCCAACAGCAAATTTCCCAAATGACGCCAAGCAGCTCCGTCTCCTCTCTGCTAACCAGCGATAGTTTTTCGTTGAGTTTGTCCAGCTCAAACCGTTCCTCACTGGCCATGCCCGACTACGACGTCCCACGCCGAAATCCACTTCCTGTGCGCCGACAGCAGTCCGGGCTAACCTACGACTTTCCTCTACCACCGTTGCAAGAGCAAGAGCAGCGACTGGTCCCCACAACCGCCACCGTCACCAAAGAACTGCCGCTAGAACTGACTTCGGCACTAGAAACACTCGCCAAGCTCCAGTCGCAGACGACGGCCGCCATCAACCGGCTGCTTAGCTTCGTAGTTCCCAACTGGCGCACACGAGCCCAACTGGAACCAGCAATAATGGAGTTAAAGCTGGCCGCTCTTCGCCTGCGCACCGCACTACACGATCTGGCCGAGTTTGGGGAGGGTGCCCTGGGCAATGCCACCCGATCCGAAGATCGCAACCTGGCCCTTAAACTGCGACCTTTGGTACGGGCTTTGCGGGATGCCAACAAACTGATTCACGACTCTTCCGAATCCCTTGATGCCCAGGGTGGTTGGTCTGTGGAACAGCTGGCTCGAAGTGATGACAAACACAGCTGTCGTCCGCCAGACGCGCTGGACCAATTAATGGCATGTGCCCAGACGCTCACCGAGGACGTGCGCTCCACCACCAGCTTCATCCAGGGAAACGCCTCCCTGCTTTTTAAGCGACAGATAGTCACAGATCAGAATGGAGGTGCTGCGACCACAGCAATCGAAGGCAGTCGGGGAAGCGCCGAGTGGCTGGAAGACTATGACTACGTAGCCTTCGAGTCTAAGGACGCTGCCGCCAAGAAGAACCAGGCGTTGCGTGAGGCCATTCCCGCCAGCCTAAAAACGAAGTTCGACTCGGTTATTCGCACAGCCGAAAGCTCAGCCATTATCGTCGGTTCCGAATCGATACCGACCACACCCACGGCGCCAATGACGCCCTACAAGTCACCGGAGATGACTGACAAAGACAAAAAGCTGGTGCGCTACTACGCTCAGCAGATCTCCACGCACATGGGCAACCTTTTGCAGGCCATCGACTCGTTCCTGGAGACGGTTGAAAAAAACCAGCCTCCCAAGTTCTTCATTGCCTACGGGAAGTTTGTTGTCGTAAGCGCCCACAACCTAGTGACCATCGGCGACAACGTGTATCGCAACATCTCCAAAGAAGCGCTACGAGAGAAAATCCTGCGCTGTACAAACTCCCTCTCTGACGCACTGAAGACCTGTGTCTCCAAGTCAAAGAAGGCCGCGGCGCACTTCCCCAGCGGAAGTGCGGTTCAGGAAATGGTTGACTCGGTAGTAAACATCAACAACCTGGCCCGAGAACTAAAGGCGGTCATGCTACAGGCGGTTCAACTGTCCACGGCGGCGGGAGTTGGCGCCTGAAGAGATTACCTACCTATCCGGGGTAGTATTAAACCCATCCGATCGATCCCAAGCCCAGTATTAGCTGAGAGGAGTGCAGCCAAGTCTTCCGACTTTGTCCATTTTTTTTGCTGATATACCACATACATATGTATATCGAAAATTGGCATATCCTGATCCCCAACACGCAGCGCCGATTGTCGTTGAAACTCTGCATTGTGATATTTTAAAACAAAACATCTGAAAATGCACAGCACCGCAGTTATGATCGACCGATCCCGCCTAAGGGAGTTCGTCCTCCAGGCTAGCCTAAGTTTCCATTCTGTACATACATAGTATGCCCTACCAGCCCCCAGACTATTGTAAATTAGCGTATTTCCTTTCTTCCCGCCACGCGCACAAGCAATGTTGTATCAGTGAAGCATTTCAGCATAGTTTTGTACTTTCTAGGATTAGTCGTAGCACATAACCATTTGCTTAGATTACGCACGCATATATAGTACTTGCATAGTCAGAATCTAAAAGATTTACACTTATCATTTTTCATTGCGCCGCGGCTCGATAGTCAGTAATATACGAAAATACACGCAGTCATAAACTACCAACTAAGCTGTATGTAATATGAACAAAATTGGTGGAACATGTCACCTCAAGACCAGCCCCAAAGCATACTATACACTTAAAATAAATATACAATAAACCTAATCGATTTGGCGTTTACATATTAAAGCCTGTATCCATCAGTGCTACAAACTTAAAATAATGATTTACAAGCTAAGGGATACGACTACGGCTTCCCGCAATCTACAAAGCATTGTTTGTAACAAATCAAAACGGATTCACATTTGGCGCCACACTCCGTTGACTCTCTTCCTTTCATTTTGTCAAAATTTATGCATTTTCTGTTTTTTATTAAGAGCGACTACAAAGAAATGATGTACACATTTGAATGAATGAAAAGAGGATGCAATGCTAACTTACTATACATATAATCGAAACATATTCATGGTTTGATGCCTACGGCGTAAAATGGCTTTACTATATGCTTTAATCGATCCGAAGGACACTTCTCATGCATTCTTGGCGCACCGAAAACCCAAGTTCCCGGCAGAGCTGTCCTCTGTGTTTTGCGAACGGGCCGCGCACCTGTACCGGTAGCAGTAGGACTTGTGGCACAGGTAGGAACCGCCCTTTTTCACCCGATTTGGGTTATCGCTGACATCGTTCGCGTCCCACAGATCAGCCGTCCACTCCCAGACGTTACCCACCATGTTGTGAAGATCGAAGACGTTTTGCCGGAAAGCATCCACCGGGCAGGTGTACTCGAAGCCATCGTCAGACAGGTTTCCATCGGGAAAGTCGCCCTGCCATATGTTTAACCAATGCTCTCCCCTAGGCATTAGCTTATTACCCCAGGGAAACAGTTTTCGCTCCTTTCCACCCCGGCACGCCACCTCCCATTCCGCCTCGCTGGGTAAACGTTTTCCAGCCCAATTACAGTATTCCACAGCATCGCGCCATGAAACGTGAACCACCGGGTGTCTCCCAAGGTTATCGAGGTTGCTGTCCGCGCCATTGGGATGCCGCCAACTCACACCAGCCACCTTGTACCACCAAACGGCGCTAGCCACTCTGAAGTCCTCTAACTCTTTCTGCTTTGAGGGACTCAGATGGGTCTTGAACAGAAAACTGTCGCCAAAGCGCTCGGCCTCAGTGGTGTAGTTTGTAACTAGCACAAACTTCTCAAAGGCTTCGTTGGAAACCTCGTAACGGTCCAGGAAAAAGTCATCCAGCTTGACCTGGCGCTCGGGAGCTTCCCGATCGGCCGGAAAATGTGGACTGTCTGTGCCCACGTAGACGGTGCCGCCCGGAATAAGCGACATGTCCGCAATCTTTGGCTCCAGTTCACCATAGTAATCTCGGTAGTGGCTGTTGGCACCGGCCGCTCGTTGCTGACAGACTTTGTTTGAAAGTGGCTGGTTATCCGCGCTAGCCTGTCTCTCTAGTTTCTGGCAACCGCAGTCGCTGGATGTGTCGTGAAGAACAATTATCCAGATAAACATAGAAATTGTTTTCATTTTGCCTGTGCAGTGTGGCCGTTTCCTATTTGGGAGTAAACGTTATATTTGTTTGTGATGTTAAATGCTTGATAAGCAGATAAAGTTTTAACGTTCATTATGTAAAAGCCGTAACATGGTCCTTTTAAATGGTTTCTAATTATTATTTTGTTTAATTGGATTTAGTGGAATATTGCCTGAAAAGGATTTTAATTGCTAAAATAGCCGAAAAAGTCAAACTTAACTTATTCTGTTAATACTATTGAGACCCGCTGTTGCGCGGTCACACTCTTCACTAAATGTAACTGTAACATTTGACGGTTTCTTTTGAGCCTGAATTTGTACGATTTATTATTGTTTAACTAATTGTTGTGAAAATAGATAATTAATTATAGACAGCATTGAGTCCAAGTTAAAGGTGATGCTTCGCAGTTTTCCTTGCGATCCGGACCTGTTGTACTAAGCTCTCTTTCAGATGATGGAAATGGTCCTGGAGCCAGTAGTAAAAGGCACTGCGCCAAGTGCTTAGTTGGCTCCTTCAATAATTGCGCCGCATGGCAAAAATCCCTGTTGTACTTGTGCCTAGTGTAAGTACCCACTTTGTGAGCAAATTGAATGCTCATAGCTCATAGTCCTCATAGTTTTCAGTAAAGTAGCTGAACAGACGACGAAGGACAATCCCCATTGCCACTTTTCGAGCATATTAAATTTCTAAGAAGTTGTGCAAATCGATTATTAACATTGTTTAATCATGAAATGTCCAAATAAAGGTAACCCACTGTTGCAAGTGGAAAACATATTAGAAACAGTACGTACGAGTTAAATAAGATTAAATTAGGGTATGGCGCAAATCGTTGTTAACAAAACTATGTTGTACAATGGGCCAGCAGGCCAGAGGCTATGCTTCGTTGGGCTTTTCGTGTAGCCACGGTCTGAATATGGGCAGGGTTGACGGATAGTGAGTGTGTGTGTCCGGTTTGAGCACCGACTCCGGCCATGTGTTGGCATTTGCAGTATCCCCAGAGTGACGGAATGGGTACGTGGCCAGCACGATGGGAAGTTGCAGCTTGATTTCCTTCTCCATGGACTTGGGTTCGATGACGAAGAAGACGTCGTATGATATCTTGATAAGATGGCAGCCGTGAAGGTTGGTCGGCGGTAAGGGCGGTACGTAAAGCTCGTTGTGCCACTCGTCCTTTCCCCCCGGACGAATCTTTCCGCGCACTAGGACAGCCAGCTCCCGCTTCTCCGTCTGAACTACCTTTCCACGTGCCAAATACTCAATTGTCTGCATTTGATATGTTTAAGAGTTAGATATGTAAATAAATTGCGGCTCTGTAGTTGGAAGCTAAAACCCACCTCGGTAAGGGACGCTTTGGTCCGCTTGATGGACACATTGCTGTAGTTGGAAATGAAGGCGGTGACCAGAATATTCTCGCCAGGTACATACCCACCGCGGTCTAGGGACACTCTGCACTTGATCTGACCTCCGCCCACGCAGACAACTCCCAGTTTGTGCTCCACTTCGCAGGTGAACGGTTGCTAAAAAAACGCGAGAGGTGAGTTTTTGAAGAGACAGTGGTAGCAGCTATTTACGGCTAAAATTGGTTTCTCTAAATTTAGGTCGATGGGATTCATCACGATGAAGACCTGATGGTTCTTGTGGATAATGCCGTTGTTTTCCCGTAGCGCCGCCTTACAGTAGAACTGGATCCAGCCGTAGCGACCCAGGAATGTGGATGGCAGACCCAGCGGCAGACCAAGTTTAAAAGGAAAACTGTGTATTCCCGGCGAGAGTATGGCTGGACCACCCTGGTCCACGTCACCCAGGAGCCGCATTCGGAAGTCTATATAGTTCTCCTTGTCGTACGTCCGCTCTTGCCGTCGCCCGTTACGAACCACTCCCTCGCCCACCACATGGAAGTGGAGGCCCAAGGCCGGAGTCTCATCCTGTAACTCGATTAGAACTCTTCCAGAGAGAAACTGGCCCGGAAAGTACAGTAAGGAGGTGTTGTCGAAGATGATGAGGAATTTAAGCAGCTTGCGCGGCATCGTAGCTGATTTTGGTTACAGCTTTCATCGGCTTCGTTTGCCTGAGAAGAAACAAACAAAAAAGCCGTCAGTTACTTCGAAATTATTTGGCACCGTTGCGCATGCGTCAATTCGTTTTGATTAAAGCCAACGTATCCGTCATACTTGGCTACGTCTGTGACCATGTACATGTACTATGGACTGCCCTCACATACATACGGCGATTGTTTGCATATTTATGTGGGTAGCATCTAGGCTGAAAAGGAAACAAAACCAGTTTGGTGTGCCCCAAGAGATGGTTGCGTGCTCGGCCCTGCAGCACGAAAGCGCCGAACAGCCAAAACTTCGCAGCAAGGTCATCATGTGAAGCATCTCAGTCCGTGTCACGCCCGCGCCCCTAACTAATCATTGCCAATGCAGTATTTGCCATAATCGGTAATCCAATCCAGTTAAATCCATTCGTCGACACTTGTGGGTATTGTGGATAGGGAAAATTAAGAGAAAACTGACGTAATTCCCCAGTGGAAAGCGGATTCCGACCAGTGCGATGTCGTTGTGAGGAATACATTTGAAAACGTAAGTCTCTTGTTTTAAATTTAGGTTGTTAAGCAAAAATCCATTGTTTTCCATATATCATTGTGGGCGCTCTCAAAAGAATAATCGTTCGTCGAATGCCTGTACTCACACAAATGTTTTTTTCTGGCCAGATTCAAACACGAATCCAGTCACAGCCGATTCAACCCGTTCTGGCTTCCCGTGCGAGCTAAATTGGCTCGATCTGAACCGCGACCGCTAGCGTTTGTTAAGCAACTGATCGTCGACATCGTCGTGCATCAGCTTACGGCTGAGAGGACAACTGAACAACTTGTTTTGAGCGCGTTTTTGCGAGAGATCCATTTGGAGAGAGATCCAGCTGGTGCTGGCGTTGGAGGCGAGGGAAGATGTCGTAATATGCCAATCAGTACCCTCGCGGCTTTTGTTTTCAATATGTTTTACCTTTCCAGCGGACTTCCAGGATTTTCTTAATGTATGTTCTTTTTGCAGGTAAGACAAAACGCTCGACACCGACAAACAATAACCAAAATACTGAAAATCGTTATCATATTTTCAGAATTTTTAAATAAGTCAAAACTTTTAAAGGTTTTATAATTTATTTGATTAGAAGATCAATCAAACTACTAGTGCATGTAGAATCTCCAATCGAAAGCGCGGAGGTGACGGCCTTAGCTGACAATAACAACATTTCGGACTCAGGCGCACCTAAAAAGGCTTAACTTATAAATCCGTACTGCACAGGTATGTATCCGTAGACAACTAAACATGTGCAGACATAGATGCATTAAGTGGCACACATTTATGCATTATGCATGCAATTCATACCGGTTTAGAGTTGTAGTTAGTGTTGTATTTAGTAGTATCCAAATCGATGAACCTCAACTGTAACTCATGAAAATGAAAGGCCAAAAGCCAAGCAAAATATCAAAAGGAAACAGAAACCAAACGGAATCTGTGAATGGTATTGCAGCCAGTGTTAGCCTATAGCATAAACTCTCAGACGTAGTGTTACTTCTGTAGATAGTTGTCTGATCTATTAGGCAACTCGTTAGTTATGCTTCCCAATCAACTCGAATAGGTAAAATATTAAAATAGTAGTGTACAGAAATATTTACATTTGTAGAGACCGTATTCCAAGATCGCCTATCTATAGTGAAAGAAACCTAATTATTACCATTAAAGACTACTCTGATTATTACTCAAAACAAATCATATCTCTGGTGGGTTTCTCCGCGACTCTTTAAATTTCTCCCAACTATATTAGTGACACTTAGTGGTAATGACTGGGGATTTCTATTTCTATGTTTTCTCGGCCTAATGGCTGAGAATTGTCGACTTATAATGACCCAAGACTTCACCACAAGACAGCTGAAAACGAGGCGGTTGCGGTCTGTACCTAAGAGTATCTGAAAGTAAGCTTACTTCGACTCGAGAAGTCTATATAGATGATAATCGAATAGTTTGACTTGGAGTTTCGAATAGACAACAATTAAACCAATTCTGCTCATGTAACAGTCAGTTGTTTTTGTAGCTGCCCCGTGCACCAGACCGAAAGTTTTGAGTCTCGGCTCCGTTTATCGCTTTGTTAAAGGCATGTTTAGTAACTATTGTATGCTAACTCTCCGCCTTTCATAATACTAGCGAAAACCGATTTGACGGCACAGAATTTCTTGGTGTATCTATCAGTCGAGGAGGGGAGTGGCCGATCCCAGCATAAACTTACCCACGGTACCGTAAAGTCAATTTTGAAGAGAAACACAAGAGATATTTCTGCAAGAAAACGGTGGTGTGGAGAGGTGGCCTCTTGCCTCACAAGCTGTGCATTTTGCGTTTTCGCTGCTCTTGCCTTATTTCGTTTTACAGGTTTGCTCTTTCCTGAATAGCGTTGCTTTTAAGCTCGAATACGTAGCACAGTGCCTCAGTTGTAGCGATGAAGCCGAGCGCGCTGGTAAGACACATTTAGAGGCGCCAGTTAGCATCATTTTCCGTCGGGCAGGTGTAACGCGAGAAAGTTGAAACTGTAACAGGCTAGGCTCTCGTAACAGCGCATGACTCATCGCCAGTGTTTACATGGCGAGGGGCTTTTTCTAGTTTGACTGTGATTATATCTATGTAGTAAACACATGTAATGTTACCACAGAACTTCATGATTGACTAATAGCTGATCGTGACACGTAGAGTGGGAATAATTCAGTCGCACCAAGTTCTTAAATATAACAGTTGGCCATTTATCATAGCCTCCATAAGACATAGAGGACTTATTGTACAAACCCCAAGTATTAAATTTACTAACCTCTTGTTTGTGCTACTTTTAGTAGTCTTGCAGACAAAATGAATAGCGAGACAGTGGTTAATAGCTTCTTGCCCCAAAATTTGGCAGTGCCACGAGACGAAGACTTAGGCTCGCTTTCCTCACTATCGGACAACCTAACGATTTGGGTTAACGGTGAGGAGCACTGGATATCCGGCGTGGATGCAAGCACCACCTGTGCAGATCTAATCTGCGCGTTAATCAGCTATCAATACGTTCAGCATGATAAGTTCCGCAAAGACGAAGAATTCGCAGATCCTACCAAATACCCCGCCCAGGTGGCGCAGGAGTTTGCTATTGTTCAGAAGCAGCGGCACTATGAGGAGTATTTGGACGGATGTGCCAGACTCTTTGATGTTATCACCACTCATAACACAATGCCGAAAGATGAAGTAATAAAAGCAATCACCAAAAAAAAATATGAAATGTTATAACCCCTCTTCTTTCTACCAGTGTCAACTTCAGCTTCGCCATTTGGCAACTTCAGCCCTTAAGCACACCCAAACAACGGATAAGGACAGTGGTATGGGCAGTCCAGTGGACAGCTCGAGGAGCATGCGCTTTCGACGGATGGGCAAGCACAAGCACAAGGTGGTGCCCTCCACTAAGATCTCGGACTTCACAAATACTAAGCAGGCAAAGAGGAGCCGGAAAGTAGAGCATAGGAGCATCACGACTCCGAATGAGAGTTTGCTAACTATTATATTGGCACAGGATGAGACCATTCTTAAACAGATGTCCATGTTACAGTGAGTTACCCAATATCCATACATATACTCCTGACTTCCACCGACGAGTTTTCACAGCGAAAAAGATCGGCAGATTTTACAAATCGAGGAGGAAAGGCACCGAGGGCGGGTACGAGAACTTGGTAAAAACTATCTGCTCGAAACATATCTGAAGGATTTGGATGAACCACAGGAAAGCGAAACTAGCCTAGAAGTCTTTGAAGACGGTGTACACAGGTTACATGAGGAAGGTATTTATGAAATTAGGTCACATTTAAATAAAATTACGCTTTTATAATGAACTTACTTTTATTTTTAGATAGGGACTTCCGAACGTTCATCGATGGTGACACCGTCAAAAATGAGATGAGATTATATTGGCTGGAGAAGATTCACGTGGTGAACAAGCAACTGCAGCGAGAGGAAGAGCTACTACTGAGCTTGCACGCTAAGGTGCGTAGACACCAGGTAAAGCGGGCGTACCAGACGAAGAGCGAGGTGCTACTTCAAATCGATAAACTCGATACAGAGCTAGCGGCTCAGGTTGCTGATATCCACAGGGTGGAACGGAAACTTTTCACGGCCAATGAACAGCTTAAAGCTAAACTGGCTGTGCTTGAATGTTTGGGTCGCGAATTCGAAACAACGATATCCGGAGCAACTACTGCCGATGTTCAAAGCAAAGAATCTGGAGAGGGACAACAATGCCACCGATCCCCGCACAGACCTAACGATCTCGCTACCTCTGGAAAATGTCCGCAAATTGTAGAGGTAGGAAGTGTTAGAGGGCAGCCGAACCGAGAACAAACTGACAGCAACCTAAGGGAGCGACAAATAAACGACAAGGCGTTATCAGAAGAAATGTTTAAGGTGATCAGATCATCAGATCCTTCTACCTCAGCAAGCGTCTTTCAGATAGAGACTGGTCCCAGAGGGCCATTTGCGCAACCTTCGAATACAGATATTCAACATCTGGGAACCCTTGTTTAAATTGAGCGATGATCCTGCGGTGCTTTTCATTGCAGTATCTCGGTTAATGTATTTTGAACATCTGTACCAAATTTGTGTGAACCAACCAAATAGAGATTCATTCTGTGTTTATGTTTATCACTTCAGTGTTACATACCTAAGAGTGTTGCATTACACAAAAATTATGGATAAGTATTCAAAAAATAGTAGACATCAAACAAGCTGTTTATTACCTAAATCTATGTTTTACCAGACCTCTTTAACTGTTGTATGAATCCTGCATTGGGCTGAATGCATGGTCTCCATGATTTGACCAGGTTATACGCATCCTCGTAGCACATGTCCCGTCGCTGCATCAAATAGCCAATAACCACGGATGCGGATCTCGAGACGCCTGCGTTACAGTGTATGAGCACGCAACCATGAGACTGGCGCGCCTCGTCGATGAACTCAAGGGACACGGGCAGGACATAGTGCATCAAGTCGATTTCTGGCAAATCCAGGCAGGGCAAGTACTTACATTTCACTGGCGTGGGCCATTCCACATCAGGCGTCTGTATGCCGATGCTTAGAATGTGCGTTAATTTGTACTTCAGAACGTTGTCTGCGTTCACCGCATCCTGCGAGCCTAGGTACAAGAAATCGCTCAGAATGCAGGCGGGCACAGCGTCGGGCTTGGTATCCACGACGAAGCCATATTCACGCGACTCTAGCTGTTGCGCACTCGAGGCCGAACCGGAGGATCTGCTCCGTTCGATGTAGCGGGCACCGGTGGAAGTAGTCACGACAGTGGTGGTGGGTCTCAGGTTGGCCAGCCGCTTTTGCAACTCATACAGCAGTATCATTATAAATTAGTTGTCTTCTCCTCTGTAATGCACCCGGCACAAGTAGAGCCCACAGGCTGGCGCCAAGAGCACACGGTGATCCCAAGAGTTCTTTGAGGGAATGGTGAGCATCTGGTAGAGGCACCTGTCATCGATGCGCCCGCTTCCAAAGGCAATCAATGCGCCGACAATGCGCCTAACTTGCTTGTACACAAATGACTTGGCTTTGATCTTAACGTCCCAATAGTCATAAGTTTCTGCAGCGAGAGTTGCGTTTGCAGCAAGAGCGAGCGTTTTACCTGGTTGTATATTGACTTCGTCTATTTTACGCACTGTAAACATGGGGTGATCTCGACTTGGTCCTTTCTGCCGACTGACGCTCATAAAAGTCCGAAAGTCGTGAACTCCGATGAACATTTGCGCTGCAGCTTTTACTCTATCTATATCAAACCTCGGGGCTCTGTTGTTAATTATGTGTTAATTATTGTATTCTGAGGGCTAGGAGATTTTTCTTACTGCAGAAAATAACAGCGATCTATTTCCTCCACAGGCATAAACGTCTCAAATCCCTTGTTTCTGAGATTATCATTTCCCGAGGGCGGTTCCTTTGCCACAGCAAAGCGGTACAAATAAGTTCGTCCCGTGGCGTGGTAGCGGCAGTGAAAGGTGTCTGCAACCAACTGGCTGCTAAGCACACGAATCGGAAGACGCTGTTTACCAAGGGTTCGGTTCAGCACACCGGTTAACGTGGTCGTGTCGTAGGGCTCCCCATTAGGTCTCTGTAGGTCGACGTGGACCGTAGAGTGAAGGGCGTGGACACCTGCGTCTGTTCTAAAAGTTAGTGGAAAATGTAGACTTTATAGACTCTTTTTTATTTCATCGCCCACCGACTGGAGAGAACAGTAATTATCTCGTTTGTGGGATGAAAAACCCGGAGAGCCAGCTCCAAACTGCCTTGAACGGTGTTGGTGTCCAGATGCGGCTGCTGTAACTTGTTGACCGTTTTCTGAATACCACTGTAGGAGAATGTAGTTGCGTTTAACAAATGCCTGGCATTTAATTATAGCAATATATACCGAAAAGCCGTGCCAATGTACGATATGTTTAATAAATATCTGTGCATGTTATATAGCACTAACAGGAACAGCTGACGATAGTCGTCGGTCTCTAGAGGTGGGGAAAATTAAGCGTACAAATTTTATTTAAAAAAATCGTTTTACTTATCAGTAAAATTAGCAATTACGTATTTTTTTAACATTATTATTATATAAGTCTGTGCCAAAAATGGCTAGCTTATAGCTAAATTATTATTTGGAGATAGTGTTGTAAAACTTCTTGCATTGCGTGCTTTTCTGAACGCAAAATATGTTTAAAATAACTGTATATAAGTTTCTTATGGCTTTCTAAATACTTTTTCTATTATAATTGCCTTATAACATAAACCGATATTGCTTTTTGAAAATGTTAAATATCGGTATACAGTTTCCCAACCTAAATGAAGGCATTAAACAAAATCATCGTGCACGGTCACATTGCTGTCAAAAAGAATTTTGTAATAATTAAGAAGTATAATTTTTATTTACCTTAAAACCTTTAAACCGAGTGAGAGGCGGTCACCGGTCTAACTCTTTCCCGTCTCTCGTACAGCGGTCCACCCAAATTCTAAGCGGCAGAGATCGCCCCTTTGGCATCAGCATTTATCAAACCCCATCACCGAACCTCACCACGTAACTAGAATGGCCGGCTTTGTCCAATATGACAGCGGCGAGGAGACAGAAGTCAATAGTTGGATTCGCTTCGGCCTGCGGCTAGGCGTCAGCGCCGCTCTGCATCCCTTTGAGTACTCCAAGACGCTAATCCAATTGGGTTACGAGCCGATCGCGCCGCTTCCCGGCAAGTCTATGCTGGGAAGGCCGATTATGAAGTTGCCAAACATATTCCAGTATGGTGAGTTCAAAGGTCCACTCTTCGTGGTGTTATCGTTAACGTCCTATTTTTGTTTCTTCAGCTGGTCACATACGGAGAGTGGATGGCCTCTCGGGCTGCTACCGCGGTCTGGCTCCCAAACTAGTGGGCTCCCTGGTTGCTATGGTGGTGAGCGATCGAGTGGCAGACAAATTGGGGCTAGAACAGCCGGAGGAGATAAAGGACGACTCACAGCTCAGTGAGGAGGAAATGCAAGTCTTTGATTTTACGTGCCTGTGGCTGCTGCCGTGCGACTGCTACTCTGGTTTATTTCAGGTACGTCCAGTTCAAGTCGAGTCTAAAGCGGGACATTGTGCTAACGGTGAGCGGAATCGTGGCTTCGCAACCTTTTCACGTGATCTCCCTTCGCATGATGGCGCAATTCGTCGGCCGAGAAACCTTGTACAGCTCTATTGTATGCTCTGTTACCGAGATCTGGAAGACTGAGGGTATCGTGGGCTTTTTCGCCGGCCTAGTGCCAAAGCTGCTGTGTGATGTGGCTTGCCTGGTGCTTAGCAGCTCCACCATCTACATCCTTAACAAATACGTCATCAAGGACAAGTTGGGAAGACAGTACAATGCTGGCTTCACACAGTTCGCTGTATCTAGCCTGCTGTATCCACTGCAGGTTGTCTCAACTTGTTCTGCGGTGAGTGGATCTCGACTTATGGCCGGCCAACCCCCTATTATGCCAGCCTACAAGAACTGGATGGACTGTTGGAATGATTTGCAGGTTCGCGGCGAGCTTAAGCGCGGCAGCTCTCTTTTCTGGCGGTGAGTTTCGCTTGAACTTTAAGATTTCGTAACTATGGCTTTCACTTACCTTTTCAGGTCCCAAGCCATCCACTCTCCAGCTACCTCCTTTGCGCCCCTGCCCAAACTAGCGCGTTACCAGTAGTCGCAAGGAACACGAACAGCTCTTTGCCTTCGAGTAATCAACCCCTCGACTGCCTATCTGTGTTTACCCTGCATTTCAATGGAACTTCGACAACGACGAGATCCAAACAATATTACTTCTTTTCTGTATACAACCCCAGCCACTATTCCGTTAATACAAGTTCACATCTACGTTGAAGTATGTACATTGCCATCGTAATTGGGCACTGTATCCTTCCCCCGCGCCGTTTCATTTTCTTTCAGCGTGCCAATAGCTCTATTTTCTCTTAAAAATAGTTATTGAATAGCTTTTCCAATCCTGTTTCTATTTTAAAAGTATTTAAAATCGTTTTGCCCAAAAGTAAAACTTTGTTTTTTTCTTTTATTCGAAAATGTTATTGTTTAAAAACCGCAAATAAAGCTTAGGGACTCTAAATAAATAATTTGTCATTGAATGATTCAAATTTATTCAACTGGCTATTTCGAAATTCCTTAGGGATATATATCCTTAGTGTTTAAACTATTTAAACATGGGTGGTCCAAAATATATAGTCATAACTTTTAAAAAACATTGAAAACCAACCAGTTTTTTACTTTAATTACTTTCTCCTTAACAAGAAACGAAAAGCCCTCATTTCTAATAACACACTTTTACAAACCCCATCCCATTTATAGGCTGTAACTTAACATTTGATATGCAAAGTATAGTTCGCTATTACCCCCTCCAAGACTTATATAGCCATTATAATTTTAATAGTAATACTTTATTCTTCTGTTCAAGTGTAATCCATTTTAGAAGATTTGTGTCATGGGCATGTCTGAGGTTTTCCGGTAACTTAGATGAGTTTACGTAAATAGCCCATGTCAACTAAAGGCGCTGGTCTTATTTCTCACTATATCCTTAGTTCTTATTCTTTTATTATTTAATATTTGCCATGACTTTGGTTTATTTACATAAATTACTATACATCCTATATTGCCGAGTATTCATCTACGTCTAATTCTTCGAGCTGTATAATACTTAATTAATATTGCGAGGGAAAACAACAAATTCGTGCTTCGCATAGTTAGCGAGTTATCCGCGAGGCGTTCCGCCAATACCTCAAACGCCCATCAATACGAAGATTCCTTTTCACTCCCTTAGCTATCGCAGTAATTGACAAGTGGCTACTGAATAACTAGGAAAAAAGAAGCTTGCAGTTCTTAAAAATGTTGTTTTTAAATAAGGCTTTTTTCGCTTTTATTAAATTTTTGCTAAAAACTAGAATTAAAATTAATAATTATAATCATTAATTTATAATTAGAGTTAACGTAATGGTATTAATTAAAAACATTTATCGCGCACAATTATTTACAATTACAGAAATATCGTTAACTTTTAAATTTACTTTTTGCTTGGTTCTTTACACATTAATTTTAGTTATTCTCTATGTTGCCTTTTGCGGGTTTTTATTTTAGAATAAATATTTGTTGCGCGTGTTCCTTTAATGTGTTTTCGATAATTTTGTTTTCCCTCTTAACGGATATACGCCCGATACGAATATAATTGGAAAAGTAATTTGTTAAATTATTAGAGACCAAAGAATCTTAATGTCCATGTAGGCCGGGGCTACATTATCGTTCCGCAATCTGGAATTTGGAATGCAATCTCACTAAGCAAATAGCTCCGGGATTGAGGTGCTGGTGCCCCGGGACTTAGACCGTTTTAGATAGTTTTTTCTCGGGCGGGTTTTGTGTATGTGACTTGGCTCGAGGCTGCAGGCACCTTTGCTTATAGAAAACCAGTGTACTTTTGCCTATCTTACTATTGCTTCAACACTATAAAACTCAAAAAAAAAAAATGGTTTCATCTGCAGATTTCCTGTACGTTGCACTCTTACACGCTAAATTCCGAAACAGTTCCCTTTCGAAAATTATAGGGTAATATGTTGTAAATTTCTTGATCATCTCTCTAGGTGTAGGTTTTGGGAAGAAGGATCGTTATATGCACTTAGATTGCGGTTAGGGACAACCGACTTTGATTTTCGCTAAGAACTACAATTAATGACTATAGCTACAATTGTTGAAATTTTTGTTACTTTTTGCACGCTTTTAACAGTTTTTGCTAATATTTTACGATTATCTTTAATAGTTTTTAATAAATAGTGTTTAGAATATTTGCTTGGGGTTTTCGATCATTTTTAGTGAGTAGGAGGCATGGAAGGATTTATAAGTGAATTGAGGCTTTCATAAACCTAAACCGAGAGCATTTTTGGATTTTTTAGGCTAGACGACTGTGCCTGCGTTCATGTATCTGTTATAACTTTAATACAGTTATTTACAAAACCTTAATCGTAAGATCTTCTTTACTAAAAATGTACAATTTTTTTTCTGATTCTTCGCATAATTTTCTTTATGCATATAATTATATGTATTAAAAGCATAAAGATAATATCTTCTTTACGCTGATGCGATTACAACAAACCAGTTACAGACAGATAAAATAATGGGAAAGGGATTTACAAACTAACTGTACAATATAGGGGCCTGATGTTTGATCATTTACAACAAAAGCTAAAACTGTGAAAGGGGCGAGGCAAGGAATCAAATCACAAAAAAGGGAAATCGAAAGCTTATTTGAACGAAGTTAAGGGCAAAGATGCCTGTACAAGCGGCACTCTCGCGATCTACGATTATCATCTAACCTCACAGTCTTTTTTTAATGGAAGTAAACTGCCTTCCCCGCTAACCCGTCCTCCCCCACTGCCGATATTATTGTTGTTCGAGTTGCTGTTGCAGGAGTTGCTGGAAGCCGAGGTGCCACTGGCCGAAGGTAATGAGTTATTGCTGTTCTCGTAGTTTCCAACGTTGACGCAAAGAGGGGTGGTGGAGCCCACAAGAGACGCTGGCACGCTCATGGCAGCCACGCCGCTCTCCGGCAGAGATGTGGAGTCGTGCACGTCCGCACTCTTGCTGGAGTCTATTACCAGGCAGGGCGGCGATGGCGTGCCCGCGTCCTTGCCAAGCAGAGCTGGCGATGCATTTGCATTCTGGGAATGCGGAGTAAAGCTGTTGAGCAGCCGACCCTGTGGAGATGCCTCTCCAAGCGGAGTTATCAGAGGCAGCTCCGATACCGGGGATGTGTTCTCTGGCGTTGGCTCATCCTTCTTGTCCGCTTTCGTTCCTATTATATAGCCCCCACCAGATGAGTTTCTGGCTATTTTGAATCGCAGGGGTGCCGGTGCTTCTACTGCAGGAGTCTGCTCCAGGCAGTCGGTCTTTGTAGTGGTCTCCGTCTTCCGTTTTCCAAAACGCAGTATTAGTTTCGGCTTATCGCCTGGCGAAGCGCTGGCCGTGTTCTCAATCAATGTAGTAGTCATGGTGGTTGTACTGCTATTTAGAATAAGCTGTTGCTGTTTCTGGCGCTTTTTCTCCTTCTTATCCTTTTTGGGCTTGGAAGACTTAGGGCGTTTTGTGGGAGGCTGGGGCATTATGAGGGACTGACCTTCTTGGACAAGGACATCTCGTTTGTTGTTGTCCTCGCCCTTGTCAAAGTCCTGCATAACTTTCTTGCGATAGTTCATAGAATCCCTCTTGATCTCCTCTAGCGTTAGAGTGCTGTAGTTGCTTGTCAAACGCTTCTTAGGAGGACAAGCTCTTCGGGTCATTTCATAACTATAGTTCTGACTCTCCCCCGCAATGGAAACACCCGAGGGTGTTTCGTTTGCCACCAATCCTCTAATTTTAATCTTCAGCTTGGGAGCCTGGTGGTCATCCTCGCTACTTTCAAGAGTCTTGCTTCTGCCTCGCCGCTTACCTGCACTGCTGGCTGCTCCGGTTTTGCTATTGTTGTCATTGTTGCTGCCAGAGCTGCAGGCGCTACGCCGTCTGCCCTCACCAGATGATGTTCCTGCACCCGTTCCCGAAGCTCCAGAAAGCATCTGTTCCTCCACAAGTGCCAAGTTCACATCAAGAGCTCGCAGTTCTCTACTGCTAGAGTTCTTCTTAAACCTTTTCGAACCGTTTCCACCAGATAGTTCATCTTCCTCCTCCGACTTTCGTAGCAGATTCTCCAAGGGCAAGTTGTCGGAAGCGGCTGGAAGACCGCATGAGCTGTCGTCGTTGTGGTTATCCTTCTGTACTACATAGAGACTGAGCAGTTCTTTCTTTCGCATGCGACGTGAGTTTCCGCTTACAGCGGATGACGCACTGACAACAGTCGACGCAGATACCGTTGTTTGCACAACATTGGAGGACTGAACTAGGTTACTGGACAAAGTCAGACTATTGCTATTCGTCATGGTATTATAGTGTTCCGGATAGGCCAGAGGACTCTTGATCTTAAGTTTAATCTGATTTCGAGTATCAGAGATCGAAGTCTTTGTGTGTAGTATCGTGCTATCTGAGTCGATCGATACTTCCTCCGAAGTAGCCTCCAGAGAAGCCTCAACCAGCGAGCCTTCAACCAAATGAGTTGCCGCAGCCGTTGCAACCACACTTGGTGCCATTTGGTTTGCTTCAGTAGAATGCAGAAGAAGGTTCGAAGTAGGTGCTGGGTTATGAGCAACTGGGGCTGAAACTAAAGAGGTTGGCGCTGAAGACTGCTTGCTGGGAGAGGTTCCGGTGCCAGTAGCTCGCAGCGCCGATTGGAATTGACGTTCGTCCTCTTCATTAAACTCGCTAAGCGTTTGATCTGCTGTTCCAGAGTCGAAAGCGCCCAGAAGATTGTTTTGATAGGCCTCTTGGGAAGCTGTGCTGTGAGGCGCCTCGAATCCGAGATTGTACGTCCTCATGTCGACAGGTCCCGGCAGTACAGGATGCAGGAGTGGATTGGTTGCTGTTGTGGTAGTTGGTGTAGTAGATTGCTTGTTTTGACCTCGAGGAGTTCGTAGCTCAAAGCTTCTTCTTCGGTCTCTCAGCGACTGTAGATTTTCCACGCCTGGCCCAGCCATGTCGTCGAACTCGTTGTTGAACTCAAAGGGGGTTCCGACCAAGTTGTTAACTATATGTGTGTTGCTCCCATAATCTGACATTGGAGGTGGCAATACCATGGCTATTCCGCTCGCATTTCCGGCTCCTCGTCCTCTACCCCTTCCACGGCCTCTACCTCTGCTCTGCGCCACAGACCCACCACTTCCCCGCGGCGCACGCTGACGCGGCTTTCCCTGCAATGTGTGCGTTTGCGGGTCATATTTAGTTGACGGCAACGAAACAACGGGAATTGATGCGGGAGGCGTAGGTGGCTGCAGAGGTTGCCTCGGCGACTTTACTGGCGACTTTCCTTGCGCCAGCTGGGGGGACTTTTGAGCCTGTTTTTTAGATGAGCTACCACCGTTGCTTCTTTTGTTAGGAGAGTCCTTTGCTGTAACTGGAACTGGTGGCGTTGGTGGCATCATCGAGGCGACAGATGCTTCAGCACAACTGCTTAGAAGCTGAGCCGGATATGTCGGTATTTTTCCATCAACCGGCGATGTCAGAGTAAACGGATGATTCGTTGTAGTCGTAGTCTGAACTGGGATAGGAAGAGCAGGCTGTTGTACAGGAAGCATTCCCAAGCTGGCCGTAGAATAAGGAGCTCCGGAGTACTGGTTGACCTGTTGCTGTGAAGGTAGTGCCGTCGACTGTACAGCACCGACAACTCCGACTCTTGGTACTCCTACTCCACCAACTGTTCCGTTGCCATACAAGCTTGGAGGCTGTTCCGTCGGCGTTGTCTGTGCATGCATAATACCCGCAATTTGGGGATAGATAGCACCATTGTACTGACTGTTTGGAGTTCTCTGTTGTTGCTGTTGGTGTGTTGGAGTTGTCTGTTGATGCTGCGCGGCCGTAGATTTATTAAATATTGGTATGGTATCAATACCATTTACCATCGGAACATGGTTGAAGGGAGCTGTTGCATTTGTGGCGCTGCCAGGCCCTCCGTTCCCACTCGCATAGCTGTTAAAATAGTTCTTACAGCTATCAAGCTGGGCGAGTGTCCGTGCCGTTGTTGCTGCTGCCACCACTGCAACTGGTTGTGAGGGAGGAGGATCATTTGATTCCGACACAGAGCTGGGCGAGCTACTCCTTCTTTCTGCGATAAGGTCGTTTTCGTTCCACGGAATTCTTGCAAACGGTGATTGCATGCGTGTGTTCTCGTCGTAGTCACCAATCTTGTTGTTGCCGCCCGCTCCCGATTGTGTGGGAACGGCAGCTGCTCCGCGAAAGGTTCCCAAAGTGTTCTTTACCGCTGCCGCGGCCAAGTCTACGAAGTCGGGGGTGGCTCCAGGTGGTACTGCGATAGCTCCGCCATTGCTGGATAGGGGATAGCCACCTTTTTGATGGGGTGACTTTTTCAGGAAGAGACTCAACGGTGGAGGCTGTTGGGAATTTGCAAAATTCATTTGGAAACCGCTGCCGGGTCCAAGATTGCTCATTGTTGCATTAGTGGGTGTGGCATTTGGAGTGCTTGTAAGGCTGTTGGCATAGCTTCCACTGTTGGCTGTCATAGGCGAATCCTTGATTGTCAATGAGGCAACAGAATTTGGTCCAGATGAGTTGCCATAAATACATGATTGTGCTTGCTGCTGTTGTTGTTGCTGCTGTTCTTTTTGGGCATGAATTATATCCTCTGGGTCCGCAGCATTGTGGAAAGGAAATACCGAGGGAATGGCCGGAGTCGGAGGCAATAGATCGACTGCATCTTTTGAACAACAGTCATCCTGTGCCTTGCGCTTAGTTTTACGTAGTTTTTCCAAAAGGTTTCGGGTTGCTTGAATACTATCTTCTTCACTATTTTGCTTACTACTATTCATACTCGACCCGATTAAGCTAATCTGCTCTGGATTAGGAGGATTTAAAACGCTGGCTAAGCTAGACGCGAAGTTATTGACGAATTTACTGTCCTCCATCTCTAGTATGGTGTCAACGATTGGCTCCGTTAGCACAGGGGGCATGTGCTCAACAGCAAGTTGCTCTATTAGGGGCCGCTGTGGAGTTAGCAGCTGTTGCTGTATAACAGTTGACACAACATCACTTGCTGGAGACTGTAAAGCAATTGGAGGTGGCAAAGTTTGCTCTTGCAGCTGTAACTGCTGCTGATCTGCGCCAGAATTTGCTGAGTTTGAGTCCAGTTCAATAATTTCCGGGGGATCTGGGGGAATAACAGTGACTGCTGGAGAGGATGTAGACGCGGAGTACTTGCTGGCATTTGCAAGCAGCTCGTTCTTACGTTCCTCTTCTAGCTCCCTAGCCATTTCCATTTCGTTAAGAAGGTGTTGGGTGTGATGCGTATGTTCCTCGTCTGGCTCTTGGCTATGTCTCCTTCTTCTCCGCCTAGACCGCCAACGCATGCGCCGTTGTTCGCTAATATCACTTCCGCCGTCGGACAACTCGTCATTAGAGGTAGGAGTAGGAGTAGGGGAGGCAGGAAGCGGAGCGGCCGGAGGACGCTCATCGTCAATAATATCCGCCAATTTACTCGCACTTGCAGAAAGTTGAGTTCGTGTTGGAGCGGTGGTTAACTCTTCATCAATATCCATTGGTAGTTCGCCAGCCTCTGCTGCAGACTCCAGCTCCGGCTCAAGCTCACGGTGTGATTCTGTTTCTTCGTTGGGCCGCTGAATGATCGGCACCTCTAAAGTTTCATGATCACTTTGGTCCTTTAAAATAGGCGTGGCTGATGCAGGTGGAGTCGGTGACATCGGTGGTGATGTAGCTTGTGCGGAACTATTCATCTGCTGCTGTTTCTTATTTAAAAGCTTGTCTAATGAACTAGTTGCTTTGCCACTGGCTGCTTTCCTTTGGTTGATTTCATGTTCCAAATTTGCCATCTTCTTAGGGGATTCTTCCGTTCGAGATTTGCGCCTAGAGGCTGCCTTTTCCGGAGAGGATTTGACTGTGGGCGAGGGCGGTCGCGACTTGGAGCCACGGGTTGCTCTCTTTGTGGCCTGTTCCGACTGGGACTGCTTTGCGCTGTCATCTAAAGACCCCTGGCGTCGATGTAACTGTGCCTTAGTGGTACTTTCATCCTGAATGGTTATCACTGGCTTCTGCATTGTTCCCTTTGGCGATTTTGTTGTAGAGTTCTGCCGGGACCGCGTAGACGGGGTCTGCAGTGGTGCGGGCGGTGCTGATGCAACGACCACAGCTGATGCTGCCGGCTTGTCCAGAGACTTGCGAGGTGACCGCTTTGGCACATTTGAGGTTACAGGTGGATTTGACACAGGGATATGGGCAGGATCCCTACTAGTTTTCTCCAAATCGCTGGCCTGAGATTCGCTGTCGGTGTCGCTACCACCACTGCTCGAACTAGTCCCCGAGCTGCTAGACGAACTGGAGCTGTCACTGTCACCAGAACTGGAACTTGAAAGATTCGGGACTAGTACTCGACGCTTGGCCGGGGGAGTCGTTTTAATAGGTGTTACCACCACATCTTCCTTTGATTTTCTTCTACTAATTAAGGTTTCTTTTGAAGTAATTGCTGTTTCCTTTAATGAGGTCCGTCTAGTCGGCTTAACTGGCGTTGTGGAAACCGACGCAGATCCTGACCCCGTCGCTGCTGTTACTGTTTCTTTCTCCGACATGTCGTTTCCAGTTGAGAAATTTTCTTGTACAGGTTTGCTGCTCTTTAATTGCTCTGCTGCCTTTTTGGCCGCTTGCCGTTGAGGAACTAAGGAGACTGCAAAGTTTGACTTGGCTGAGGCTGGTGCAGTGGCAGCAGGTTGAAGCTTGCTCTGAGAAGGCATGGGGACTACCAGTTTCTCTTTTTCAGTAATGGAAGGTGGACGCAGATCCTTAGGCACCTTTGGTGGCCTTCCACGTTTCCCACGTTCCGCAGGGGCACTTTCTGGGACTTTGCCAGCCACTTTCTGTAGCTGATCTTTTGGTCGAACTTTTTCGAGACTGGTTTTATCCGTTTCAAGTGCATTTTTAAAGCTCGAGTCCTTAACCTTGGCACTCTTGGAATTTGTTGCAATTGAATTCGTTTCCGGCTCTCGGACTCTGTCAGAAGATTCTGGCTGAAGCGTCGTGGCGAGGTTGGTGGACCGCATATTTTCCGAAGCCTTCTTGGCTGCTTTGCGTTGTGGTACCACTAAAAGATCTGCCGGATATGGCAACTTAACATTCGAATTCGTTTTGGATTTTGCGCTATTAACAGTACTAGTACCTCCCTCCTTCGCATCTTTTCCTTCCCACTTAGACTTCGCTTTGCTAACTGAGGAGGTTGGTGTGACAGCTGTTCCTGGCACAAACTCTTTCATAGCTGCTTTCGTCCGGATCGTCTGTTGGTTTTGAGAGTCACTCACATTGCTTTCGATAGTTGCTTGCTCCTCCGGGTCTTTTTCCTGTGCAGATGAACTGCTTTCGGAATCGGAATAGATGTGCTGGCCCATTTTTCGACTTCCGACCGAACCACTCGGCACCAGTCCGGACGTTGTTGTGCTTTCTCGACGCCGTTCCACTTTCAGAGGCAACAACTCTTCACTTTCATCACTCGACAAGCTCTCCTCTGCATCCTTGTATATTTGTGCAAGGCCTCGCGCTGTCGTAGACAGTTTTCTTCTTGCTGATGTACCAGCTGCCGGTCCAGCGCGTGCTTCTGTGGTTGGTTTTGACTTAGTTGTCTGACTCTTCTTAGGTACTGATGGTTTGTTGTGGATTGGTCCACGTCTCGACTCGCTCTCTGGTTCTTGTCGGTTTCGACGCCGCTCACCTTCATCGTCGCTGGAGCTGCTCCCAGTCCTGGAATCCGGAGACGCTGCAGACGCACCTGCAGCTGCCTCACTTTGCCGACGTTGGCGTTGTTTTTGCCGCTGCTCAACGGAGCGAGCATAGCTCTGCTTTTTAAGGGGACTTCCTGAGGAAGACTTTCGCTTAGAGGCTCTGCTGACAGCGCTAGAGGTTCCGCTTTCGCTGCCTGAATCACTTCCAGAGGAACTATCGGAACTACTGGTGCCATCCGCCGAGCTGGAATTACCCGATGATGAACTGCCGCTTGACGAATGGGAGGACGCGCTACACCGGATATTTGTGTGTGATTGATTTCTGTTGTGGGTCGACGTCGCCGCCGCCGCGGTGCTCTTTGAGGCACGCCTCCCGGCAGGAGGCTTCCCAGGCGGTGACCGCACCTTAGCGACAATCGGTACCACCTTACTTCCCGTTACGGTTTTCTCAGGCGAAGACGTGCGTGAGCTCAGAGCGCCATTGTTTAACTTTTTGCTGGGCGATGGTTTTGCAGGCTGCTTGCGTTTATTAGGAGACTGCGATGCACGGCCACGCCCCTGCTTACAACTCTGTAACTTGCCCATAAGCTGTTCGAGGATGTAGTTCAAATCCTGATACTGTGCCGGCACAGTCTGTCCTCCAGCCGAGCTGTAGAAGCGGTCGTACAAAGTGGGTCCGTCATTGGCGTAGATAACAACATCTAGATCTACTGCAGGTCTGTGCTTTTCGTCCTGTTTTGGCTGCTGGTTCTCCAAACGCATTTCGTCCAGGACTCCAAGCTGCTTATAGAAGACCTGCTCACGTAGCTTAAAGAGAGACCGCGAAAGTTTCTCTCTTCGACTGACCATATAGCAGAGATTACGAACTCGTTCCAAGTCCTGACGCAAATGAACTACCAATTTATGATTTTCCATGTCTTGCTGTTCCTGCTTGCGGGCAATCATTTCCACGTCTTCGGACTTAGGCGGGATCAATTCCCGATTGTGCCGAGACTTCCGTTTGAGCTTCCAATAGTTGTATATGGCAACAATAGCATCGTCATCGACATCAAAGAGATGGCAACTAATGTCATTAATATTAACGTGCTTATCAAACTCAGCCTCCACTTCCTGAAAGGGTATACAATAAGTTAGCACAGAATAGATGCAATAAGATACACAAAGCTGAATGAAAAGAAATCATTAAAATACTAACCTGAAGACGCTGTGCTCTGGCTTGGTTACGTTCTTCGGAGGTTAGTTCGGTTTTCCGGTGATTTTTCCGCCTGCGCGTATCCTCTCCAGATTTTGCACATGCATTGCTGCCATCGTCTCCTGTTCCGCCACCAGTCCCACTGCCATACCTGTTCGCTTTGTGCAACGCGCTTGCCACTGAGGCACTGCCTCCGCCATGGCCAATAGCATTCTCTTTCTTACCCTTGCTCATGCTGTGCTTCTGGCAATAGGAGCGCAACTTCACTCCGTCCTCGGCATTTCCTTCCTCAATTATTGCACGCATTTCTAATCCATGCTGGAACGCGCAGGTAACATGGTAAGCTGTTTTGCAGGGTTTTACTGAGCACTGAATACAGCTGCCAACTCGCTTACGGCAAAGTACACAGATGAGAGACCAGCGTGACTGGGGAATGCTTGAAATTTTTGTGATCGGTTCCATGCGATCCACACATCCAATGCTGACCTCGGGTATCCAAAGGGCACAGGAAACGTGTGCCCAGTGCTTGCCTGACTTGTTCGACTTCATGGCCCCTCCTTTGTTTGGACAGAGCACACAGTCCGGCTTGATTCCCATCGAGCAAGTGCGACATAGCCATTGGCCTAAAAAAGAAGTCCAAGTAAGCACATAATGGCGTAATCTTTAACTGTCAGTGGCTTACCTGATGGAATTGCTGTAATGCCGTAACAAGCCTGATGCACACAAATATTGCAATTATCACAGAATACCATTTCGTTCGCCTCCTCGGAATCGGGCGACCGGCAAACATCGCAGATGACGTTTTCGTCAAATTCGATGCCCAAACCTTCTTCCTGCTTGAGAATGACTTGAATCTGTTCCCAGCAACGAACCTAGAAAAAAATCAATAGATTGGTAATATTGTTTTTGTTCAAAACCTTAGCAAACTCACCTCCAGCTCCTCAATGACGCGTTCGAACTGCGTCGCATTAATGGGAAAAGAACCGCATTGGGCACGATCGTTGTTGTAGAGGCGCAGCCAGGCCTCGTCAATGGGATCTATGTCATAGGCACATGTGTTTTCCGCCAGGGCAACGACGTTCGTCAGATAATGCAGATCCGGCGAGTAGTGTTCGTCTTTGGTAATGCGCAAGTAGCGATTTTTCGGACTGTAAGCGAGAGCAGCAAGGCAGAGATTAGTCGGTTTTAAATTCACAGAAAATAAATTAGCTAGGAATGAACTCACAGCTTAAAGTCGTGTGCGGGTGACACAACAGGCTCGGGTAGAACGTAAACGCATGGTTCAGGAAGTGAGTCAGGATTGACAGGCACTTGTACGCCTTTTTCCCATTCCTGCTTCCATGGGTCCGTTACTATTAAATACTCATAGTTGGCCAACGGCTCAGAGTCTGGCAATTTCATTGCGCTAATGAGATCCTTGCTGCAATAAGAATGTTTAATTTGAATAAGAATGCTTAGTGAAATCATTTTTGCTTGGACCACTATAGACTCTTTACCGGTAAAGTTCAGCTGGAGCTTCCGTTGAGCTGCGATTGTAAATGCTCGACATCTTGATGTCCGCCACAGACCGCGCCTGCCAGGAACTGCTTGAACTCGCCCCTTGCGACTTGCACTTGCTTGATGATTTTGCCAGCTTTGTTGACTTGGATTTGCTAGTGCTGGCGGCGCCTGCCGCCCTTCCCTCGCTTCCTCCTCCCGCTTCAGGTTCTGGTTCCCCCTGTTGGTCATGCTTGCTGTTGCTCAGAGGCAGAACTGGTACCCGTTCTGATACCGCAGCTGATCCCGCATTAACTCCTGTCGCTTCTGCTGCACCTGCTATTGCAGTCGTGGTCGCCCCATTGGGCGGCCTGCCTTTACGCCGCTTGGTGGGCGGCGGTTGCGGCTCAACATCCTTGCGCTGCTGCTGTTGCGGCGGCGGATGGTGCGACTGGTGGTGATGTTGATTTCCGCGCTTACCTCTTTGTGACATTTTTCATTGGTGTTGATAGGGTTTGTGTGTGTTTTTGCGTCGATTAGTACCTCTTTCCTTGTGTCTTGTGCTTGTTAGAAAACGGGTTCTTTGCTACAAGACCTAAAAAGAATAGTCGGAAGTTCAGAACATAGTTCAGAGGGTGATCGCTCGCTACTCACTACATGCTTAAGGCCAAAGTTGGCGACACCACACCGGCTGCGGCTGCTGCTGCGCTCTCCTGGTTGTGGTGCGGTTGTAGTTTTTGGTTGTCCGCCCTTGGTTACCCGTAGACATGGACGCCGCTGCTGCCCCAGCCCGGATATCCAGTAGCGACGCCACTTTGCAGTCCTGTGTGCTCTGCACTTCTCCGGTAGCAAGTTAGTCCACTACCACCAACCGCTTACTGCCTTTTGTTATTGTTCGTTGTTTATACACACACTTGCAGGTTTGCCCTGGCGATTGGCTTACTGTTTTGGATTTTCGGCGAGCATCTACTAGTCTGGCGGGCAAAGACAAATGTTAGTTGGTTATTCGCTGATAGCAGGAGCGTTTCAAATTAGTGCCCACATTTTTGTCCATTCAGAAAATACACAAAAAATATAGAAAAACGCTCAGGCTACCAGCAAATAGATGGTTGCTGCAACACACACAGGCACCCTCTCGCTCGCACACAGCACGCTCGTTTAAGGGCGCGCTTACTCCTCTCATGAGTGCGAACGGGAGGCAAGCAGGTGGCGCGCGTGTTGCATCCGCCAGCTTCTACTAGGCACACAGCCATCCCCCTCCGACACTCCTCTGCACAAAAGCAATCATAGTTTTTGCACTTTTTTCACTTTTATTATAATAACTTATTTGTTATTGCGAACCGCACACCCGGACTCCCAATCAACAAGCCCTTAGCGATCCCGCTGACAATACGCCCATTTGAAGCGCCACATTCGCACGTACATTCTTGGGGGAGTTGGGATTTTGTTATATATTTTACATTTGCGTTTTTTGCCGCCGCAGACACACACGCCAGGCACTTGTTACTGGACGAAACCAGCTTGCAGCCGTCGGATTTCACGCAGCATCCGTTTCAAACTCACGTTTCGCGAAATTGCATATGCGTTTGCAGGAATTACAATTCATTTGATTATTTATTTTATTTTTGAGCAAAAATTATTTTTCTCAGATCGCCATGATGAACGGTTGCAAATTTAAGCTATCGAATGAAATGTAGTCGGTGGTAGTTATCGATACGTAGCTTGGGTATACACAGAGCTGCACTCAACCCAGGGCTGTAATACGTTGAGCAACAATATTTAAACGTTCCATGTATAATTCATTTATTTAAACTGTGTAGTTTTAGGAGATTGTATTATTTTAAGTTTATTCATTAACTGAATTAAATCTTATTTGCTGCTTGAAAAAAAATTAAAATTTATAATTTGAAAGTTGGCATGCTATGTTTGCAAAGAAATAATATGAGTAATAACGTGGACAAAAAATACTGCATTCAAAAAAGTTCACTTTATTATAATTAGTAGTTAATTATGTTCCTATCCCTTAAATAAGAATTGAAAATAATGAAATGAAAAGATTTAAATACATTGATTTTTCCTTCACCCTTTCAGATAAAAAAATTAAATTGGTAAAATACTACAAATGTGCAAAACCGTACAAAATCAATGGGAAAACTTAGCTATCGGTAAAATTTAAATTATCGTGCTTTCTGCATACATCTATCGAAGACCCACGATTCAGGCGTCCATCTCCAGCACCAACAAGAAAATATATGTATATTTGAAATTATATGTAAAAAAAAAGGCAGTACGCTTCGCACAAAGGTAAAGCTGAATACCACTAAATCGGACCTCTGATGGAGCGATAAGCATGCTACTTTGCACTGCCACTTCGCTAATTTGACCGCCCTCTGTTCAGATCGTCTTCTTAATCGCGCTTGAAAAGTCTGGCGGAGCGTTGTGAAACTGAATACATATTTCTAGAGCGGCTCAGCAAACGCAACAAACATGTCAGCTACTCCCAATTCGAATAGTAACAGTAGCAACAGCAAGCAACCCCTGCCTCAAAAACAAGACACGTACAGTAGCGACAGCAGCGAGGAGGCTCTCGAAACGGCCGAGGAGCGAAGGAGGCGCATCCTAAAGGAGCGCAGCCGATTGAACCGACCGCAGCATATGTCTGGCGCGGGGGCCGTCCCTAAGCACGACCGCAAGTCCCCAGGCGGATCATCTCCCAGCTGTCAGGCAACGGGCTCCGGAGCGGGGTGTCGGCTCCAGGCTCCGCCAGATAGGATCTCTATGCTAGTGGATGGCGTGCGCTTTACGGTGGAACAGTCCCTGCTAACAAGCCACCCCACTACAATGCTGGGCACCATGTTTGGCTCCGGCTTCCAGTTCGCTCATGCCAACGAGCGCGGGGAGTACGACGTGGCAGACGGAATCTCGCACCTTGTGTTTAGGGCAATCCTGGAGTATTACAAGAGCGGGGTGATCCGTTGCCCGCCCACTGTTTCTGTGCCGGAGCTAAAGGAAGCATGTGATTATCTGCTTATTCCTTTTGACGCCACAACCGTGCGGTGCCAGAACCTAAGTGAGTATACAGAGATGCTCTTGCCTGTGCTTATCCTTAGTTATGGTCATCTCTGTTTTATTCTTTTTTTTTGTTGTAACATAACACCTGTTGTGTACGACATAAAGGAGGCCTTCTCCACGAACTTAGCAACGAAGGGGCAAGACAACAATTCGAACTTTTCTTGGAGGACTTGATTTTGCCCCTCATGGTGTCCTCTGCGCAGCGTGGGGATCGCGAGTGCCATGTGGTGGTGCTTCTCGAAGACGATATGGTCGAGTGGGATGAAGAATTCCCGCCCCAAATGGGCGAGGAGTATTGCCAGAGTGAGTAGGGCTACAATGTACAAAGTGGTTTACATTATATTAATAAAAAAATTATATTCCTTCGCAGCTGTTCACAGCACTGCCATGCATAGATTCTTCAAGTACATCGAGAACCGCGATGTGGCCAAGCAGGTCATGAAAGATCGTGGGCTGAAGAAGATCCGCTGCGGCATAGAGGGATACCCAACCCACAAAGAAAAGATCCGAAGGCGGCCCGGTGGGCGGGCTGAGGTGATCTATAGCTACGTCCAGCGCCCGTTCATCCACATGTCTTGGGAGAAGGAAGAAGCAAAGAGTCGCCATGTAGATTTTCAGTGTGTGAAATCCAAGTCTGTCACGAATCTCGCAGATGCGAATGCTGATCCACCTCTGGAATTGGACGCAAGTGCGCAAGGCTCGACGTGGCGAATAACAGCTCCCTAAACTCCTAATTCTATTCCAGGTGGAAACCCGATTCCTCCTATCGCAGTGGCTAATCCCCATCCCAACAACCCAGAGCTCGCTATCGGTGTGGTTGCTGCTCCCTCTGCAGCGATGGGCATGGCTGGACCAGAAGCCGTAGTTGCAGTCGACGAGGCGGCTGGAGGCATTGTGATGCTCAACGAGTTAGATCAAGCAGCTGTTGCTGGTGCCGCCGCCATTGTCGAAGAAAGCAGGTAGAGCAATGGTCCGAAAAAAGGGCGGAACCCACTGCCAAAGGAGCAGCCCGCACAGTATACCATTTTTACGTTTTTCATTACCATTTTTATATATGCAATAAATCGAAATTTTAAACAAAAACAAATTTAGGCCACTTCATAAAGCCGTCATTAATAAAACAACAACCACAAATATAAGTACACGACATTACCAAGGTCGAGCTGCGTCTATGCTCCATCGAATGCCTCGCGCTCTCCGTAAGAAAGGGTCGAAGTCTCCCAGTTTAGGGAGCGCTCGATGGCCATTTTCCACTTCTGGTAGCGAAGATTGCGATCTGTGGTACTTATCGAAGGTTTTATGGCCTCTCGGGGTCCCGACTTCGAGAGTGGAGCTTCCATTTGGTAGCGGCTCTCAATGGCTTTGTAAGCTGCCATTGCAGCTCCCTGAAAAAAAAGGGCATACAAAAAAAGCGATCACTCTACAAGTTAAAGTACTTACCAACGCTGTTGTCTCGGCAATCTTAGCTCGAAGCACTTGGATCCCGACTAGGTCAGACTGCAGTTGTAGGAAAAGATTATTCACAGTCATACCACCGTCTACCATTAGCTTTGCCAAAGGAATTTTGCAATCCTTGTGCATTGAATCGAGTATATCACGGACTTGAAAACAAACTGCCTCCAGAGTGGCTCGCACTATATGCTCACTTGTTGTTTCTTCACTTAGACCACAAATAACTCCCCGGGCGTCCTGGTTCCAGTAAGGAGCATAAAGACCGTTAAAGGCTGGTACAAAGTACACATCCAGGGAGTTGTCCACAGTGCTGGCCATAGTTTCGATCTGGCCTGAATTCTGAATGAGGTTTATGTTGTCGCGCAACCAGTTAAATGCCGCGCCGGCAATAGACACGCTGCCCTCGAGAGCGTAAAACGGGGCAGCCTTTCTGCCCAGTTGGTAGCCAACGGTGGTAAGTAAGCCATGCTGAGAGTGCACAATTGAGGGACCTGTGTTGTAAAGCAAGAAACATCCAGTGCCATATGTAGCTTTGGCTTGGCCCTTGGTCAGGCACTGTTGCCCAACCAGAGCAGCTTGCTGGTCACCCAAGACAGAGCTTATACTGATGCCTTTGAGCACGCCCTGGGCAATGTTACCGTAAAGCTCCGCACTTGAACAGATCTCCGGCAATATACTCTTTGGGAGGCCAAAAAACTTGAGCAAGTTGGGATCCCACTGGAGCGTCTCTATGTTCATAAGCATGGTCCTCGAAGCGTTGGTCACATCCGTCTTGTGGACGCCCAAATCTTTTCCGCCAGTTAGGTTATACATCAGCCAGGTGTCAATGGTGCCGAACATGGCCGTGCCCCTCTCCATTGCCTGGCTCACCACCGGTACATTGTCCCGCAACCAACGAAGTTTCACGCCAGAAAAGTACGGCGACAAAGGTAGTCCGCACAGGGGTCTCAGGTAGTTAATATTCCTGGTATTATTAGGTATAGTCTCCAACAGTTCCTCCACCGTACTGGTGGTTCGGTTATCTAACCATATTATAGCGTTGACCAGGGGTTGGCCGGTTTGTCTATCCCAAACGACAGTTGACTCGCGCTGGTTTGTTATTCCAATCGTAATGATTTCCTAAAACCAGCCAAATTTAAGAGATAATTTTTAATTAATTAATTAGCGTTTAAGCGAAGCTAGGGTACATTCTATAAACTGGAATAGAAAAAAAATAGCAAAAAAATGTATAGATTTCAATCGTTTGGGAATTAAATTTCGAGCTTAGCACATCCGCTTGGTTGTCAATCGATTGGGAATTCAAATACAAGTTTAACATTCCATGTCTAGCCATTGGCTAATGTACTGTTTTTTTTTTTTTTTTTTGAGGAAAGCCCACTAATAAATCAAACATAAATTAAGAATAAAAAATTTTTAGGTTTGAATGCCAGTTGGATAAGAATTCAAATACAAGCTTAACGAAGTATGACATTTCATATTCCGACCATTTTTGTCTTTGTAGTGTTTATTTGTTTGGCGAAGAAAAAAAAGAACCAAAATTTGGATTTCTACTCAGGTTCAATTTATAAAAACAAAAAAAATTCAAAAATGAAATATTTTTAGAATTGAATGCCAGTTGAGTATGACATTCTATGGTCCTACCATTTTTGGATTCGCTATATCAGAAACCTCTGGGTCAATTTATTTGACAATTTCCGAGACGTCGCCAAGTTGGTAGCAAACCATATAAAATTTGAAGGTGAATTGGGCAAAGAGAAAGGCAAAGTTCGGAACGTCTTCTTGCGATACTTACTAAATATATCGCATTTGGTCAAACGCGTATGTGTGCGACCATCACTAGCACCTATGTGTGTATAATGCTGAATACAAAGCTAAAAAAGAGCAGTAAACAACTAAGTGAAAATAATTGATAAAAGCCTACGACGTAACCAGGACGGAATTTTTCCGCAGTGGGCGTGTGCCAAATGTCAACGCTAGTCAGAATAATACGACAAAGCATTTTGGTCTCTAACCACACGCAGCTACGCAGGATGTTCGGGCAAAGTTCAACCATTGCTGTGGGTCAAATGCGTTCTACCAGTGATAAGGCCGCTAATCTCGACCAGGTGAGAGAGCTGGTGGCCAGGGCCAAGTCTAGAAACGCATGTATGCTTTTCTTGCCCGAGTGCTGTGATTTTGTAGGCGAGAACCGCGACCAAACACTTGAGTTTTCGGAGGGCTTAGACGGAGAGTTAATGGCGCAATACCGGGAGCTGGCCAAGGGCAATGAAATGTGGCTCTCCTTGGGCGGCGTGCACGAGCAAAACGAGCAGGGAAAAATCTACAACACTCATGTCCTCGTAAATGAGAAGGGGGAATTGGCCGCTGTTTACAGGAAGCTGCACCTATTCGACGTATCTACAAAAGAAATTCGCTTGCGCGAGTCCGACACCGTATCGCCGGGCGATAGCCTGGTGCGACCAGTTAACACGCCCACCGGCCAGGTGGGGCTGCAGATTTGCTATGACCTACGGTTCGCCGAACCTGCAGTGATGTTAAGAAAAATGGGTGCCCAGTTGCTCACATACCCGGCTGCTTTCACCTATTCTACGGGCAAGGCGCACTGGGAGATCCTGCTGCGCGCGAGAGCGATCGAAACTCAGTGCTTCGTGGTTGCTGCAGCCCAGCAGGGCTGGCACAACAAGAAGCGGCAGAGTTGGGGCCACAGCATGATTATCAGCCCCTGGGGAAAAGTTTTGGCCGACTGTGGCTGTGAGGAGCTTGCTATCGGCACGGCCGAGGTAGATCTCTCTGTCTTGCAAAATCTGTACGATTCCATGCCCTGCTTTGAACACCGACGAAACGACCTCTACACCTTGACAGCTTACAACGTTCCCAGTGCGGAACCCGCGCAGGATCGGCCATTTGCCAGCAACATAGTGGACAGACGCACTATTTTCTACGAGTCCGAGCACTGTTTCGCTTTCACCAATCTGCGATGTGTCGTAACGGGCCACGTCTTGGTGTCTACAAAGCGCGTAACACCACGGCTTTGTGGCCTTTCTGTAGCCGAGATGGCAGATATGTTTTCGACGGTCTGCATGGTTCAAAGGCTTCTGGAAGAGATATACCAAACCACTTCCGCAACCGTCACGGTACAGGACGGCGCCCAGGCTGGACAGACTGTTCCCCATGTTCACTTCCACGTGATGCCACGCCGTTATGGGGACTTCGGCCACAATGACCAGATTTATGTGAAATTGGATGAACGTGCAGAAGAAAAGCCTCAGCGCTCGATTCAGGAAAGAATAGAGGAGGCTCAAGTGTACCGCAACTTCCTTACGGATAAAAGCTAGTTGCTTATCCCCACTCCTTTCTCTGTTATTTATTACATTAATAAAAAAACATGTTGTATACCGCGAAGTATTTTCGACCTGACGCATTGAAAAATTACGTACCTCAACTTTGCCACCCACAGCTTCGAGCTTCTTGCAGGCTCCGACAATGCACTCGTTAACCGTTTTCATTAGGGCCATGGGATCCTGTTCGCACCATCCTTCCTTTTGAAAAATAGACTCCACCTCGATTTGATGGAAACAAACAATCTCGTCGGTACCAGCGCGGAATATTATGAATCGCGCTGAGGTGGTTCCCTCGTCGATAGCCCCTACGAATGGACCAGTTACCGCAGGCGGAGGCGAGGTTGTCTCTGAAGTCGGAGAGTCCATTTCTAAATGGCTGTTCGGAGTTCACGTTTAGTGGTGCCGGTAAGAGTTTATTTGACACTAAAATTAGTTATTGGAATCTTGTCGACATATTCTACGGAAATTATGCGATAAGAGATAAGGTGAGCAAGCTCTCTCTTTGCTAATCGTTGCGATAGGAGGGTGTTTAACTATAGAAAACTCGTCAATGAGTAAATATTTACTGCGAATGGTTGCGACATGTGAGCGAAAGAACGTTTATGCACCACTGAAATCGAGAAAAAAGCAGAAAAACAAATCGTTTCTTTAATTTAAAGTAAATTTACTATGGCAAATGACACCTAAAAACTATTTCTTGATTTGACTTTCAGCACATTTTTTTAATCAGATTAATATAGATCTTTCTTTTCGAGTACTTATTCACATAAACGAACATTCACCACGATATAAAAATATTTGGACATTGGGGTAACACTTTAATGTGTGACCATACTCCGGAAGATACAATACAAATTATACAAAAATAACAAAACTTCGCCAACTGAACACAACCAAGAGGACTTGTTATTATTACCATGCCGATTTCAGAGTTTCAGAAGAAAGGATTATGGGATTTATTTATTAACCAGAATAACTCTTCTGTCTTGTTGCACATAGCCAAAGGCACCACGAAGAATTTGTGCAAAACCGACGATCCTGAGGGTAAGATTGTTATGGACGTTATTCAACCAAAAGTTGTGTAAATAACGATTTTTCTTGCAGAAGCCCTTAGACTGCTTACTACACACATTCCAGACATTTACATCTTGCTTTCTAAGCGCGCTATAACTAAAGAACTCCTTTTCACATACTTGCACGCACGACAGCCAAACGCAACCACAGATTTCAGCAAGGCGGACCTTATAACAAAGGTGATTCAGTATTGGGAACAGGATCAGGCGCCAAGCAGTTTGCTTTCTAAGTGTCAGTATTCCTCGGAAGAATCTATTTACCACCAAAACGAAGAGGATTTACCAATAAACGCGATCGCACGGAAGTTTGGAGAATGGTTCTTTGAACGCTTAAATTCAGAAAGACTAAGTCTGGTGGATCTGTGGACCGATGCTGTCCTGCAACTTACCATTATAGCTAGCGATGGAACTAACAAGTTGGAGTGCGTGACAGCCGCTGAGGTGCTGTCGGCACTTACGACCGCCAAGCGTCAATTTGGTTTCCACTTTAATCCTAACTTGACTCATACCGGGATCCAGGGACGGATGGATTCTTACGGGCAGGTCGTGGTGCTCTGCTGCGGCACTCTGCACACGTGCGATAGATGCGTCGGTGTCTTTGAGTGTGCCTTCGGACTGCTAAAGGATCCGTATGCAGAAAACAACTGGAAACCCAAGAAAGTTAAATGCCTGCTCAAAAGCGAGCTGCTGCCCCCGGAACTTCACAGCCTGTGCTTAAGCGAGACACTACAGGCCGATTTAAGTCTGCCGGTTCCCACTGACGACTTGGCATAACTGACGATCAGTGAACTAGACTGAGAACTTTAGGTGTAAATGTGTGTCACTCGATTTTAAATTTAATTAATTAAACTTACCTGAAAGTCACACCCTCACAACAAATGACCAAGTTCAACCAAAGCGTATCATAAATTTGTGAAACAAATTACTTAATCTACTCACGAATTATTGAACGCCGTTGACGCTTGATGCCGTTGATGAAATACTTTAACAGTCCGAACTGTAAGTTTAAAGAAAATTAATGCATTAAAAGAGGTGTAGATAAAAAGAAAAGCTGAATCTGACAGTTGGTCAAATTAAAGCTTATATGCCTGATGTTTTCTTCGACCAGCCGAAGCTGCTTTTTCCTTGCATTGAAAAAAAGTCAAATGTTTCGTATTAGTCGTGTAAAACAATTTTATAAGATTTAAAATGATATTATTATGATATTTAATTGATAGAAAATAATAAAAATTATTTTTTAATATGCTTTGAATATGGCATTAAATCGGAGGGACTTGAGGGACATAAGTATAAATTTTAACTAGTAAAGGCCAAGGAACCCTCTACCGTAATATGCAGAGCTCTAAAATTGTAGAACACATTAATATGAATATGGCCAAGTAAAAACAAAATATATGAGTGCCGATATAACTAAATATTATGTGGGAAAATCGGTCACATGCATCTCATATAGTAGTCATATTAAAATACTAATAAACACGCATGACACACACACGAATAACAAGTTACGGAACATTTGCTAACTGAATAATATTTTGTATAATTCGGTTCTCAAACCGCGCCGTACAGCTAAAAAGCACAGAGCTTATTTACACCGCTTTTTTAGATGTATAGATCGTATGATTTAGGTGAGCATATTTGTCTTACGACTAGGCAAAACGGAATTACATTTAATTGAAATTGTCGTTCGCTCTACATCTTCTCCTGGATGAATGGGTGAAGTAGGGCCTGATTGAGGGAGATACGCTTGGCCGGATCTAGGGCGAACATGTTCTCCAGCAGATCCTTGAGCTGAGTAACCTTGCGCTGCTGATCGTCTGGTAGGTTTTGGTCAGCAATTAGTTCTTGCTGCAAGCTACGCGAGGGTTTAACTACCGGCATCACAACAATTTTTTCCTGAAGAATTAAAACATTGCAGTCCAAAGGTTAGCTTCTTGCTTTATCTCAAAAAACTTACCCGTTCTGTGAGCTTATCTATTTCATGATACAGGAAGTTGCAGCTTTGATCAAAGTGCTGCTCCTTAAACTGACCTTTCCTTACAATTCGGTTTGGTATCTTGCCCTTAACGTCCATAAAAAATTTTAGCATCTGGTTGTTACTCTTTCCGCTGAAGAGAATCTTTCCTGTGTAAAGCTCGTAAATTGTGCAGCCGGCGGACCAGGTATCGATGCCATAGTCGTACGGAATACCCAAAATAATCTCTGGCGAACGGTAGAATCGCGACACCAAGTAAGGAGTTATTTCATTGTCACTGATTGCCGAGGCAGACCCAAAGTCGCACAACTTTAATATCAGATTATTTTCGTTGACCAATATATTATCCGGTTTTATGTCCGCATGCAAAATGCCGGTCTTTTTAAGCAATTTGAGTGCCAAAAAAAGTTGCTGCGTGTAGCTACGAACTGCTTTGATGTGGAGGCCCACATTTTTGCCATATTTCTTTAAGACTTCACGCAGATTCATTGCCAATGGTTCAAATACCATACAAAGATGCTACAGCGCAAAAATAATATTTGCAATAAGGATTATTATACAACATTTGTCATGTTGTTGACTTACCTGCTTGTGGAAAAAGTGACGGTACAACCGCAAGCAGTGGAATCTGTCCTCCGGATCAGCATCGTTAAGCTTCTTAAGAATTTCAAGTTCCCGCAAGCCAGTTTTGTGCCTAATATGATCGTAAATAAACCCATCACATAATATAATAAATTTTTGCTTACATAATTTCGTTGTTGCGTATGATTTTTATGGCTACATTAGCCTGTCCTCGAGCTTGGTCTCTGCCACGAACGACATTGCTAAACACACCCTGTCCAGTGTATCCATTTACTAGATAGCGATTATCCAGCACTTCACCGATCCGAACTCGATAATAGCCTTCTGCGTCGTCCCAGTTGTCGGTGAGGGCGGGGTTTTCATGTTGGTGCTTATTCTGGACGATAGTGTTGGGTGACTGGAGGGTATAAATTCGAAATTATTAAATTTGATCGTGATATGATATTCTGAAATTTACAATCTTTCGACTCACATCGAAATTTGAATCCACATCTTGATCGGCAAACATATCCCACTCGTTTCGCTTTTCCCTCACGGAGCTGTTTTTTATGTTACCCGAGTTGTCCAGATGCTGATGATCCTTTGGAACACCAGAACTGGTCTGGGTGGGCGTCGGCGTCCTAAGGGGTCTTCCGCGTTGGGATGACCCTGGCGAAGTGCTTCGAGACTCATACGAGATGGAGTTCTGAGGAGTTGGGGATTCTTGCCCAGTGCCTAGTTTCTATTAACATTTAAGATTAATAAGCTATCTGTCAAATCATTTAAACAGATCAACGCACCTTAAGCAACTCCTCGCGCTTTTTCCGACGTAGTTCAATGATACGTTCTTCGTCATCCTCATCATCGTTTATGTCAATATCCAGGTTGACCTCATCGTCACTGCTGTCTTTATCGTGTTTTTTTTGTCCCTCGCTCAGCGATCCCTTGTATCGATCCCTATCCCCGTTTTCAGCGCCACCTCGTGGACCGCCACGACCACTTCCACGGTCAAAGCCACCACGATCCCGGTCCTTTTGCCGCTCCCGCTCCCGGCGCCTGTCCGACTCAAACTTACTGCGGCTGTGTGACCGCTGACTGCGATTCGATCGAACATCCCGCTCCCTGGCACGACCTGGTCTCAGATCGGTGGGGAACGGCCTTTCCGGTCCACGCCGGTCACGGTCTCGGCTATGGTCTCGTCTTTCCCGTTGTTTATCGCGATTGATTTCCTGCCGTAAGTCTTCCATGTTACGATTCCGGCTGCGAGGACGGGCTTGGGTCGGCTGATCCACTACTCTGCGACGTGGGGGTGAGCGCTCGCGTTCTTTTGAACGACGTTCCCTTCGGCCGAGGAGCGTCACTGTGTCATCGCGTGCTCGACATCTTTGAGCGACTTCGAGGGGGGATGCGTGGCGTCGTCGCTTCTCAGGTGTCGGCGAGGGGGTTCGTTGGCCTCCGCTAGAATCATCCAACAATATAACATCGGATTCATTTGAGTTATGCGTGCTAGACTGTTTAATATTAGCATGTTTACTGGATGCAGTAGCCAGCGGTGCTGCAGTCTTGCTGGCCCCCATCGGCTGCACCTGTGGCTGTGGTGCGGAGGTTGCCACCTTGGAAACTGGCTTGGCCTGTGTTTGCGGGTTTAGTTGGAGATGAAGCTCGCCTCTGTTCTCGGCCTCTGGGTCCGACATATAGGCGCCCAGGCGAGCCTGTAGCAGAGCCTTTTGTCGCATTAGATCCTCCAGGTTCAACTCATCTTCGATAAAAGACGCTATGATCGGACTGGCCACATCCGCGGGGCTGAAATCGAGGTAAAAAAGGAGCGAAGGTAATATGAAGTTTGACATCAAACCTGAATTCACCCCGCAGTACTTACACATCGCTTTCGCTGCCCGAACTTGCCACTTCCAAGACGGGCAGCACTTTATTCTGAATAGTCTTGGTGATTTCCTCCACCAAGCTGTTGGGGTCCGTTGGCAGCAAGGGCTTGCCGATCCGAAAGTCGGGTCCATTACGGCTGGCTTTTTGCATGATCTCTGTGAATTTGTTGCTCAGCCCAGAGTTCTTTGACATCTTCTCCTTGACGTTCTTCTGCGGGTCAGAGTCGTTCGAAGACTCGCTAGCGCGGTGAGGGCGCTTTTTTGCCTTTCTGTGCTTTTTATGAGCATGCCTATCCTTCTCGTTTTTGTTAGTCGAGGATTTCTTGTGCTTCTTATGTTTCTTGGCCTTCTTGTGTTTTGACAGACGCTTCTCCGAAGCGCTGTTGTCACTAGAGTCGTAGCTATTTAATGGCAAGGGGTGGATCCGGTTACTATGCCCATGTAGGCAACATACAAAATAGATAACATACCTTTTACCGTCAGTCATCATAGCGGTGAAGAAAAAAAAGGGGGAAATATACAAAACGTGCTATGCGTCCTATGCGTTTTCTTTTAGTAATTGTAATTTTAATGGTGAAACTTTTCAATTCATTTTTTCTTCTTCTTCTATATAGCTTTTTCAGTAAGGCAGCATATGACAAACGGAAAATACACTAAAATATCCGTGGTCAAAAAACATTTACATGTTTCAAAGTTGATAAATTAATATTAGTAATAATATCAAAAGTGTGTAAAAAAAAAAACGTTTTCAATAAATTAGTAAATAGGGCTGGACCACTAGCCAAAACTAGCCATGTCGTTCAGTCAGCTGACATTTTTCAAATGTAGCCCATCTATACATGTACGCATTATAATTTAAAACATTTAAATAAATGCAACTTTCTAAATTTTATCTTTAATGATTTTGCATTTTTGGGTTTTTTTTACGCTCGCGCTTTTAACCTAACTTGCTACTGCAACATCCACGTCATGCTCGTCCTTTTCAATGCTCAACTCGAGCACAGTGTCTTCCTCCACGGACATGGCTTTGTAGTCCTCCGTGGAGGCGCCGTGGAATTTGGAGTCGCCGCGGACTCCGTCGAACTTGGCTGGACTGCTGTTATTGAGATCGTCCTCGTCACTGACCTCCATGATGCCATTGTCGTCTAGCTCTGGCTCTGAACGGGCATCACTCTCGCTAGATGATGAAGAGGAAGACGACGATGACGAGGATGAGCTGTTATCCTGGTCCAACTGTTGTTCCAGCTCGTGGATCGTGTACATAAGCAAAGTGAAGTCGTTGCGGCGCTTCTGGAATTTGCGCTCCATCTTAAGCTTCTTCTGCACCAGGTCATCAATCTCCCTCCTGATCCTCTCGATCTGCTTTTGGGTGCCGTTACGGTCCGGCTGTTGTTGAATGAGCGATGCCAGCAAGTCGTACTCCATCTTGTTCTTGCGAATCTGCTTTGCGGTTATAAGCTCCTTCTTGCTGGCTTCAATCTCTTCCTTTGCCAAAACTATACTATGCTCATGCTGCTCCACCAGCTTGCTGTAGTTGTGCCTCTCCGCAGCAATCATCTGTAAAGTCTGAACATTTTTCATTGCAGTAAGCTTGCACTGGGCGAACTGGGCCATCAGGCGGTCATACATGATTGGGCTATTGATTAAGCAAAAAGATATATGTAGAATAAACTCAGATTTCGCGTACAAATCATCCAATACTTACTTTGCTTCCATCTCCGGCGAGTCGTTTTTGGCGTTGGCCCATTTCAAGAACTGCTTCAGCAGTACAACTATCCTTCGATCCTCTCCAGTGCCGTCGCCATCAATCAGCAGGCGCTGCTTTATGATTTCCTCTGTGATATCAGTTTAAATTTTTGTCCCCAAATGCGAAAATAACAAAAACAGCTTACCATCGTTCATCTTCACTAATTTAACCTCAGGATCGGAGTGTGGCCAAGCCCACCGCTGCTTCGACATCCCAAGCAGTGCGGTCTTACTGTAGCGGGTATGTTTGCATCCCTGGTTATATTACTTTTGTTTCGGAAAAGTATTCAATTGATTTCTGACCCATTATAAATCCCTGCAGAGAGCCCAGTGCAGCGCCAGTTAACTTTATTTATCAGCCAACTTCAACAAATAAGTGCCTACCTTTCCAGAATGTCTGAAACGTCAAGCGTCGAAGTGGATGCGGACAGGGAACGGGATCGGGGCTCTTCCGATCCTTTCACTCTAGACAGCAGGAAGATTGATGCGCTTCGCCAGCGCTCCCAACGCTTGACCGCACGTCTGCAGCAGACGCAGAGAGAGATGGAGTCGTCCTGTGTAACTGGAAAAGAGTTGTCAGCCACCCGGTGCCCAAATATCGTGAATCCGCCAACGCAGAGGCTCTTGTTAGAGGCAATGCCCAGACCTAACCATGCCCCATCTGTGCCCTCCGACAGTAGGCAAGCCATTAATATGCCAGGTCCTATTCCGGTATCGATAGCCATGTCCCTACCGTACCACCTAGCACTGCCCTCTTATCCAGTGGCCATGCAGATGCCATCCCAGCAAGCGCTGCCACATATGCAGAATCTGTCTAATTCCAGTAAACAGCTAATGACAAAGAAAAAGTCGAAACGGGTGCTACAAAACGAGGTTAATGCTCTGCAGGAGATGGTTAAACTTCTATCACATGTCTCCCCTAACGTTAACGCGTATGCTGCCCAGCTCATAAGACAGAACGAAGTTTTGTCCCAGCTGGAGTGGAGCCAGACCAGGGTAGCTGCAGTGCCCCAACAGGCGGCAATTCATCGTCTAGTGCCTCAGCAACGAGTAGAGGGACGTCAGCGGCTCGAGTCTGAGGTTTCAAATACGAGTAGCAATAGCAATCTTGCACAGCAACAGACAAAACAGGGACGACGTCAGCGAAACCGTAAAAAAAGCGAGGGGTCCGCCAATAATCCAACGCAGTCGCTAAAAAGCGAGTTGCAGGCAATGAGGTCGTATATAAACAAGATTGTTCAGCATCATGTTGGAACGGACTGCCAACTGCCGCAAGAATTGATCTTCGAAGGAAACTTCTCTGATCTGGAAGCACATGCTCAACGCCTGGCTGCGGCAGGATATGGGCGCATTGTAGAAGAAGAAATCCGTGTGAACCGAAAAAACAACAGGCAGGCCTTTATTACGATGTCCACAGATCGCGAGGGACTCGAACGGGATGGCATAGTGCTTTTGCCTGTGGCCCGACGTTATGCCTTCGAGGGTGACAAAGTCCGTGCCTTCGTTCTAAATCCAGGTGCTCAGTGCAGTTCAAAGCCTGCCGACCCCTACCCTGGGGGAATCACTGGCGGAAAAACGTCTTTATCAATCGGTAAGTTACGGCTAAGCTAAAAGACTATCGGCTGAAAATAAATTTCTTTTCAACAAGATGATGAGGAGCTATCGGACGAAACCGAGTCCCAGGATTCTGAGACCGATACCGACAATGTAGTCGTTATATCTTCAGACAACTGCCCCAAAGCGTTCGTCATAGCCATCACTAAGCAAACTGAGCTTCGCCAGATCGTAGGAACCATTTCGTTCACGAACCCTATTACGCTCTGTGATGATCAGCTCTTTTATAAGTTCCGGCCGTACGATTTGCGAGTTCCCATGGTCTACGTGCCGAAAGAAGCCTGTGCCGCCCACATCCAAATCAAGCAGAACGGGGAGGTATCTGGCCTTTTATACCTAGCCCATATTCTCGAGACTGATTGTAATGGACACTGCATTGCCGAGCTGGTTCAGCCAGTAGGCGTCGTGGGAAATTTGGAGGACGAGCTCAAGGCAATTCTTTTTCATAATGGTCTCCGCGATATAAAGCCATTTGAGAAGCGATTTAACGACATGTATTCCCAACCGCCACTGCCAATAAGCAAGGATGATCTGCGTCAGCGAAAGGACATGAGAAAGACGTGCATATTTACCATAGATCCAATGACTGCGCGCGATTTGGATGATGCCGTTTCTATAGAAAAACTAGGCGACAACAAATATGAGGTTGGCGTACATATATCCGACGTTTCGTACTACTTGCTAGAGGACAATGAGCTTGATAATATCGTAAAGAAACGTTCTACGTCGATTTATTTAGCCAATGAAGTTATTCACATGCTGCCGCAACCACTCTGCATGCGCTGTTCCCTGCTACCGGGGATTGATAAGTTTGCTTTCTCCGTCTTCTGGAAAATGAACAGTGAGGGAACCATTTTAGGAAAACCCGAGTTTTGCCGCACCATCATTAACTCCTGTTCACAATTTGCTTACGAGCACGCGCAAAAGATTATAGACAACCCTTATGAGAATTTTACCATGAACGACTTTCCGACCATTCTGAACGGGTTTCAACCTGATGACATTAAAGAGAGGGTCCTGTGGTTACACAGGATAGCAAGCTCCATGCGTAAGTCACGCTTTGATAACGGCTCACTTACAATTAACAACGCCAAGCTCCGGTTTGTTCTCGACCCAATCAGCGGCGAGCCCTTGTCGTTCGAAGTGGAGAAACAGCGAGAGGCGAACCACCTGATTGAGGAGTTCATGCTACTGGCCAATCAGGCAGTGGCTCGATTTATTCATGACTCTTTTCCTGATATCTCTGTGCTGCGCAACCATCCTCCGCCATTGACTAAGTCACTTAAGTCATTACGGGAAAAGCTGGGTGCCCTCGGATTCGAACTGGACTACAGCTCGTCCAAGGCTCTGCAGGAGAGCATGGTGCGGTTGTGTAAGGATGCCCCCAATCCTGTCGCTATGAATGCCTGCCTTAGTCAACTCCTAATGAAGCCGATGGCAAGGGCATCGTAAGTTTTTCATCTTACAGAGATTATCCATTTTAACTGGTCTCTTCCTACTTGCAGATATTTTTGCAGCGAGGGTAAAACGGAACCGTCGGACTTTTGGCACTACGCCTTGTCCATACCAATCTATACTCACTTCACTAGCCCGATTCGACGTTATCCTGATATAATGGTGCACCGGTAATGGTCTTTAACCTTTGAAGTTAATTATTAGTTTTCACAGTGTTTCTTCATTCTAGCCTACTGGCGGCTGCACTCAAATATTGCACACCCCCTTGTCGGACAGCAGACGATCTGCATGTTTTAACAAAACTAGCCAACGAGAGAAAGTACAATGCTAAATTGGCCGGAGACGACTCCAGTAACTTGTTTTTCAAGCGCTATGTACGGAATAAACAAGCCATTTATATGCGGGCCGTGGTCATAGAGATATTTCAACACATGATGAATGTGGTTACTCTGGAATCTGGCCACGTTATAAGCATAAACTACAAGATGCAAAAGGTCCTTGTAGACACTCACAATGCACCAAACTACATTACGATTGCCGAACGAAACTTGAAACAGACACCTCGCAAATTGCAGCTTCTTTCCTTGGTCCATGTTTGCCTGGTAATTTGGGACAATAAACTAACTGGTTTTATAACGATGGGAGACCAACAAATACACGCGCCGAAGGAGCAGCCTAGCGGATCTAGTTCTTCCCGTAAAATTAGGTTAAAGCAACAGCAGGTGCAGCAAAATAACCAGCAGCATCGACAAAATGTCCAACAACAGCGGATATTTGCAATGAGGCAAAGCAGTTTATAACTTTAAACAGTAGTCTATTGCAATGTTTTACTAAATCCGAAACTACTCAAAACTCACTTAATTTAACAACAACGTGGGCCTGAGCTACTTGGCTAAAATTAACTCTGTGATTCTTACTTTTTCGATTTACAGTTGCACATCCCAATTAGCACTGTATAAATGTATGTGGTATGTACATTAAGTTGTTAATCAAAGCTAAATTGAAGGATTCCAAAACAATAAAACTTATTCGACCGACAGTAATTGTTTTCTCAAAATATTAAAATCTTTTGGGCAAATCCCATTGCTCATTTTGGTTTTATATTCAGACAGTAAAGTCTCTATTTGATTCGGGGTCAATCATGATAACCTCCGCCAGCTACATGCCAGTACTTAAGAGGAGAGTTTTAAGAAATTTATACCACAAGTTGTATGTGGTATGTACATTAAGTTGTTAATCAAAGCTAAATTGAAGGATTCCAAAACAATAAAACTTATTCGACCGACAGTAATTGTTTTCTCAAAATATTAAAATCTTTTGGGCAAATCCCATTGCTCATTTTGGTTTTATATTCAGACAGTAAAGTCTCTATTTGATTCGGGGTCAATCATGATAACCTCCGCCAGCTACATGCCAGTACTTAAGAGGAGAGTTTTAAGAAATTTATACCACAAGTTACTTAATCTTCAAGTGTAGCGCTAGCATCGGACTGAAATGAATTGCATTGGAATATTTGGTACGTTTTTCACGCTATGGAATTACTGATAGTAGCTAAAGCCTTTTTGACAGGTATAGCCCTGCTTTTGATTGGTCTAGTGCAATGTCAGACTGGAGCGTTCTTAAGCTGCTTCCAGGCGTGTCAGGCAACCTCCGAGTATAACCCAGTCTGTGGCAGTAATAGGGAAAACTACTTCAACGAAAACCAATTGCAATGCGCCGTGAAGTGTGGTAAAAGTGAGTAAACTCTTACGATTCATAACTCTACAAATCTGGCCGTAGCAATTTTACTTTTTTCATTTGCAGATATCTATAAGCTGCATTCGGGAAACTGTCGGCGACTGCCTAGATTTTAAGGAAACTCGAGGTTTCCTCATTCCAATATCATTTTAATGATTGTGTAAATCAGAAGAACCAGAATAGAATTCGGTTGCGCCATGGGGTCATTCCGAATAATCTGGACCTGATCAATTTAAATAAAATCAGCGATAGCAGTCATCGTACCCATTCCCAGACTTTTCCCTTTTAAAAGTATAGTTTCCGTTATTTCCGAAAACAAATGTAAAAAAAGTTAAAAGCTTAGCCCCTATTAACTTATGAGCCTTAATGATTATGGGTAAGGTAGAATTGGCAAAAAGGTTTTCTGGTGTTTAATAATTGTAAAATTTTACCAAATAACGTTTGTAATTTACTTGAGTTGTAAATAAGAATTAAAACTAACCCGATGTGACCGACTGACTCTGCTGGCGAAGGCGGCACAGTTCTTCGGCACTATAGTTCAGCTTGCGAGTTGCGCTCTCCGAGAAGCACTCAAATTTTGATAACAGTTCCCCAAGTTGTATCTTAATCGCGTACACTTCAGCTTGCAGGGAGCTTAGGACATTTCCCTGGTTTTTTAGATGGACCGCTCCCTCCTGCTCCTGTCGCATCTGCTGAGGCACATTTGTTGCTGATCGGGGACGTAGAAGCTCGTGCATTTGAAGGATATTTTGCGCCTTCTTCGGGTTTCCCATGGCTGGCTCTGGCTGGAGGGAATCCCTTTGGAACGGTTCCTGCTGACGCTGCAGACTTCGGCTGAATATGTTGTAGTTCTTCTCGAACTGCCGGCGCCGGATGCTTTGGTCCCTGTCCCGCCGTTCGGCGACCAGCTTATAGACGTTTAACTTGATGTTCTCGGGCAACTGGTTATCGCGGGGGTCGTTGGGTCGGATAGTAAACTGCAGTTTATCGCGGGAAGTGCGCAAGAGAGCACTCCGCTTACACAGCTGAATCAGGTTGGTGGGTGCACTTCGCAGTAGGCGCGAGAAAAAGAGGCTCTCTAGGCGCGACACTAGTTCGGCTTGACGCACCAGGCGATCCAGTGTTGCGCTCACTTGCAGGCCTTGAATGTCGCTGACGGCCAAGCCCACCATCAGATTGGTTAGGATCACTGTAACAAGCAGCACGAAGGACAGGAATATAATGTGAGCGGTAACTGGAAACTTGACTTCGTAATTGCCGTAAAATATGTCCTCAAACTCCAGCTCCCCGGACATCATCGTGATGGATTTTAAAAAGGACCACGTAATGTTCTCAAAAGCAGGATAATCGTTAAAGAGCACGGCAAAACTGAGACCAAAAGCTATCAGTAAGCATATATAGGCCAGCAGGAATTTTGCAAAATTAACAGCCACTAAATAAGAACGAGAACAATTATAAACTTATCTACGTACATAAGCATGTATGCACACACCTTTTGTGAACATTTGGACATATACACCAAAAATGGGGAATCTACCCACCAACATCATCAGCTCCAGCCACACTAGCAAAATCACTACAGCTGCCACGTGATGCTGCCATACCGGCACCGCTGTTAAATCATCAGATCGCACAGTCTCTGGAGACACACATAACAATACTCCACATACTATGGCCCATTGCAGCCAGTTCTCCCAATACTTTGCATAGCCTCGCAAACCATGGGCCATTTGGAACACCTCCTTTCCCAACAGGATAAGGTTTAGAATGATCACCAGGTATCCAATTGTGGAAACGTATCCTGGAGCCACGCATATCTCCCCCTCCTTGCAGCAACGGACATATACCCGTATCACGTACAATGTGAAGAGGAGCACGAAGAGTGTGTGGTAAGCCAAACTCATAAGAAAGAACTTTCGGATACGTCGCCACTTGAGAAATAGGAAAGTCTCGCAAAGCGGGTGCATTAGGATACGTTTCTGCCCCACTTCTATAAGGCAGATAAGCAGCTCAGTTTCGCCACGTTCCATCGAAGAACTGGGAACCAGCAGTCTGAAGTCCAGCTTTATCTGACAGTCTACGTCCCCAATTTCATGGTCGTTTGCCTTTATGGAACGGTCGAGCTTTTGCATTACCTTGGGTATTATCTCGGGAGTGCGCCGCACTATGAACGACAGTGCCGATACATTTCCGTCCGTTTTAGCGGTGATATCCGCCCCGTGTTCTGAGGATAAAATTGACAAGGCAATTAGGCAGGGATCGCTTTAGAAAATTTCTAAAACAAAAACTTGCCTATGAACGTGTACACACAGTTGCTAAATTCATTTAGTGCTGCGATGTGGAGCGGAGTATAACCATAGTTATCTGCCTGCAAGTGATAGTCATGGATTTTAAATATTAAAAGAAAGGGAAATACTTTTTAGATTTTAAGCAATCCAAAAAAATATTTGGGAAAGTTGTTGACTTTTAAGAATGAGGTGGAGGGGTAGTGTTAACAATTATCTTTCAAAATATGCTACTATTCCGGATAAAATAACCTGCCGTTTACCTTGTTAACATCCGCTCCCGCCTTGAGCAATGCATTGCAGCAGTCCAGGCAACGTGACTGCTTTACTATTGCTGCATGCAGGGCCGTTCTTCCGTCCCGGTATACGGCGTTCACATTGGCGCCATATGAAATAAGAATATCCACTGTACCAATTGACTGGGAAAGACAGGCGAGGTGCAAGGGTGTCTGGTGGCTGGCGTTGCGGCAGTCCACCTCAGCCCGGTGCTCCAGGAGCAGACGAGCACACTCAACGTAATCGTTCTCCGCAGCTGCAATTAAAGAATACTTGAACGGTTAAATTAAATTCTGTATCGAGAAAATTTTTTAATGGAAAGAAACCAAAAATATTATTTTCCTATGGTAAAATAAAAGAAAATGAAAAAAAGGTAAATGCCTTCTCACCCAAGTGCAGAGCCGTGACCTTTCCTTCGCCGAACTGCGATCGTACGTCTGCGTTGTGGCCAAGAAGCAGTTGGACACACTTGGCGAATCCCGCTGCGCTTGCAGTATGCAGTGGCGTTTCTGTGTACACCTGCGGGGTGTTCGGGTCGGCACCGTACTTCAAAAGGATCTCGACGCAGTCCACCGCATTGACGTCGATGGCGTAATGCAGGGCAGAACGCTTTTCAATGCCAATATTAATATTCGCCTTCCGTCGCAGCAGCAGAAGGATGCACTCGACACTTTTAGAGCTAAGACGAATAGATTAATCATAAGCATATGCCGCGACATGGAGCACATTTATTGGCAACTTACCTAGCCGCACAGTGCAACGACGTCACCTCCTTTTTCGCATCCCAGCGATTCGGGTCGGCGCCGTAGTCGAGCAAAACTTTTGCAATGGGAGCACTGGAGCGGCAGCACGCGAAGTGCAGGGGGGTCCGACCTCGAATGTCCGTCACGTTAGGGTCCACATTATAGTGTTTTAGCAGGAAATTAATATTTTCCACTCCCCCAAATGCCGAGCAGCAAATCAGGGCCAGATCTCGATTGCAGTCGGAGGAGTCGGACATTAATTCTAAGAAGTTTCTGATGAGTGCATTCAGAAGGCGTATCGAGACAGTACGTACCCAGGCAACGGCCAGAACGGACCATTTCCAAAACCTGCTTCCCGCCCGGCGCCGCGGTCAAGGTTTTCTCAATTTCATCGAGTTCCCAAAGATTTTGGTTCTGCTGTTGCCGCGCGAAGATCTCATGCGCCTCGTCGCTGAAAATCCCGGCACTGTTATCCTCGCTGGAGATGCTTCGCTTGTCCAAGAGCAGGTCCACATCAGCTGTTTGATCACTTTCCGAGTTCCATTTTAGATCGTTTTCCTGCAAGGCAAATAATGGAATTAGCGGACGACTGACACCGAGATCTAGTGCGAGCCGTGCGGCCCAGGACTCTTTTTTACAATAATCGAGAAGCGTACGTTCTCCATCTTGATGCCGCCACTTCTGTCTGCGGCTATTTGTTTACACTACCGTGGCCAAAACAACAATAAACTTTACGTTGTGTCGGAATCGAGAGTCGGTTCAGCTGGCTCCGGCTGCCAATCGGATGCGCCCCCTTTTTAATGGGTCGATTACTTATCCGGAGAAATCAACAATAACTGACGGCATGAAAATAATTATACTCGGCGGGCAATCTCTGCCGACACCCGGAATCTGTTCTGCCTCTAATTAGTAAGATATTACGGCTCTTTCGGCTTTTTATTCACGAAGTGTATATTTGGGTATTTGTTGAAATATCTGGCAGTGTGCTGGTGATTTCTTCGCACCGCTGGCAATCTGTGCTAATTTCCCCACATTCGCAGTTTGTTCCACCTCCTCCTCCTTTCCCGTTTTCACTGGTATTCCTCCAGATATCAACGTTGCGTCCGCGACCGATGGCGTCAAAGTTCCATGGCAAACGAACCTGGACTGATCGCTTCGGCTCTCGGCATCCAGTGCCAGCATTTCACACTTACTCATTGCACTCCGTTTGGACGAATGTAGTTGTATACGGATAAGTTACTAATAAATGTGTGCCGGTAAGAACAACAAGGAAAAAGAAAAACATTTCGCTAAACTTTCTATTTTAAATTGCCCGCCAACTAACTGATACCTTTACACGCTACCAGTGTGCATGCCAAAAATGTTATTTTTTAGATAATTTAGAAATTAAAGTGTTTTTTAATCGCATTAAAAAGGCCGATCCCAAGTTTAGATACATTGAAAAATGCATTCATATACTTTAGCTAATAAAATTCGGAAAGAGTCACTTTCATACGCATGTAGTTTTTAGCAGCGAGCGCTGTTAAATAAAACGTTATCCTCTCAGCATGCTGCTAATCAAAATTAACATTTCAACTAGCGCCAATGCGGCCACAAAGGGAAACCAGCGTTGTTGTCACCTTAGCTTATAAAAATCTATCGATTTACTCCCAGCTCTAGCATCAGAAATCTTATATATATCCCCGTTTCAGCGCCTCTCGCCACAAAATAAAAGTTGCTGTTGGAGAGAAAAGATACGTAACGGATACGATCGAAGTTAAAGTGAAAGGTGTGTGTGTATACCAATTTCCCAAACAAAGAAATCGACGAAATGGTGGCGTACTATGATGAGTGCGACGCAACTAAAAATCCTAAGACCCTAACTGACTGGGTGCGTAACTTCCGCGTTAAGCGTCAGAAAATGCGTCGCAAATTGAGGGGCGCTGGTAGCGACCTGCGCGTGAACGCCATTTTGTCGACAGCCCTGTTACACGCGGAGCACGAGCTGCGTAGAAAACAGCAAGAGCGTTTCAGTCGCTGGCTGGAGATGCAGACTCGATTCGTGCCCCATGGTAGGACTCATTGTGCCAGCGACGCTGATTTGGCGGCTGTTACGAGCGCCAAGGCTGCTGCGGTAGCGGAGGCGGAGAGTAATTTGTGGAGCAGCGAGCTCAGCGGCCTCGACAGTTTTATGCGCAGCCTGAGCAGCAACAACACCGGAACGGCCAGCAACAACAGCTGCGCCATTACAGTTACTAGTTAGAAAGAGATGACTGTATAGTGTTCACGCTGTGTCTGTATGCGTGACTGACACATGCTCAAAATGGTGGCAGGAAGAAAAAAGACTAGAGTTTTCGAATCGAATCATTTACCTTTATGTAGCATTGATCTTTGTTAAACTAGTTTTATCACGACAACCAATTTCTCATTTGCAGTCGCAATATTATAGATTGTAATGAAAAAGTGAAGGATTGGAAGAGTGTGAAGAGGCGCTGAACCAACAGCCTTCGAATCGAGAATGGTGTGAGTCACGGGTGCTGCCACCAGAGATCCATGTGAAAATCCACCAAGCAGCCTTTGGTCCCGGAGCACACTCGGTTTGTAAATCTGTATATTATTTTTAGTTAAGTTACTTAGTTTAATAATAGTAGTGAAATCAGAGGTAGCAAATGGCCTTTTCCACAACGTCACGAAATTGGTTAGACAAAGATAAAGAAAAAACTCGGTTCACACACACACACACATTCACAGTATATATATATATGCATATATATATACACAGCGCTCGTGCTATTTTTATGTACACCAAGTTGAACTACTTTTTGGTCCGATGTGTTTGTGTTGAGAGATTCGATTTCGAATTTAAATTCGAATATTTATCATCGCCATTTCTGGCACTTCTGGAAGGTACTTACGGTTCATATTGAATCTCTAGCGTACGGGGCGAAATAGTGTAATACTTAAATTTTAAATGTACCTAAAGTAAGCATACAGAACTGATATATGATAAAACTTAAAATAAAACTATTGTATTGAATCACTGTTTAAATCGATGCTGCCTTTATTTATTATTCACTCAAATTTGTAGCTTAGCAAGCCCTCAGACCATATTCCCGTTTTACAAAAACCGTACCTAAATCGATTTTGTTTTACAGTTTCCTGCTCCTCGCACGTTAATGGCAACGATGAGGAGGAACGGAAAAAACAAACTACGTCGCAGTCGTCCACTGAATGAAAACGAATTCCGGTACTGGTAGAGATCTACAGACACAACGAATGCGATTATCGGTGGTAACGAAGAAACCAGTTCGTCATAGCGACGATGGCGTTGCGTTTTGAGTAACTGAGTGAGTCCTCTACGTCTGTCCGAATGAATCCCACCTCCACCGCAAGGCAGTGAGTTCCGCAAACCAGCCGATGGCCGATTGTGTACAGATCGCTGGAGCAGGGAGCAGCAGCAGCAAACACCACCGAGTCTCCTCTGCATGGTAATGCCATTGAAAAATGCCCATGTTATTCAGTCGCTGCGGACAGAACATTGGGGACAAGGCGGAATGCGCGCAGCAGCAGCTCCAGCTCGCATCAGCTAACCTGCGTTTGAACCAATAGTGCTTTCCACCGACTGCCAGCCACTACCACCACCTACTCTGCATAGAATGCTTCGCAGCTGCTGACCACCACCCACCCATCCACACAGTTACACGGTATTTGGTATATCAGCTGCGAACAAAATATTGCTTTTTGAACAGATTTACAGTGAAAAGAACAGCGGAGCAGTCGTGCATCATCAATATAACATTCTTCGTCTTCGGCGGATCGGATTTTAAGGACATTCTCTCGTAACTTCGCACGTAAGCCGTCTGGCAATATTCTGTCGATATACACTTGAATTTCAGGCGTCGGTTTCTCATGATTGATTTGGGTTATCATCTTCCAACTTTTTTCGCTCGGCAATTTCGTTGGACGTCTTTCTTAACTTTTATGATTTTGGCAGGCAAAGATTGGACCTTAGATACATATATTCGCCTACCTGTCTTTCTAATCAATAGGCTACCAAAGCCTGTTTTAATCTTTGTAGCGGCATGAAACAGTTGATCGGTTCCTGTACGTGCCAGTGTGCGATGCGCTCCATTTTATTCTTCACTCTCCAAATGTTCGATGTCTTGAGAGCACCATCAGGGGATATTCAATGACATTGAACCGCAACACGACCTAAAGAGTTTGTAGACTAGGGTCAAGCATCATTTTCGTTTATTTTTCTAGCGATGCTGCGCAGTTGAACGGTGCCTGCGTGCATCTGCATGAAAGAAAGGAGGGACCGTGTGCGGCGGACGATGTCAGTATTTTTTTTATTGAGTTCTGGAGTTCGGAGGCCAGAAAAATCAATGGGATAAAAACCAAGGCGTAAATCGTTTTTGATATTTAAACTCGATCAAAATTTGCCGATATATTATTTCTAGATTATGGCACTAAGCAACTCAGAAAACGGATTGCTACTACAGTCGCCTGGACTAACAGCAGAATTATAAAAGCTAAGACATTTGCAACATGTTTTTTCTTGTATTTTTTAGAAATACATATTCGTCAACAGCTATGCAGGGGAATCACAAGTCTGCGCTAATTGGGTGGCCCACCCATCGCATGTAAATTCTTGTTTCTATTATATATCCAACAAAATATTTCTGTCTTATAGCGATATGGCTGCAGTAGAATGTGCCTGCGCATATCTATCCGTAGCATACCCTGAGTTATTGACTTCAAAAGAAACTTCAATCGGATATACCTTTCATCTTTCAAACCGTGTGATCGATTTTGGAGCAACAAAATAAGCATTTCCCCATGACGTTCCTCTTTATTCAACTTTAATAAAGTAGTGACTCATTAATATATTCATTACAGTGTTGCTACCAAAACATGAGGGAAAACTTGAAATCAGAAGATAAAGGGACTTGTGGAGCATCTAAACTATCAACTTTAAGAAATATGCAATCGAAATCCATCCATTTTCTTATTTATAGAAGTTTTGGAGAACAGTACAGATTCAAGGGAACTAAACGACAGCTATTAATGGACCATTAATTTTTAGTATTTCGTACGAATGTGTTTGTATTATCTCATCCGTAAACTTGTAAACCGGAAGCAACAACAAATCGCCGATTCTTGGGTCCTGACAGTGTATGAGCCACATTTTGTGTATTCACAAGCGCAGCTTTAACTAAAATTTTCCCCCTTCGAAATGATCTAGAGGCTTATTTCTGAATTTATTTCAGTGTTACAAACATGAGCTTCTTGCAGTACCCCTATCTATCGCACCACCGAGAACATGTAGCAAAATTTCTGAGGCAATGGGAATCAAATGCCAACTTGAAAGCAATAACACCAACACTTAGTCGTCGCAATTCAACATCCATACTACACGTCGAATTCGAATTATAATGCAGGTCAGGTGTAATCAAATCAGATCCCGCTTATACCTGATTTTCAGCAATATTTCGGGCCATGAAGAAGATCCTTTAAAAGCAGGACCGACGTCTTAGCCGGGGCCCTTATGACCCTCCTCAGAGTGAGAGCCTTAGCAGTCTTAAATTTATTTTCGACTTTTTGCAGCGGTGCCGCACAGTTGAGTGTGCCTGTGGGCATCGAATTGACTATATTCGACCCGATAGGAAAGTCCACGCCTTGGACTGGTCCGACGACGAACACATGCACCGCCCCTAGCTTGCCGTTCCCATTGCTGTGCTGCTGCAAATCGTTAAAGGGAACCCAAAACGATGCATCAAGTCCATCCAGTTAGGCTTAATTTAGAAAGTACAGCGCGAAGCCGCCACGTCACCTGTTGATGCAAACGGTCACAATGCGTATCGAGTGTTATCGAGCATTACAAAAACGGCGTCCTGCCGCCTGGGCTGATTGTGAAACTTATGTTTTTATATTACAGCGAAGTTCTCAGCCGTGAAGGTCGCTATGGAGTGCCCAGCACACCGTTATTCCGACAGCGCCTGGCCCTGCAGTCCCAATCGAATTCTGGTGCCTCCCGGCAAAAAAATCCACACGGGCATTGTGAGAGGCCAGATTTGGAGCGACATCTGGCGCTGTGATATACTAAGTTGAGCCTATGCACATAAGGCATTGCACCGCACAGACATGTGCGTTCGGTCCACGCTAAAGGGAATCAAATGCGTTTGGACCGAGAGCCGCTACACCGCACCATCACCAGTAATCGCTGAGAAGTGAGCTGATGTGTTGTCGTTGTTACAAGGGCTGCTGCTGCAACTGCGTCACAGGCATCCTCGCCTAGCGTCGCTAACTATCACATATCACTTTCAGCCATCGACCACGTTTATCATTGAACGTTGATTGACCTTCAGACTGAGCAGAAGCTTATGATAGCAAGTCGATTACCGCAAATGTGAAACTTAGATAAACCGCCCGAATTCAAATCTTAAGATGTGCAGCAGCAGCAGTTGGAGTCTGTTGGTCAATCCAAAATAGCCTTATCCGGACTCGTCGCTGACTCGCTGAACGGAGCGCAGGAGAAGCGAAGCACGTTAATCACCTTTATTGGGGATTTCGTTTTACTTGCACTTTCCTTCCGTAGGTTGCCCATAATTCGAGAACAATTATATCCATCGCAAAGGGAAACAAATGCGATTAGTGTTCGAAGACCGAGTTGGGTGGCCAATGGGTCACACCACGCTCCGCCAGTTGAGCCCATAACTCCTGGCTCGCCGATCATCGTACCGCAAAAGGGAATCAATTGCGAGATGGTACTACAGCAGTCGAGCTTCCCGTTGAGCTCCTGGTCACCTTCTTCACTTCATCATAAATATCGTAAAGGGAATCCAATGCGATGTACAGCGACAGCGGCAGGCAGGGTAACCAAAGGCTAAGGTATATGAGCAGAATTCTAGTCGGTGCATTTACGCTTTCAGGAACGTCCACAACCCTCACAAACTACTCCGCATGTGTCTAAATCTGGCTGCAATGCCAGGCGCGCCTTCAAGCTAATCATCATGTTGGTCTCAAAGGGAATCCAAGAGACACGCGCCCCGCGGTATAGCCTACTGAATAGTTTTTTCCTTAAAACTATCATTGCAGCTTGCTGATTTAATTTAACATTACTATCCCAACCCACATTGAAATTTATGGAATTGTAAAGAAATGTGTCACCATATTTTTTCTGTTAGTTTTTCGTAGATGTTAATATATTTTTTTTTTCTAAGTGAATTGTTAAATTGCATTGTAGGTATTGAAAACCAAGAAATGTAAGCCCTTGCCGTAAGGGCGAATTGAGAGACATGTAACCTTTCTGAAAAATGCAACAGGATTCAATAGAATCCTAGGCTTAGTCCAGAACTAGCAGTAAAAACCAATTTAATAGCGGGACCCCTTTTAGGACGAGAACGATTGCAAAAAGCTGTTAGATGTGGAAGCTCCGCACAGAGACCCTTCGAGGATCAGCGCCAAGACAGGAAGCAGGGAAAGCAGAAGCAGAGAGGCACAGGCCGTGTTGACGATAAATATCTTCGAATTTGCACCTACTGATTCCGAGCTGTAATCACTGGGCTTCTATTCATCAAATTTTTATCTTTGGCCCATTTGGAGAAGACAGACTAGTAGCGACGTAGACGACACACGTAGCACACACCTTGATCATTTTTCATATAAGAAGTATTAAATCCTACGTTGGATCATCCTTTAAATGACAGTGGATCAATTCTTCGTCAAACACCATTTCGATCGACCCGCAACCGATTTTTCGATCTCGTACTATTGGCTTGTGATAGCTCTTGAATTTCTGCTGTTTTCGGCAGTGAACCCTATCTACGCGTCGACGCTCCAATTGGATTTCATTCAGCTTTCGCTTCGCTACACACTGGTCGATTCATTTTTCTCTGTGAAATCCCTTCGTAATGATATTAGATTTGTTGGAGCATTGTTCTTTAAATTGTAATACACCGTTGGAACAATTTGACGGCGGCGTGGGAATCTATTAGGACGGCGGCGTGGGATCTCCGACTACTGATGACGGCGATGGACGTTGAGGACCTCCGATAGACTGCGGCGAGGGATTTAAAGTTTGCAACGTGGGATTATTAGGGCGTTTAGACGAGGGCGCTAGGGACATTCTTCTTAAAATAAATGGGAATTGCAAGAATAATGTTGACTGCGGCGATGGAGGCTGGCGCCGTGGGATGCCAATTTTGGGACTGCGGCGGGGGATAACGAAATAAGGACTGCAGCGAGGGATCTGTGGTTTTTGACTGCGGCGTGGGAATACTTGACCGCGGCGAGGGACGACAGGACTGCGGCGGGGGAACCTTTGACGGCGGCGAGGGATGCTCTTCTGTCGAATAACTTCAGATTTGATACATAGTTGTTTTCCTGGCGTCAGACATTGCTTACACAGAAGTACTCTATTGCAAGTTCAAAGCTGATATACTGATATTCGATGCGGTGATGGGCGTCATCACCGCCCCCAAATGTTTGCACCCCTAACAGAGCCCATTAATGGAAAATTTATCATTTGTATACACGTTTATTTATTCTTCTGGAATACCGGAAAGCAACTTCGATATGTATGCCAACAAACTGATTGCGGGCATCGGACTTTAATGCACAATAAATTGATTTTTGAAAAAATTAAAATAAATGTTGGTTATTGGGGGGAAGGGTATAAGAGCTCAGGTAAAAGAAAGGTTTCCATAAGGAATATAGTAAGAACTGACATTGACTACCGGGTGGGATGTTTGATTGTGTGCCATGAAAAAAGTTGTATTGTTTTTACGGAGGACATGTGATGGTGTTCCGATTTGACTTGGGGAAGATATTGGTTGGATCCAACCAGACGATAGGGCTCCTGCCTGCTGATTGTTATGATTGCCCTCTAGCCAACCGCTAGAAGGAGGCGCAGACTGTGTTGGGAGGCTAATTGGTGATGCGCCGTATAAACCTTGGTTAGTGGATAGCCAAATTTGATTCTTAGATGTATTTCCGGGAGCCTGAAAGGCAAGTTGCTGATTCACTGCCACAGTCCGATTGGGCATTACTACAGCAGGGGTAAGGTTTTGCTTTCCAGAGCCAAAAGACGGGTAATTTAATCCACCTTTATGAGTGCGGGCTGGCAAAAATGTAGCATTTGGACGATAGTAAGATGCTCCGCCAACTCTGCCTGCTACTACAGCCTGATACTGGAGATGACCAAATACCACAGCTGTATGGAAATACAACTGTATGTTAGGAGGACTGTCACATCGAATCAAATTATATTTTTTGTATACCCAATATTACAGCCAAATGATAAGTTGACAACATTTTCACGTTTACTCTCTTCGAAATTCAGACGGAAACTATTTATGGAATCCATTCCGACGTTTTATAAAAGTTCGACAACCTAGGTTATCAGGTTGTTTTCCAGAATGTATGTAAGTATATGTAGTTCTTCTACGACTATATACCTTAGCAGTTCTATACTTATGTGTAGTCTAAGCTCTTATCAAAATGCCTTGAACCACGAAAATATTAGTGGATTGTCGAAAACATGTGTGACCTCGGTAATATGTATATACTTGGATTAAGTATACACGATATTTTTGTATCTAAAGGATATCAGCCGCGCGTCATTGCAAAAAGACCCTCGCAACTGCCACGTCGAACTATTTGTATGTCTAAAAATTATTCAATAGTAGCGATTAATACGTACATATGTACATGTGTTTAAAGGATAACTATTGTACTCACCCGCACCACAGTAACGAGCGCAGTTAAATTTCTGTTCATTCATATAAAGCTGCATATTGCTCCCACAAATCGGATTATACTGCGATGTAGTGGGGCATCTACCAAAGCAATTTAGAAATTCCTGAGTCGGGGCCGGCTCTGATGCGAAAGGTGTGATAGCTCCTGGCACTCTTACATTGTTAACCAGCACCAAGTTGGACCTCTAGGATAAAAGGGGGCTGGACGTCGTTGAAGCAGCAAAAATTAATGGGTCACTCGATGTTTGAAAAATAAGCTGTTCCTGGGCCGCTCCCAAATAACATAAGTAAGCCAAAATCATTATTGTAGGCCATTTCCTGAACATTTTAAATCAAATTCGCCAGCTTTTAACTTCGTTCGTTGCTTAAGTTTAACTAAATCGACTAATGGAACTTTTTAAAAATGTTCTGCATTAGAGCATATACTAAATACGTCAATAAAAATTAACAGTGGCGTTTACGAGTTTTAATAAAAGGGGTATTGTATCGATTTCACTTTGGGCTCTAAAAATATATTTTGGCTATTATCTAAAATTATTAAATCCTTGAAAGCGTATTCCTTACACTCACTATATACATACAAATATAATGGGAACGCCCCTAAATACAGGTTTTCCAAGTTGACAAACGTCTGGAAATTCCAGTTTTATTAGATAAGCGGTTAAATTTTATTATATTACTGACTTAAGCATTTGTGAAATCATTTTAAATTCCTGGTTTGAGTCATAGAAAATATCTCTCTTTCCTAGCCAATAATAATATTACTGTATGGGACTGCAGTTACTCGTGGCCCCGGCATATGGTTGGCAGGTGAAACGTACTGCATAGAACGCTCTAGCTTTTGGTAGTGTTTTGGAGCTCCGACGAAGCCAATGCTAGCTGAAATCTCTATTTTGTTTACATTTAATTCATATCTGGTTCACGACTTACAGTTTGAAGTACAAGGCACAATCAATGGCTTTGAAGCAGCACCGCTTTGGGCGTTTTTAGGTATCATGGTTCTCTCGTAATCTGGACTTAACGCTCTCTGTAGGCATTTGCCTATATGATGGCCTTGCCGAGATCGACCACAACGACAAACGCCCAATAGGTTTTTGAACATCTCCGGGGAAAGGAAACATGATTCGCCCTTGTTGTTGTGCAGGAAGGGGCAAAGGTCTATATATGAGAACGGTTAAGGAGATAAAACATGTTTAATATAATTGGACATTTACCTTTAAGTTTTAACTGGTCATTTAATTTGTTACTAATATCATTTTGATGGTAGAATTTGTTAGTTTGTTTGTCTGATATTTGACTCCAAACTTGTGGATAACTGCGACGCGACTTGTGCTCCATTCGAACTTGTTCCTTTCTACAATTTTGTACAATTTATATAGTTCAGCAATTGAATTATATACCTATAATGCAAACATACAGTTTTCCAATTACTTTAGCTGGTTCCATCTTTGAAATATGAATAACTCGGCGATATATTTGTTCAATAAATATATATTCTAATATACCATAGTAACAATGGCTTAGGTCCAGTATTTATTTATTGTATTTCGCCATAGTAACAATGTCTTAGGTCTAGTATTTATTAATTTTTACTTTTCTCATAGCCATTGTTGAGCTGGTCAATAATCCTCATTTTCCAGCCATTCAAAATGCCCAGTTATCACTGTTTTTTTTTGGAAAAAATCATTAGTATGTCTTTTAAAACAAACATTTAGCATTAGTTTACCCCTGCAAACTAAATAGATTGCATAAATTGTTCACCTGGTGTTTTAAACTAAGAAATCATAAACTTGATTTGATTTAAAACACCAGGCAATAAGAAAACGTAGGCAATGCCAGCTGTTAAGTTCAAATAAGCCAATATAAATGGCTGCACGACTCGCTCAAACTAGTAATTTAGTCTTTAGTACGAGGCCGATTGTGTCGAAGAGAAGTTCATCTCTAAGTATGTAATATCACCTGCTAAAGGTTTATGCTAGTTTAATGGCTGTAATTCAGAAATCGTGCATTAGCAAGTATAACGGAAAAAAAGAGAATATCAAAACTAAATACATATATATCCCACAGTAACAGACTACTGACCTTTATCTTTACAGCTAGTTATTTATTTAAATATTGATCTCCATCATAAGTCAAGAAAAGGCTTATCACGAGTTCATGTTTAAGCCTGTTTACAAGTTACATATGCTTTTGTTAAAATCTAAATCTAATCTAATAGGGATATTATCAAAACACATAGATAAGGTGCTTATTTACATTTGAATGTTCTGTACAAAGGATTAGCTTAGTGTAGTTATTTTACTTTTCGAACGTCCGGTAAACATGACATTTATTTGCATATTGATTTATAATACAGATATTTTAGGCTCTTGTAATATGTACATAGATTATCTCTTATAATAAATTATATATGTAACATTTTATTGAAAAATAAAAACACATAAAATAAACATGTTTTTCAAATCGTTGAATGTGTCATTTACAAACTACAATCATTCTCTGGAAGTGTTAAGCCTTGCTATGGTCTCTTATCTACTTTGACCAAAAACATTATCCCGAAAGTTTTTAATTTTTTGAACAAAGTAGGACTCTAGTGCCTCAGCACATTTATAAAAGGATGAATCTTTGGGGTTATAGTAACGGCAGTTGTCAAAGATTTTTGTCATATCTCCAATAAACTCTGCTAGTTTTGTGTAAGTGTTTAATTCGAGTTTGGTTTCCATCCGTTTGAGATCTTAAAAAAATTTTTTTTAGTTTCAACTTAAATTGGTTTTTTCTTTATCTTACCCATGGGCTCTTTAATAACTTTGTAATAGTCTGGTGCTTCCTTCGGATCAACCGGTTCCATAAAAGGCCAAGCACTTTTGTGTAACTTAAAAAAAAAATATTGTACGGAGTTTTGATTATACAAATTATAATCAAGGTATAAGGTAATTTGGTATATAGGTATATCAAGGTATCAAGGTATATATGTTTAAATTATTACCTGTATTTGTTTGATTAGGGTTTTTAGCTCTTCAATTTCATTTGGGGCAAGCTTTTTCATATTTGCTGCGTTTGCATCTGTTTTCCGCTGGCATTCAGGGCACACGTATTCATCTATAAACTCAGCTTCACTCTGAAGTATTCCTACGCAACGTCCGTGAAACCAATCCTGGCATTTATCACAGCATATGTAAAACTGTGATTCGTCGTATGGCTGACGACAGCTGCAATAAAGTTGCTGAGTCTCTCTTGCCTTTTTGCAATCAATGCAAATGAATTCCGAAAGTTTTTTTGAAGCTTCTTCGGTAATACTGACACAATCTCCATGGAACCAATTGCTGCATAAGTCACACCCCACGTAAAACCTTAATAAACATTGGAAAATTAATTAACTAAATTAAAATTGCGGCTATGTATATTTAAACTTACTTTGTGTCATCATATGGAGTACGACAAATACAATACAATTTTTCCTTTTTTCTTGTTAATTTCTTTGGTCTGCCAACACAATGCCTACTGTTCTGTGTATTGTCCTCTGGCCTGAGATTTGTTCTTATATTTAGTTATAAATATATATACATCGCAAATTCTTACCCTTTAAAGTCAGTTGCTGGCTCGCCACTTCTTTCATTTTCACTGTGTTCTTCCGGTGAAGCCTCTCTTAATGGGCGCAGATGCCTCTGTACTTTGGATTTAACATCTTCGCGTATCTCATTTTGTAAATTACGTTCCAATAATGAACGCTTACGCAAAATACTTTTTTTAAGCAGCTCCTTATGCCGTTCCAACTGCGATTGCTTTTGCTCTCCTAGTTCTGCCATTTCTTCATTCTGCTTGCGATTTCTTTTTAAAATGCGATTAAATGGGTTACTTGTCAAAGCATTTGGTCGTCTTAACGAAGTTCTAATTTTCCAGTCGACATCATCTGTGCTGTGATCACGTAATAAAAAGCTGCGGCGATTTGGTGTAAAACCTTCGTCGTTTGCACTTCCTCTCGAGCACAGTTCCCACTCATCTTCACATTTGGAACTAGCATTTTCTTGTTGCTTTTGCATATGAACAAGTTTTTCTTCAAGCTCCGGGCTCAGATTACCTTGTTTAAGAGCATTTGAAATAGCTGAAATCAATTTTACCTATAACTCTTAAGATACACGCTTTTCTGTTAATATTACTTACAGTCCTGTATATAGCCGCTGGTGACAACAAAGCTTTCACTTTGTTTATTTTCTAAGTCTGGTTCTGTGGAAACGAATTCGTTATGATCTGCTGTTTCTTTATGCTGTAAGACCTCCAATAGGGGAGGTGTACCGACAAAGGACTTGTTAATTGTAATATTAGATTTTTCTGTTTCTGCACATTTTCTATGATGTTCCTGCTCATTTCCATTGTTTATGGAATTTATTCTAATAGTTGGATTGGCTTCGTAAGTTGTTAGCGCATTGGCGTCGTTGTCGATGTTGTTGGTCTGCAATGAACATCGTTTAAGGTCTTCACATTCATATTTTAGGCGATGCTGCTCATTATTGTCTTGATCTTCAACTAGAACTAGATTATAAATTTTTAATTTTTTTGCTTGCAGAATTGGCTTACAACTAATGTTGGTGTGGCACGGAAAATCACTTATTGAAATTCTACCTTGAGTTACTTCATTTGGGGTTGTGGGTAAAATTTGATTTGGAGGACTGCATACGACGATAATTTCATCATCATAATCATCTTCTTGCGTTTCATGCAAAATATAATTCGAATTCACCATACAAGCAATTGATACGCCTCCACCAACCTAATTGTTTCCAAAAATTTGCGTTATATTCAAAATCAAGAGATTCATTGCATAAATATATGAACGTATGCGAAGAGTTCGATAAATTTGTTAACAAACACACCTACCTGACTTTAATCAGAGATCAGTTGTAGTATTTACTCCAGGCAACCTTTTAATGTGTTATTATAGTTGAGAAGTTGTTGTAGTTGACGAAGAGATTAACACATGGTTAGGAGTTGTAGTTGTTGACACGCGACATTAAGGCATGGTTAAACATTTTTAAGCAGTGGAAGCATGAATTTTATTTAAAGGTATTTCACAATTTGTATTACAAGGATAGGTAGCATTTAAATTGGATCAAAAATTATAATGGAAACTGTGGCAACGAGACTAAAATGCTATGAAAGCGGTGGAAGGATATGTAAGGTGTATATTTGGCATGTTATTGCGAAATTGATTTTTTGACAAGTGTAAACTTCATTTCGATTTAGATGAGATGATTATAAAAATGGTAAAGCCTTTGTGTTTATTTTAAAGGTTATATCATATAAACTAGATCAATCGCGATGTTAGCACATGCGTTTATATGTACAAATCTTCCCTTAATACAAATATACCATTTTTGAGAAAAAGACTTGCCTTCTTTCGTATTACTTCAATTATGTCAGCCAACTAAAACTCTGCGTGGGGTTAATCTCTTCAGCAATTCGTATTTCGATTCATGTTCGAATTAAAAAGATAATTTAATTTGGCCCTTGAAAGCATGACCAATTTACTTGTAATCCTATAGTGTGCACTTCAATGCAACTGATTTCTGATTAATATTTATTGCCTATTATCTATGTAAGCTCTTTCTTGCACTGATTTATAAGTTATATGTTTGAAGAGTTGTCTTCTCACTTATTTATGAAGCATGCGCTTTTTATCAACACAAAGGCCAATTTGCAAATAATCATCCAACTAATTCAGAAATAAAAATTTACAAAAGTTTAACCATTTTGTGGCTTTATAGGTTATGGAATTCGAGAGACTAAAAGAAAATTTCAATATTACAAGGTGGTGAATATTCCCTTATACTCGTAGATTCTTAAGAGTGGGTGTGTTAAATGAGCTGGAATATTTAAAGCAATGTTTTAAACAAGTTTATTTACTATATTGTTATATTGATAAAAATGTATATCGATAATAGTTTTCACTACTCAAATAAATTGTTAATTTTATTACTTATTACAAAACAAGTTTGTTTCAAATTTCTCTACTTTCCTTTCGTTTAGCTTTACTTGCTTTAAATAATCGCACAGCTCTGTGGCTATAGTTCGTTATTTAAATGTAACACTGATTTTCATATAATATTATATATTGTATTTTTAAAGTATTCAAACTTAATGGAATTTACTGATGTCCAAACTTTACATTTGCTTTACCGTTAGTAAAGTTCAGGTCTTTTGACAGCCATAAAACGAACATTTTAAGGGGGGAAATCCAGACTTTTATATGGTTTAAATGTATAAAAGTGTTGTAGCTTTCTTGAACGAAATTAAAGAAAGTAGCATGTTTGTTCATTTATGTAAGGTATGGGTTACTAGATAGCCTTAAAGACTTTACACATAAATAATGCCATAATCATTTATAGCTTATCTAACTCATCATTCGAAAATTGTTCGTACGAAAAGAAACAGAGCTGTGGTTGCATAATAGGTTTTATTGCAAAAAGCGCTTTACATATTACAAGTATTCTATGTATTACTTAGAAACCAGATGTCCCAAGGCAAGAAAAACTAATCGCAGCAGAGTTATTCTAATACTTTTGGCCTTGGCTTAAAACATTAGGTTACAGTCTGAATTATGTTTAGTAAATAAGCTTAATGTGCTCGGTACTCACTATCTAATAGGTACTTATATTTAAAGAGTATTCACATTTTTATGCTAAATACATTTTTATATAGTTTAAATTAAATAAACGAAATAAATATGTCATATTTGTTTTAATTAAATAATATAATTAATTTCCGAAAGTCAAGCTCCCTGTGTAGACAATTGCTTGTTGAAAAATTAAGTTGCAAGAATTAGCCTTGGTTCATATTTTAATGAGTCTTTGTTGCTTGCCAAAAAATTGGTAAGTTTACAGCGTAGGAATGCATACAAATTAGGAAACGCAAAGTAGTTGAAATATATTCAATAAAACCCAACAAACAAACATAGTAAAGGTACCAAACGAAACTTATAAAAAGTGCAAGTAAAGCTGCAACATGCCTCTGGTTTAAATAAATAAATAAACTTAAATTAAACGTATATAGAACAATAAACAAATTGGCATTTCGGTCGAGAATCAGCATATGCAACCTCTATAGTCCTGATATATTCCTCATAGCTCCTTTAACATTATTATTACAATTAAAAACTACTCACTTGCTGATGCGTAGCCGATTGGTGTACTGGAGTAAGTGGAGGAGGTTGTGATTGAGCCGTCGTTTCCGGCTGGACCGCCAAATAGATTTTTGTTGGTCCCAGAACACCTAGCTTGCCATTTGATTCTTGAGCTAAAAGGAATATGATGAAAACATTGAAAGAAAACTTTTTGAATATATAAACAACTCACCCTTCATTAATTGCTGCTTCACCTGAGTTTGCACCAATTGCAATTGTTGAGCTGTGAAATCGTTGCCCACCAAGCCTTGCAATACTATACGTGGCCCATGCTCGGTTTGCAATACTTGGGCGGTAACACATTTAATAACTGTTCCAGGAGGCTGGTTTTGAAGAAGACTTTCCTCAACACTCAACGGTTGCTGTTGAGTTTGTCCCTGGACTGTCTGGGCAACAACGGACTGTTGAGATACTGAGGTTACGGTGCTTTCGTAGTTTGTGGTTGACTGTTGAGGAATTTGCTGCTGCTGGACGACCTGATGGGGACTTTGTAATTGAATAGCCTGCTGTTTAACTGGTGAGGTTTGTGGACTTGCTTGCGCCACTGCAGTGGCTGAATTACTTGTGACGATATGAGCGTTCCCATCGCCTTGGTGTTTTATATGTGCTACTATTTGAGCCTGATTATTCCCTAGCGGTTTTACAATGACTTGTTGGCCATTCACAGTGGCAACCTGTAGCTTGCCTTGTGCTAATTGCTGGGCTAAAGTAGAATTTGGAACTAAAACTTGTTGCGTGCCTGTTTCATTGACATCAGCAGTGGTAACTTGCGTTTCCTCTTCAATTGTTTGTTGGGATTGTGGTTGAACCACGAGTTGCTTAACTAGCTTTGTTTGCGTACTTGGCGGGGATTGAACAATCTGGTTCGATTGGAGAACAAATTGGGTCTGAGGTTGAACAATATGTTGTTGCTGCTGCTGCTGCTGTTGCTGAGTTTGAATCTGCTGTTGAACCATTTGCAACGCTTGACTCTGTGGCACATTCCTCTGAGTAACAATAGTTTGGCCAGGGCTTAAAATTATTCGTTGGCCACCAACAACGATATGCTGTTGCACGTTGCTAGTGTTAACAATTTGCTGAATTACTTTTTGCGTTGGTTGACTTCCAACCGGTGACATTGAGATTTGCTGCTGTGGTGACTGTTGAATTGGCTGTGAAATAACTTGAGATTGCACAATTTGTTGTTGTTGAACTGGTGATGATCCTTGTTGTTGTGGAGACGAAGTCGATATGATGACCTTTTGCCCTTGTGCATTTTGGCCTACCATTAATTTTGACCCGGACTGTACGAAAACCTGCTGCAGGTTTTGCCCAGAGGCACCTGTGTTAATTACTTTTGACACTATCTTTTGCACGGATGGCGATGAGTTTGTTGTTGAAGTCGCTTGCTGCTGCTGTTGTGCCAGCAACAATTTATTCTTAATTTGAGCAAGCGGTAAAGCAACGCGCGAAGACGATGCTATAGATTGAGTACCAGTATTTTTGGGAACATGTTTAACAGCAATTTGTTTTATAACAGGCGTTACCGGATTTGCAGTAGTCTGTACTGGAGTTACAGCTGGTAATGACGGAGTAGAAGTTGGCTTAATGGGAACTTTAATTTTGTTTCCTAAAAATTTTAATGCATTTCAGTAATTATATAATATTTTTTTTTTTTAATTATCTTACCTTGCGCCGTTGCGTTTGAAGAAGAGGTTGTAGTCAGCACATGCAATTTCCCATCTGGCATTTGAACTAGCTGCTGCCCAGGATTTAATCCACGTACGCTCACTTTGCCATCTGGCCCCCTAATAATTTGTACTTTATGTGGTGTAGGTGCGGATGGATTAGACTGAGTATTTGACGAGCTTGCAACAGATGGCGAAGCAGTTGGCGTGTTAGCTGTCCCTGCTCGTGAAACCTGCGTAACTGCTTGCTGAATGATACGCGTTGTGCCGTCAGGATTTTTAACAATAACACGCCTGCTACCAATAACTTGGCCCTTAACTGCAATTTTTGAATGGCAAGATTAGACATAACTCCTATAAATAATATACATTAACGTACCCGGGGTAACAGAGCGGGTGACTTCGCCAACCAGTTTCCTCTGTTGGTGAACAGCGCGTTGCAATTTTAATTGTTGTTCCATTTTTTCCTTAACATCGTCATTAGATTTTGGTGCTAATTGGACGCGACCAGCGCCAGCAGGAGTTCCATTAGTTGAAGTGCTTGGGCCATTATTACTATTTGTCTCCAATTGACGAGATGCTACCGATCGCGTTACCGCTGATAGGCGTGCCTTTTCCTGCTTTTCTCCAATAAATTTGATTTCCCACAATTCCAATTTATCTTCATCGACCCATTCCTCGCTAATTTGTGGCTCAGTTGGCTGGGGAGACTCAGCGCGCTTTCGTTTTCGCAGTCCAGATCTTATGGATGTTACTTCTGTCGAGTGGTTAAAAGAATAAAATATAAATACCCTTTAATTTTTATATCTCGTGTATACGCATTAAAACATACCTCTTATAGTCTTAGGCATTTCAAGGGGGATGACAACTTTTCGTCGCAAGTAGCTTGTTTTTTCGCCATAGCGGCCTGCATGTCGAAGTCTTAGCAATTCTAAAGTGACAATTTCAGTTTCAGTCGTAACCTGATGTTTCCCATCCGCAGTTGGGGGTTTTGCTATCATGTCGTCCCAACGGAGGCACGACCATAGTATTCGTAGTTGAAGTGCTAGGCTTGATAACGAGGTGGCGTTAGATGTGCGATAGGACCAACACGTTCGGAAGAGAGGACGCGAGCACTGATATTGCCAGATTGTGTTATTTTTTGCCGCATGATGAAAACCATTAGTGGATGATTTTCCTCCCAGACGTGCCAGCTTAAGAAGCTCGAAACGCGGAAGCACCAATAGGCTGCGTTTCTTTTTATGAGTAAGAAAATTGGAAATGAGAGGGTATCGTGAGTATGACGGTTTTTTGGAAATCGTTTTTTTATCCTCAGCTATTTCAGCTTGTTCGTACAATTTGGCTGCGTCAATAAGAAGGTAAACACGACCCCGAGGTGAATTACATGAATATACACGCTCCGTTCCGTTTTCAAAATACTCCCGTTCATACTTTTTCACGCATTCACGTTTTACTGGACGTGCAGTTATAGGAAATCTGCGGTTTTGCTTGTTAAGTGGTATGTCCTTGTCTAACGTTTGATCCAACACATCTTTCGTACCAATATATGTTTTTTTAGATTTCTGATTTCGTTTTCGCCGCCATCCGGGTGTCGTATCGACATCTTCAGCATTACCTCCCGAGCATGCCGAGTTTAAGCCAGCTGCAATAGAATCTTCGGTACTTTCAATTTCAACATTGCTGCAAACGTCCATACTCTCGATATAGTCCATTTTATCGGAGTCTTGAGTATTCGAGTCGGTATTTGTATTGCATCCGGCACTTGGATTATCTTCTTCTTTAATTCTTGTATTAGTAGAGCACCCTTGATCAACAAGCATGCATTCGGTCAATAAAGATTCGCTAAATTGAACAGCGTGGGAACGAGCATGTTCCCAATCTTGCAGTAAGTCCAATGGTGCTTCGGATTCAGCTGGTTTCCCTTCTTCGGAATCATCGGTCGCTAGCTGACTGGATTCTCTTTTACCCTCAGTGAGCTTTTGCTCGAGAATAGATGGCTTTTTTACAGCTCCCAATATAGCAGCAACAGTCTCTTTAGATCCATTTCCGGCAGTATGCGCCTTCCTTAATAACAATAAAAGTTCTTTCTTTGCCCGCGCCTTTTGGAGGCACAACGGCGAATAGCAAGTATTTTGAGTTATTTGAGATACAGCATTTGAATTTGTATTACACTCTTTTGTATAACAACGAAATATCTTAGCAAAGCGGTTAAGTTGACTAAATTGTAATCGAACTGTTTGAATTTGTTTGGCCAGCGAATTAACGAGTTCCAGGTTTACGTTTGCAGGTCCTCCTTTCGCTGGGCCTTCAGTAAGCCGAAGTAAACGCTTCTCTAAATTTGTTTGTGTGCTATTGGGTGAAACAATTTGGGACGAAATAACAAGCGGCTTCATGTCTGTAGAAACCTTAGAAGCCATCTGCTCCTCAATCTCTGCCAATTTCATACGGCGATCCAAAAGATCATCTAATCGACATTTTCGAGCTACTTTCGGAAAATAAATACGACCTGGAGAATTTAGCGCTTTGCTAACATCGATTTGCCCCTTGATTTTCTCTCCCACATCTTGTATAACTTTTACATTTTTAAATTGTTCCGGTAAATAATGGCACACCTGACCACCGATATTGGTTGACTCGCATTGCTGCATAAAACGCTGAGTGCGTGGATCGACTAATACAACTTCATTTACGTCATTTTCATCACCCATGCTGTAATGTACGTAGACTCTAGTATGTACCATTGGCTGAACTCGTCGTGAACGAACACCACAGCGTCGACTGCTAGAGAGCCAAAGCCAGCCCCACTGTCCGTGAACACGGTATTCTTCTCCTTTTTGCTTCCACACTTGATGCTTGAGACCCAATGTATATTTAATGTAATTGAATGCTAGGCGATTCCGTTCTTCCTCGTCATCCCGTTCACGTTTTTCTCGCTTTTCAAGTTTTTTTCGCTCCTCTCGTTCGGCACTAGTTATGCGTTTTAAAGTTGTGTGACCCAGTTGCTCGTGCCAAACGTTGGCAAACACAACGCTCTTAAGGGACGATTGAAACAGCAACAATACGGCCGCAAAATCAGATGCTCGACGTGCGTTCATTACAGCTGCATTCCAAATTTTTTTGTTAATCGTCCAGTTAGTATTTAAAAAAGGAGCAGCTATGTTGGATTCGAAGTTTATCAACGTTTGCCTAAGCGTTGTAATCATATTCTCGGTGGTTCCCATGGTTATACCTATCCATTTAAAGTCGGATGCAGTCGTTAAAGAAAACTTGTGGGACAGATGACGCCGCTTATCCCGCTCCTCGTTCCGTTGGGGCTTGTTCAGTGCAATCGGATTTGTTGAATACTGATTAACGTAATTTTTAAACCCTTGGTCCATACCAAGTTTGAAATGCAGCGTTCCATTACTTAGCTGATTTGACTTTTGCCGAGTAATCATTTTGGTTTCTTCCTGTTTTTTTATTCCCTCCACGGAATGGCTATCAGATTTGGCATCAGCTTCCTCATCAAGTACTTCTTTTTCGATTAGTTCATTTGTAGCCTCTTGTTCCATTTCTATAAAACTTCGTTTGGTATGTTTGTGCTCATTAGTTAGGGTCTCAGTCAATTTCATTTGGCGCTCGATTTCGTCTCTGCGTTCTATTATTTGGCCATGCAGTCGCGATTCCAGTTCTTCGGCGTCCATGCGATTAATTAGTAATTTTAACTTACTTGTCGTACTGTAGTACCAGCAAGTGGAGCCTTCCTGATCTTCAACAAAAATGCGACGCACAATAAACCAATACTTGCGACCATGACGATCAACACCAAGGCTGTCATGTCGAATAAGCACGCCTTGTTTTTCCTGCGGCAACACGCAGTCCACTACACCACTGACTTTATGTGAACGGCAAAGTCCGCACTGCCAATCTTCAGTAGGTACATCATTCATCGGTGGATCTACGCACTCCAAATGATAGACAGCAGGACATGTTTCGCAGCATAACAAATCACCAAGGCGATGGCATACGCGGCAATGGTCATCATAATGAATGGGCCCTTCATGCAACATTACATCGCGAACAGAATTGGCAGTTAAAAATTGATCTGTCAGAAACTGGAGCACTTCAAGTCGGCTGTCAATGCTCGTGTACGGATATTCAGTTTGGCTTAATATATGAAACACGTTGCGATCAAAAGTTCTGTCACTTTCCACATAGCTTCGCAAAACTTCCGGCCACGTTAAAGCATCAATCAGATAAAGGCTTATATTTACAGTGTCTTTTTGATCCAGCGGACCAAAATGAGTACCCTGTGCGTCCTCTTCTCGTAAGATCGCCTTTAGCAGCATTATATGCACGTCCGTCAGTAAAGCACTTTGCTCCTCACAACTTAGTGCTGCACAAAAGTCTTCAAATCGAAATGGCGAAAGGCGCACCAAGTGGCGAAAACGTCGCAGTACTTCATAGATACTAAGAGCTCTTAATACGTAGGCATTAGCTACGGTTAGATCCTCCGATGAATCGGGCAATTCTAGAGGTGCATATTGCCGCCCTTCCTGCAGCCAGACGGGTTCCGGGCTAGGAGGCCGTGGAGGCCGACCTACTCCATTTTGGTTAAAACTACATACGGAAAACTCCGATTCGCTCTCGTTTGCTGCTTCCAGGCTCTCTTCGTCACTAGGAGTAAGTAGCATGTCATCTTCATTATCTGATTTATCTTCTTCGGAATCTCCAAAATCTGAGCCGTAGTGGTATTCCGACTCGTAACCTATAAAAGAAGACAGGTAGTTTTATTAGAACCATTATTTATTTCTATTTTACTTCGCAAGACAGTGCCTGAAATATAGCCTGACATTTTGTTTATGTAAGCCTGCTCGTTTCGTTTTTGGAACACAAAATATTTCAAACTAATTCTATTATATTGGTCATAGTACTGTAAGTGTAATTCAGATTTTATATTGCGTCGACGGCAGTCAGAAGTATGTGGTGTTAAAATAAAGTGGTCAAATGCAGTAGCGCAAGATCAAAGGGTTTGCAGAGATATACGAGTAAGACTGGTCAGACTGGCAAGATCAATCCGTAATCAGTCACTAACCAACCTTTTCTTCCGGAATAGCTGCTGGTGTTGGGTTGCACAGTGGATTTGCGACCGCGTCCCCTCTTCGCCGCACTACCGCGACTGCGGTTGTGATTGTTGTGGCTGCTCCGGCTGCCCTCGTCACTTTGCGGAGAAATACCTCTGGAGGCCGACGGAGTACTGGGCTGTGACTTTCCCTCGCTAAGATACTTTGGCTTCTTGAGCAGTTGGTAACTGAAGCGTCCTGAAGCGCGCTCGTTGGGCGTCTTTGGCGGTCGACCACGTTTACGGCTGCCGCGACCGCTCATTTCCTTGGTTTTGCTCTACTGATTTATATGAATTTGTTTCCGGATGCTTCTCTAGGTTTTTCTTCAGACTTGATTTTGATTTACCGATGTAGATCTGCACATTAGATCTGAAATAAGAAATTAAACCATTTAGTTTAAGCTGCTTCAGCATTAGATTTTCCACTCGCACCAAGCTATTTACGGACACATTAAAACACTTTAACTCTACAGCGTATGTGGGGAAAAAATCGATGGGATTCACAGTAGTTATCAGTTTACTTTGTTACATTCGCGCACATTTAGCATAACAAAAAACTCGCCAAAACAGCTTGTATTGTTTAGTATCACGGTCTTAATAAAATATATTTAGTTCATATAATCAAAAAACATTCTCAGATTCTAATGTTGGATGGCTAACGCACTGGACAGCACTACTGAATGCGCTTGTATGTGTGCGAGGAAATGAAGCCAACGCACATTGTCCGCCATTTAAAGAACTGAGAAAATTTTCGCGACTTTTTAAATGCCACTCTATGTTCAGAAATAAGGCATATCTTTACTGCACAAATTACCCAGCATGTTGGGGAACAATTGCAGACGATTTAACACAATATATTTAAGTATTTTTAACTATCTTGAGCAAACTGCGAGAGCCACTTTTACCTAACATTTCAGTTCTGAACATAACTGGAGACGGTGTACAGTCAGCCAATCACAGCGACTCTTCTATTATTCGTGGCCAGAAGCGGCCTCTTGCGGTCGTCTCGAGAAACTAATTAATAATGGTTGCACAAACAATATTGACAGGGTTGCATTCAGAATTTACACTGAACCGCTGGGTACAGGTATTTTGAATTTCAGCTAGAGACTTCCCGGGTTTTATTTTGCCTGTAGATTTAGTGTTTCAAACAGTATCAAAATATCTAAAAACATTCTAAAGCGGAAGTAAAAAAAATTAATCATATGAATCTGGAATATGAAGAAAACAATTATATTCCTTATTTAGAAACTTGTATATATATACCATAAAAGTAAAAATTTCCTGCAGAGTTGATATGGGTAAATGCCTTATTTTGTAGCCCTGTACTCATTGTTATCTTATCACCTGCACAAACCTATTGATATAGCAGAATACCGACTCTTTAATCGCTAGTATTACTTTATTAATCAACCCCAGTGGTTGCATTCGCAATAATTACCAGTGAAACAAGACTACTATAACCTCATACATTATATTTTCTGTCAAAATCACAAAACAAATTCTGCCTAAAATATACAATGTAACAAACATTTTAACGGCTTTGTCAAATAAATTTTAAAAATGTAATATAACGAAAATTAATCTATTTAATTATAAGGAATGTGCTACCAGCAAGCTTACACATCAATCTGACGTCATGTGTTTTATGATTAACAAACTTTCGGTTTATTAAAGATAAGATAAGTCGTATCTTGCTTTAACAGTTAACTAATGTAAAAATGCTTTTGTTTACATGATTGTTGTGCTCAGAAATTCGCACTGTGATACTTCAGCGTTAGGATCAGTTTTTTCTAAAAGTAATTTATATAATTCCAGATTGGCAAAAATAGAAATCAATATGAACATTATTCTAGCCCTAGTTTTAATCGGTTTAAAGGCGATTTCTAAAACTTCGTCACAGACAATAACCGGACTAGATCAATTTAATGAATCAAACCACACAAGGTAAGCTCTGCTGCTGGATTAAACATAACCTAATAGTTTTGAAAATTTTAAGACACCTAGTAATTTTTAGAGACATATTCAATAACACATCTACAGACGCTTGGGAAGCGATAATAACTTCATCACCGGTTGTGAATAAAACCCGTTTGACAGATACTACCATTACTACTGGTAGTACGTTTTTATCCTTTCTACCCGTTCAAAGTTCTCTAGAAAAATTATCAGATCCTGCTGACTGTTCGCAACGTGAAAAATACAGAAAACAACCAATTGCAAAACAATCTTCACGCTTGCGAAAATGCTGCCCACATGGTGAAAACTTAGATATTTATCGGGAAAATCAAAGTGACTCTATGTGCGATAACGGAATGTTAAAATTTGAGCCGACTATAATAAGTGCAGTTCTGTTTGACAACTGCATTGAGGACTTAGAGATTGAAACTAAACTTGACTACGACATTGGAAATCCATGTAACAGGTATTTAACTCAATAAATGCCTTATTATTCTTACACTGTATGCCATTCCCTTTAGCTCCCTTCAATATGACAATCAAGAGGACGTTTTTTTTGTCTTACAAGACGGTTCATTATTAATTATTGACAAATTCGGCAATGAATCGTACACAGTCGAAGAAAATTACTGCTTGGATATTGATAAGTCAGGAAATATGTTTGCTTTCACATGCGTCACACAAGTTGAAGAACAAATAGCTTTCGCAAAAGTAAGTAAAGATTTGTACTTAAAGTCTTAAAAAAATTACTCTTTTAAATATTTAAGGTACTTTTTGTTGCTGTTTTAATGCTCTTATCTATGCCTTGTCTTCTGTTAGTAAGTTACTTGCACATGACACTTCGTTTATTGCGCAACTTGCATGGCCTCTCCCTAAGTTTGATGTCCTTATGTTTGGCCTCCGGATACTTCGTGCACTCCGTTGTGCATATATATGGAATTCCTAACCAAGGTTTTATTGGCTATGTTATACAGTTTTGCATTTTAAGTTATTTTTTCTGGTACTTCTGTATTTGCTTTAATGTTCTCTTGAATGTATGGTATAAGTTACCCTGTTGCATTCAGCTTTCAAAGGCCTGGAGCACTTTTAATTTCGCATGCTACACTCTTTTGTCTTTTTCTGGATCTGCTGCAATAGTTTCACTAACCATTCAAAAGGGATTGCCAGGAATGCCTTCTTACTTCCTGCAAGGCAAGTTTATAGCCATTATACTAAATTTGAAAATTTATTTTAAAAAAATTTTATATATTATATCTAGGCCTCACGGAATCCATACGAGACTCACAACGTTACTTCATACCACCAGTTTCAACTATACTTTTTCTTAGTTTCTTGGTAAGCTTATAAGGACTTCTAAATGTTATTTATTTTACTAGTCTTACATCCTTAGATAAACATAATATCTTTCTTCGGATTTCAACGTCTTAACGGGTACGAAAAAGCTGAAAAGAGTAATGATGATCGGAGAAACTTATTGTTTGATCAGCAAAAATTCGAAGATGTTAAAAAAGAGTAAGTGCAGATATGATTTTATTGACGTTAAGTTAAATATAAATTTTATTTTCTTATTAGCGCCAAATGTGTAAGCTTACTTGGAATAATTATGGTCATCAGTTGGCTTCTCGAAATAGTAACATTTTACTCGGGATCAAACTCAAATTACCTACTGATCTGTGACATGGTGAATGGTCTCCAAGGAGTTTGGGTATTGCTTATTTTTCTCGTTGTGCGGAGACGTCGCACTATAATATTAAGGTGGTGGTATGATCGTGGTTCCCATGAAATTGAAGAAACAGAGCTTCAAGCTCTTAGTAATAGAAACAATATCACATAGATATGATCTTCTAACAAATTGTTATTATTACATACTTTGACCCGAAAATTATTACATATTCATATAAAATAATTAAGGAAAGCTCCAAAAAGTTAAGAAAAAAATCGAACTATCATATCTAAGAATGTTGTATTGTACCCGGTACTCGCATAATGTAGATTATTTATAATAAAATTATATAAAGAAACAGATTGGAGAATATGAATAGTATGTCAAGGGAAAAGTTGATATTTAATTCTTATCCCAAGTCAGAAGAAAATTTAGCTATTTCTTTTTACATTTAAAAATGATCGCCACAGCCTGATTTTATTTTTCTTGTACACGACCAAAAAGCATTTACCGTTTTAACAACTTTTAAAGAACAAAAAAGATGTAAAACGTTAGAATATCCGGTATAAATATTAAAAAACACATATATGTAATCTGCTGTTTATTAATGTTTGTTAAATGTTGTTGTCACTTATATGATCATATAAAGTGAAAAAGTCCATTTATTGTAAGAATCTATTCTAATACTCTAAAAGAAAAGTGAATATATGTCGTGGTCGGAACCAAAATAAGCTATTCCATATTTTTTAGTGGATTGCAATTTTTTGAAAAAAGATATGAAGAAAACGGTTGCTCACGTTTTCTTACTATGTAGTGGCGGTTTCATCATAAGAATATTTTTGTATTTACATATTATATGCTACGTATATGGGATCCAATTGGTCAGCCAGGAAGCCATCTCGTAAATGCATTCGTTGCTTTTCGCCCCGACTATTAATTGGCACAACACCTAGAAACCAAATATTCATTAAAGCTAATATTCAAGTTTAAAGCATATTTTACCTGGATCAACTACCACAACAACGCCAACTATAAGCTGATGATCTTCTAATACTGTATTTGTGACCAAGGGAACCAAATCCAAAGCTTCTGATTCATTGCCATCTAGTTCGACAACTACGACTAATAAATTAGTCCATGTGAAAACGGCGCTAAATAAATACAAATTAGGTGACATTTTTCTACAAGTCCGTTTTAAAAGTTTTACCACTCAGCAATTTTTTTGTGACAGCGCATTACTGAATTTTCAATATCAATCGGATGATAGTTCATGCCACGTAATGAGATCACTTCATCAACAGCTCCAACTACATACACCGCGTCATGTAGTTCTTGGTCATTCGAGGTTGCTGCACCGCCTATTAGGCTATGTTCAGAATTTCCACCCAAGGAAACATTTGAAAAGTTTAACTGCAATTGACTTATGGAATTCAACGATTCTGTATCACTGTCGCGACTGGCTACACTTGGTGTGGTCTCGTCTAGTAATGAGGCTGCTTGAGAACATTCGGTACGTCTTAAGAATCCTAAATAGCCAGTACGCGCATATAACTCAGAGGTAGCCCCAGTTACCAATTTTGCGTTAAAGTGATCATTGTAATCAGTTTCATCGCCATAAATTGTAAAGTATCCATTTGCATTATGGGGAGCTTGAACCTATTAAAAATGTATTTCATTAGCTAAGGTTATGGTAATTAATTTTGTTTTAATTTACCCAAATTTCTCCCAAATGTGAGTCGCCACAATGACCCTTGGTATCGGGATTTGCTATGATTACTTTTACACCTGGAAGAAGTTTTCCTGATTCTATTACACAAAGTGAATTAGGCGCACCGCGCTCTACTAAAGCCACTCTATTATTTCGCAATGCTCTCATATCTACGTACACCTGAGCACTCTCTGCAGAACTGGCACCTTGCACACAAATGGCTGGATTAACGCGACATCCGAATGAAGTGGAGACGCAGCGAGTATTTAGACCAAGAGCTTGAAACAGCTTGCAGAACTGCTGGGTAAGTTGCACCCTTGGGCGCTCTTCCGCAACTACAACACAAGTCCGCACGCAACGCAAGTCAATGTTTCGTTGCTTTAAGGAGGGTATAGAGTTACTGAGAGCTTTAGTACATAATTCTATTACACCATATGAACAAAAAGTGTCGCGAACACGATGTTGCGAGAGAGTGGACAACCACAAACTGGGATTAGCTTCAACTTCGTAGGGTGCAATAAGTATCGAATGGTGCCCACTATATACTCCGATGAGAGTCCACATTACAAATCCAAGGCCGCAATAGGGATCCAAACATAACGCAACATGACGGGAAGGATACAGCTCACAAGCCAATTTTAAACTGGCACACAGACTAGAAAGAGATCTGTTGGACGAGAGAAAATTTTAAAAAAATCGTTGTATTTTTTGTATTTGTATTTAAGTACCGATGCGTTATGTTAACACCGCTAAGACGTCCACACGTTGACACACTGAAATCCAAATAGGCGCTAGAGTCAAAAGATACCGTGGCTATGCCGCCATATTTGCGTTTTGGATTGTCATCAATATCCAATATAGGTGGCCATGTCTTTGGGTCAATAGAAGTTGCCGCCTCTCGAGATTTTAGTAACTTAATAATTGGTTGTATAGAGAGCACAATTCCACTTTTTGAGACATCAACTATCATGCGAACAGTGGGTAATGTGGTATTTAAATTCTGTGGGTGTGGAGGCCTTATTGTAATTGGTATTGCACCCAAATAAAGGCATCCGTAAAATGCGCACAACAAATCAAGTCCTGGGGGAAATATAAGAGCTGCAAAAAAAAGGTGTTTATTTTTTTATTAAAGCTTGTAATGACAAATTCTTACCAACATGATCTCCTGACTCAATTCTACCTCGTTCTTGTAATAATGCAGCTATTTTCTCTGCCCGTTTATGTAGCTCAGAACATGTTAGAGTTTTGGCAATGGCGCCTAAAAATCATTTAAAAATGAATTAATTTACAAAGGGACGGAACTTACCTTTAGAATTTAACAATGTAAATATGATGTGATCTGGAGAAGTGTTTGCTCGCCAACGCAATACACCTGTTATAAGTTGGGGCTATGGAAATATCGAGATTTTAATGATTCATTTCTTCACAAGGGAGGTATGTATACCTACCTTTCTCTCGCAATCTTCAGCTAATCCAACATCCCGTCCATGGGCTTCAGCGAGGCGATTACCCTGAACTAAATTTCCAACCATCACGGAGGCTGGTCCAACGCCCGTGTCTGTAATACCACATCCAGATGAGCTTAATTTTGCGGCAGTTTGCACACCTTATTTTGTTTGGGGAATGGTTAGTAGTAGAATTTGTCGTTTTTTACAAGGATTTGTTACATAAATGATTAATTAAAGCGATTTCATTAGTTATGTTGGCATTTGTGTTGTGATTGTCGATATTATACAGTGTTGTTATTTTTGGTATGCAGTGAGTATTGTTGTGGTCATAGAAGTAATCGCAGCATTGTTGAAGTGTTGGTGATTAAAAATAGAGGAGAGCAATATTTGTATTTTAATAAGGTAAATTAAGCACAGAAAGTCCAATAAAGCCAATTATTTAAAAAGTCTTCAATTCAGTTTAACAGAAAACTCACCTTGATGTAATTCTCGTGGCTTCGGTAAATTAGTAACACATGTATGTGGGCACATCAAAACATTCGCTGGGTGAAGTGATCCCTCCAAAAATCTTCGTCTTGCCTCACATAAATGTATGCCTCCGAGAGGAGTCTTGGGTAAGTGGTTTGGTGGAACCAATGCCAGGCAATAAATGCCAACTTGGTGAATAGAGTCAACTGCCTGCAGAACGCGTGACATCCATTGGAAACTTTCTTCTTCAGAGCAGTCGGGACGTTGTTCCGCAATAACACACACGCGTTCGTCACGCAGTACTTTAATGCTAAATACTGCTATGCGTCCTCGGTAAATAAAGCGCATTGGTTCCACTGCTAATACTGTAGCAATTATGTCATCCGCGTTGTGTTTTCGACCGGTAACCGTCATAAGACCATCGCGAGATCCGCAGACAAAGACCAAGCCTCCAGGGCCAAGAAAGCCCAAAAGACCTGATCTAACATAAAAGTCTTCGCCAATCGGTTTGCAAATTATATTAACCGTGCCATTACCATCTTTTGGTTGTTCAAATTCTTCCAATAAAGGTTGAACCTTAAAGGTAGAATTCGTCATTCCATCGAGACCAAAGTAGCTAGCACTGGTGGAACCACTAGTAACGCATATTTCTCCCACTTGATCAGTTTTGCATAGCACTGGAGCTCCTTCCGATCTTACGACTACCATTTGTGCGGCTGGCATAACCTGACCACAGTCCTGCAAAGTGAGTGACGTTAACGAGTCTTCGCTGTCCACTCTCACTACTCCGTGTGAAAGTGCTGCCATGGAAAGTACACCTCGTCCTGTAGCTGATGGACTGAATCCACAGGATCCCCGTCCAGGACGACGAAGAGAAACAGTAAAAACTTCAGAGCTACTAGCGCATGGACAAATTGCATCTGACCGCAGACCTTTTGCTTGAAAAACGCTCAAGAACTGGTCACACGATGAAAGGGACCAGGGGTTGGCCCCATCGGCTACCAGCAACATACGCAGAGAAGACAGCGATATATCTTTGTGATCTTTAGTAGCTAGTAAGCCCCAATGTAGATCACGACTCTTAACCAAGCAACAAGAAGCGCGGTGTTTCGTTATCAATTGCATCCAACTAGATGGCCGCAGCTTCATCAAGGCGTAGGGTATAAAAATAACATGCATACCATTTAGTACAGAAGTTAAAACTGAATGCCACAATCCAACTTCACGCTTGAAATCCAAGACACACACAATTGTTTCGCCTTCGGTGTAATGACAGGCCATAGTCAAAGCACGACAATGATTGATCATCGCTGCTCGAGTGACAGTGACACCTACAAAAATTAATCAATATTACATATGTTGAGTAATTTTCGTAGCATACTCTTACCCATGACACTTCCTTCCTTATCAGTCGTGTATTCTATATAAGCAGCAGACGAATCATCGACTCTCAAATTGCCAACATTGAATTCTTTGGGCGGTTTAGGTAAATGTTCAGTTACAAACCACTGCAAACGTGGCCAGCCCTTTAGTTTAGCTATTTCCCCCGTAGTTGTTGATTTGGGAAGACCTTTCAAGCAAGCCTCTGAGGTTAGTGCCACAGTTATGCCACAAGAACTTAATAAAAATCCAACTTGCTGGGGAGGAGTGTCCGAGCTAGACAGCGGCAATTCTATTGGAAGAGGCACTAAACCCCGAAACATACAACCATACCAGGCTGTAATAAAACTGAAAATAATTTATTACATTTTGTTTCTAAATAAAATTGATGCGTTAATACGAACCTTAAGGGATCATTATTAGGGTAGACCAACGCAACACGATCACCTGGCTTAAGAGTTACTTGCTCAGGTCCCTTGCTAAATATTTTTGTTGACAAAGCATACGCTATCTTCTGAGCGCGGGAAAGCAGTTTACCATAAGTTAAGGTAGTTGTAATTTTTCCGTTAGGATCAAGGACCGTAGCCATCGGACTTTTAAAAGAATTGGTTCCGTATCGTTGTAGTGCGCATTCAAGTGTCCGTGGAAGTCCTGCTGGTATGGACAGCTGTTCGCCGTGCACAGGTGTCATGGTGCTACCCTCTGGTTTTGGTGCATTTGGATCTTTCGTGTTAGCAGCAATCTCCAGCTCAATGTCGTTGTCTTCATAGAATTCTGGCAATGGTCGTCGCTTGGGTCTTTTTAAGGTGTTTAGCAGTTGCTGTATCTTAGCCGACACTTTCCACTTGCCATTGGCATCTGTCTCGTTTAGTTCATTCTGAGTAACGTTTACATATCGTGTCACTCGGTCTGCAGCACGGTGTGCATTATTAAATTGTGTGATGTCAGGAGCGTTCACTAAGAAAAGAGCAACATAGGATTATAATTCAAAAAATGTAGTGTACATTTGTACATTTTTTTATATTATTGTAAATTCAAGTACTAACATTGCTTTTGCTTGTACGCTTTGTCAGAAAAGTCATTATCTCGCTTGTATGCAATTGGCGGCGAGTCCGTGCTTGAAGCATCTGATATTGGCTGAAAAACAATATTTCTTTTTAATATCGTTCTTTGAAATGATCTTGCGTAGAGCAAAAAGGTTTTAAGCTCTTATTTTTATAGAATAAAGTATTTATTACTCACAATTGGAGGTAAATTTTGAGGTGGCCGCCTCTCTGGAGCGCTATTCGATAATGTGTACTTGTGATTTGGCATTTGGTTTTGTTTTACCTCCGACCTCGAATGCTGATGTGGGCCCATCGATGACTCACGAATTGGAGGCTTTATTATCGGCTCTGGGGGTAGAATACTATTGCTTATATGATCGCGCGGATAATTGTACTCCTTGTCGGGGGAAATTGTCTCCTCGGGTATAGATTCGTCATCCGTTGATGAGTCCAGCTCATCATTACATCCAGGGCTGCGGTTTAGGACAGATGTGCGCTTTGATGGCATCGGAAGGCTGGGCTTTGGTCGCCCTTTAAGAGCTGCCAACGCCTGCTGCACAGCCTCCTGTCGTACTTCTGGGGGTAAAAAGATTACAGTAAACTGCGGTTGCTGAATCGTGTTGCTTACCAGAATGATACCGTTTCTCATTGTGCGTTACTTTTCGCTGTGTGCGTCGTTGACGATGTTGGCTATTATTTGATGACTGTTGATTTTGAAAACCACTGGGCTCTCGAGTGTTTTGATACCCGGGATCGCCGACTGCTCCACCCTGAGGGCGCATATTCTCGTAGCCGGGAACCCCAACATTTCCGCTCTGAGGCGTCGATGACGCGTTTACGGATGATGGCTGATGGTAGTCGATCTTTTTGGAATGTCTTTGTTGTGAGGAGGAGAGCGAGGGCACTTCGGTAACATAGCTATAGCCCTCGCTGGACAATATGACGCCGTCGTTATTAATGTTTCCATGGCTATTGCTATTGTTGGCATCTTTGACATTATAGTATGGCGGTGGAGGCGTACTTTTCACCTTGTCGCCTATTTACAAAAGGATAAAGATTAGTCAACGACCAAATTCCAAATTATTTGAACACCACTTACCTTCTGGTTTTTTTAGGAACGGCTGCAATAGCTTCGCCCGCTTCTTTTCGTAGCCCTTCTGCGTAATGTCCCCTACGATAAACGATGGGAAGCGATTATTAACAGTCTTGTTAATCTTAATTTATACACTTGCGTTGGATGCCTATTGTCATGAAATAGCGACTGTTATGTATTTATACTGAACGCCCCAACATACGACATACACACTTTTCTTTTAATTGGGTCTGGCTCTGTGTGTGTAGACTTTATCAAAGGAAAACTCAAGACCACAGTTTACTATCCGAATTGGGAGCGATAGCTACTCGATTAGTTGGAGCCTGGCAGCCGATGTCTTCGTTTATACACAAATTTTCACAACCTCATTCCCATTCTAACAACCAAATTTTATTTGCGTGTGTATTACAAACATGCAAAAATTGGTATACCTTCCGAGAGTTCCAAATCCAGCTCAGCGAGCTTTTCGCGAACGTAGCCAGGCAAAGAGGAATTGTGCTCCATAGCCAAGGAAGTTATAACTTGCGAGTTTAATTAGAGCTTTTCTTTTGGGCGTATATTTTTACTTGGGCGCAGTACAGAATGCACACCCAGACACCGCTACTTTCCCACTTCGCTGTCAAAAATCGATCGATTTGCCATTGATTTTATTTCACATTTCGTCGAGGAAAATAAATACTTTGGTACTCTCCGCAGGCCACGTACTACATGGACTCAATTAATAACAATTTTACGAATGTCTAACGAATTTGCACTAAGAAAGTAAACAAAGAAAAGTAGCAGTATAAATCGATTTTATGAACTAGAGAACATTTGATATATGTTTCACCGTACTATTGGCGTTATGATTTTCACCCTTTTTAATACTTGGTCACACTAAGTGAATAAAAGAAACAAAAATAATATATACATCTATATATTTGAATTTAAAAGATAAATTATTACTGGAAAAAGCATAGCAAACCGAAATTGTATAAGTTCATTTTTTATTTGCGCTAATTTATTTGCTATAAAATTAAAATTGACTATGCAGCCCTGAAATGTTTCTTTTTGTATGCATCGATCACCAAAAAATTATCGTTTACCGCAATTCGGTTAATGCACTACAACTTAACTCTCAAGAAGAGGGAGAGATTTTGCAAATTTAATCTTATTTGCTTTAGCTTTTCAAGCGGAGCCAAGTATCGGATTTGCGTCATCGATAGTTTCGAGTGAAAATGCGTGAGTTGATTTAAAAAGTGCAAGGCATTTTAACAATTCATTTTTTTGTGTGCAGAGAATTTAAAGATTCAAGAGGAAATCAAGGCGTTGAAGGACCTAGGGCAGCACTTCGAAGACCAAATAAAGTTGACGAGCGTTGAGCTTGGTGACTTCTCAGACGATGACCTGGCACTCCTTGACAAATGCGTACAATACTATGCTTATTCCTACATTCACGACTTAAATCTTAGCTACTTGCGTGATTTCAACACTGCTAAGAAAAGGGAATACATAGAAAACAGGCACACCAGAGTGCATCAGCGCATTGAACTGCAACGCATTAAGTCGGCCATTGAAGAGACATCTAGGGATGTAGCTGTATTGGAGAGGTATTAGTTATCCGAACGTATAATATCGTAATTTTGTAATAACTCATGAATATTACAGATTTAAATCTGCTGCGGAAGAGCGGCTTATTCCGGATGCCATTGTTAATCAGCGAAACAACCAACAGCTTGCTACCAAACAGGGCTTGCTGGACAGGCAAAAAACTCTCAAGATACCAAAGGATTTTAACATTGAAAGTGTCATTGAGAAAGTGGACCTGTTAGAGCGGCGCTAGTGAATGGTATCGACATTGTTTTTACAAAATGATTTAATTATATTTACTCAGTAATTCATTAAACACTTTACAATAACATAAAATCTGCAAATATAGACAAGCAGCAAATGAGAAGCGCTTGCAGAAGGTTCCAATTGTAGCTACGTTGTGTCAAATATTTATTTAAAGGATCATAATAATTGGAAAAAAAACTAAAAGACCAAGTAATTATTTATAATTTGCCAACTGCTTAAAGCATACAAAAATTTTACTGCGTTCTTCCATGCCATTGCTCATATGTATGTATGTATTTCCAATGTGGTATATGTATCATATATATTGGTGTGTATAGATAGAATTAGTAATTTCATATTCTTTAAGTTGTTGCTTGTTATGTATATAAAGGGCGGGTATGTGGCAGACAAACATTTCGGCTAGCAACGCGCTCTACGCCACAGGCCTACTCCACTTTTCCAGCCATCTCTTAGCGGAACTCTGGCGCATCATCCTGTGTAATGTCGCCGTACTTCCAGATAGCTAGATGCGCGGCTAGAGCTGCTTCCTGCGCAGCCCTGTACTGGTCCACAAGGTCCTTAAGCTTACGTTCACGTCGCTTTTCTGCAAGAACAAGACCCTCGGCGACAAGTTGCTTTCCAAAGTCGGCCTTAGTTGTTGGATCGTGAAGCGTGGCTAAGTTCGGCGATCCAGCCACCTTCAGCTCAACATTGAGTTGAACCTTGTGGTTCAAAACATCTTCCGAAAAAGCACGCAAAGCTTCTTCTTTATCCTCGTTGTCAGTAGGCAGAGCGACTAAGGCCAGAGCGTACTCCGTGGCGTACGGTTTTTCGCTGCTAAAGGCTGGAGGCAAGGCTGCCAAACGGTTTGTGGGAAGTGTCTGAGAAAAAAAAATTTTTGTTATAACTTTTAAATTTAATTACTTTCAATTTGTATTAAGTTTGCATATGTCGCAATTCCGAAGATATTTGCAGCATGGTTTGACGCCCCCAGCCACTCTGCGCTCACGCCTCGTAAGTATTTTATCCCGCTTCGTTGGACTTTGGTTGACTCAAATAATATGAAACTACCTCGGTACCTTTGAAGAGAATATTATACGACTCGGAACAGGAAACACATTTAACGCAGCTGTAGGGTTTAATTTACGCCATCACGCAACGAATAATTTTTCGAAGAAGCATATTTAATTTGGCAAGCTTATGACTCATACGTTTCTCTTCAAGCCGGAAACGGATCTAAGGAACTTGCAGAATGTACTTTATTCAGCCAGGATTCACTTACCTCCTTGTTGCCATAGTCGATGTACAGGACGGTAGCGTTACTACCCTGGACTCGATCGACCTTCGCGCGGTACCATTGATTATCAAGAGTGAACTGTGCTGCCACCAGATCGCCACGTTTTGGTGTGTAGGATCCAGCGATGGGTGGATTGGATTGAAAATCGGCGTGAAGTTTGCTCATCAGTGACTCTAGCTTGGATCCGTTCTCCACGGACTGCGCAAAGAATGTTAGAGTTTCGGTAATTTCAGTTACAATTACGTTCTCGTAATTAACTTTGCGCTCTAACACCACCTTGTCCTCCTTCTCTTCCTCGACAACGGTTTTTTCTTCAGGCACTTGTTCCACATAGTTGGTCCAGATATTTTTCTTGGCGGCCTTGGCACGGTCTTCGGCACTCTTTAAAATGCGGTAGTATTCCGATTTTTCTGCACTAAAGTGCACTTCCGCAAGACCTTCCTCAACAAGAGCAACTGACAGATTAGCCCCGCTGTCCGTCCAGAGCCAACCGATAACGGAAGATCCTGCCTTATCGGTGGTATCGATATGGACAGAAACGTCACGTTGCAAAACACGCTCTCGGGTAAAGGTTAAAGCCTCGTCACCGAACGGTTCACCTTCTTGGGCAGGAACGCCGTTTACCGCTGGGCGGGAAGAGCGCGGACATGAAATTCCAGCAAGGAGGAATGTGACTAGGCAGCTGTCTTTTGGCACAAAGAGCCTGAGGCGGGACCCGCTAGCGACAAACTCCACGATGGCATCAGTTCGCAGAGCACGCTGCCACGACGGCAAGTATTGGACCTTAATTCGGGAATGGTCAACAGTGAGGTCGTTTACTCGCAGTGTAGCGTTATCCTTCTTTGCGTGTAGTCCCTTCAGACCCTTGATAGCTTGCTGCTCGGCAGCAATCAATTGATCATAGGCGGAAGATCTCTGATCGTCGTCCTGGCGATACCGAACACAAGTAGCCAGTCCCTTAGCTACCATAGCTTCAGCTACGTTTTGGCCGCCAATCGAGACGGTGTAACAGTATTTCTCAGGGAAGTTTTCACGTGGAGGTGAGATGTAGTCCAGATTGCACTGGACTTTCTTATTAATCAATTTTTTGCGCAGGAACTCGCGGGCATCAAACATGTGTGGAATTTCGTAAAGAGGTCGGTAGTTCTTTCCACGTGGAGGTGCCTTTACGATTTCCTCTCCGTCGGTGCCAACCACAGCACGTTGGTCACGTGGCGGCCTGATGGACGAAAAGAAGACTTTCTTCACTTGGCCATTGGAGAGACGTACATTAATAGCATCGCCATTAAAGACCTCCACTACGGTTCCCGAGAAGTCCTTCTCTTTAGAGTTAAAAGCGGGAGTTTTTGCTTGATAGTCTTGCCATTGCCGGATGCGTTTTTCCTTGGCAATACGCTCAGCAGCACGAAGTTTATCAGCTCCTAAAAAATGTTTTAAATGTTTGTTAGTGGAAGTTGATATTTAATTTTCTTGTAAAATGATGTTGAAAGATGTGGGATGTCGACGGGGTGAAATGAACGCAGTGACATTAAACTGTCACAAAATTCTTGGAGTCCGTCTTTGTTCTGGCAGCCGATTGCAAACAGTGAGCAGCACAAACACAGGTTATTTACCAATTTGGTGCTGCGCTGTGCTAACGACCTGCCGACTTAAGTTAGATAAGCTGAATTTAATCAGTTCAGTTTATAACGCAATTTGTATATATTGTTAATATAATAATTTCCTAAACTTACCGGTCTTCATAACAGCCATGGACCAATCCACACATTTGGCTAGCCCCTCTCGCAGGAGTGATTCTGCAATGTTGCCCTTCGGGTACAGAATAGTTCCAATAAAGTTGGAGTTGTTGACCGATTCCAACCGAATTTCCACATCCCGTTGTAGGAGGCGTGTCTCTACGTAGTATCGAGCCTCATCGGCAAACGGCACCTTCACACTCAGGTCGGGCTTGCCATCAGCATCCAACTTCACACCTGGACACCGAATGCCCGAGATCATCAACGTAATATAATGAAAGTCGGGCAAAAGGAACGCACGGACAGTGGAACCATCGCGCACGTGCTCAATGATCGCCTTGACAGGATTTCCTCCATAGACATCTACCAGGTGGGCGGGGTTCTCGTGAGACCACTTAATGTTGCGTATTTTGTCAGCGACAATTGCGTTAGACGACCACTTGCCGCGGTTAGCGGCACGTGCCTGGTCCTCCAACTCAATTAAGGTCTGCTGCTCGGCTGTAGGGCGACCTTCGCGGCGTACCGACACCAAACCCTCGCGCACGATAGACTCGACCACATTCTCCCCAGACTCCTTATCTTTGCCGATCCACACAAAACCATACTCTCGGTTAGAATTGGCTGGCTTGTCGAAGGTAAAAGTCACCTCCACGCCAATCAGCTTTTTGCGCAGGAACTCTCGCGACTCCCAGGCCCAAGGTTCGTCCTTGGTCTCGTCTCCGCCGGCGCCAGGACGACGAGCCAACTTCGGGGCCAGTACGTGCGAGAAGGTTATTTGTTTCTCCGGTGGAGGGGCCCCCTTAGATGCGCGGATAACAACGGTGTCCCCTGAGAGAACCTGAAACAGATCGAGTGAGGTTAAAATACTATGCACGTGTGAGAGGCTAGAGATGGACTAGTTACGATGGTCCTATCGCAACTTATTACAAACGAAAAATAATTATCGATATATTTAATAATATTTTTATAATCACGTGAAATTGGGAAATACTCAATTAAAATGTAGCCCACAGAAAACTACTAATTACTAAACAAAAACCTAGGTGGGCGTGTAATTCAATAATAACAGCTTCTAGACTCTGTGCTTGAAATCATTCGCATATCTATGTACATACATAGTTCTTGTCTTGTACATTGTACCGGTCTTTAATCGAATTTATTCATGGTAGCAGCAAAGTATATTTCAAACCGGTTTAGGGTGCCAAGATAATTCAGGCATCTTTAAGAACACAGAAGAGCCTCTGGACTGTATACAAACACGCTTGGAAAATACGTAAATAGTCCCGTATTAATGGAAAAATCCAAGACGATGAAGAAAAGGGTACAGAGGCCGACATGTTAATGAGAAGGCATTAGGGCGTCGGCCCTTACCTGTTAGATCAACAGGTTTTTGCGGGTGAGGGGCCCAAAAGGAAGTCGGGATGACTTTTCCGATATCTAGGGTTTTTTCTAGGTGCCAACGTCACCAAACTCAAATTATGCCCGCCAAACTTCTGCAGTAACTAGAAAGTTTTACGTGGTATGACAAATAGGACAAAAGTCGACTAAGCTGACTGAAAATAGCAACTGAACTTCCTCTGGTGGCTGGCAAGCAAACTGTTAAGTGAAAGTAGATGCTGAACTACGCAGCCCTAGGGCAAAATATATTCATAAATAGTAGAAAAGTGCTCTGATAGCGCCTCCTTATTTAGATAGTAGGTTAGAAACGAACCCATTCGGCGAACAAATTAAGTTAAATCAAAAACCCGTTCTACGCAAATTAAATTCGAAATACCGATAAAATGTCCTGGTGACATAGGCTTTGTGGTACAGCAATAACAACCAGCCAAAAACACCGCTACAAGGAAAATCTGCCAGCTTGGCACCTACGATAACTTTCATTTCTACGGATCGGACGAGCGTGTGCAACGTGTCACACATACGCACAGACTATACGCGTCTCTCTCGCACTTCTCAGAGTTGCACTCTGCTGCTATGGTAGGCGGTCGCCGCAATTTGCCACGCTGATGAAAGGTAGAATGTACATTTCACTTAACTCTTGCAGGGTCTTACTGAGAATCACAAAAATAGCCCAAATCTATAAAACAATTCACTTACTTGCTTAACAATGCCGGACAACGACTTTGCAGGCGCTGGCGGGGCGTCTTTTGCTGCTCCGGCAGCTGTCGCGTTGTTCGCTGATGTTGCCATTTTTCGTTCGAATGCGGGGGGAATATTAGCAGAGGGCCGTGGCACTTGACTTCAATTGCAGAATATTGTGTTGCTTTTCGGGACTAAACACCGCTAATGAACTTATTTGGGCTAAGAGAAGAACCGCACACAAAATCTAAAAAGTTTTCACTGAAGTGACCGTGCTGGATAGAGCTGGGGAAAGAGTACACGTCTGTATCGATATTATCGCACATAGCTGTAAGACTGGGCTAGCCCGTTATAAAAATATCGTTTTATCGAATAAATGTTTTGCGGTACACAATTAACGTTTTCTTATTTTTTAACATTAAGAAAAACAGCTCTGCATCATTATAGTTGCTGACTACTAAAGCCTGCCTTTATTTCTGAGATAATTGTCTAATATGCATTTTTAATTAAAATATTCTAGAAGTCTCAAATATTTGAGAGTAAAAAAAATGTAATACGTTTAAATTTTCTTCTTTTAAACTTTAATGCTAAAAATTCAAAATCTCTGCTTGATGAACTATAAATAAATAAGACAGAATTTATAAGAAAGATAATAATTTTTACTTTTCCACAGTACCAGCCCTAGTCATTCTCGTTGTTACTGTATATCGAGTTTGCCGCCTATAAAATTATCGAAACAGTTTCACCAGCTGTTAGCGGCGCGTTACGTGACTTCTTCATTGTTAGATTGTTAAATCTGGTAAAATGAATCAAGCCGATGTAACAAAGTTGATGTCACAGCTGCGCATTGCTGTAAGGCCCAACAAACGCAACTTAAAAAATGTGGATGGCCCGGAAGGGCGACTGCTGAAGCTGCGTAAAACCGTAACGGCACTGGTGAAGCATGAGCGTATTGAATTATTCTATAACCGCGCTGATGAAGCTCGTGGTTACGCCGAATTGGTGAGTAACCAGCGGTGCATTTCTTGATAGAACTAAAAATACATCTCCATGTAGCTCATTTCAAATGCCATAAGACATGGACACTGTCATAAAGATACATTGGAACTGGCGGACTATTGGCTCCTGGAGAAGCAACTGGTGCACAAGCTTTTTAAAGTGCTTGTACCGCGCTTTGAGAACTACAATACGTCCTACACTCGCATGTACAAAGCCCCTCGGGACTACCCTGGCATTTACTACAGACAGTCTGTCTTGGAGCTTCGGGGCAATCCTTACCCTTCACTAACGACGGATCACTCTCAGAATCGGAACCTGCTACATAACGTGCTTCTGGACGAGGCAAGGAAAGAGTTCAGACGCCAAAAACAATCTCTTTTATCTGATTAGTTGTATTTCTACATTGGCTACCTCTTATTTATAGATTAGCACAGAGTGTCAGTTAGAATACAGTTCAAACTTGTAAGCCGTTTTATTATAATGTTTGTATATACACAAAGTTAGTTGTTTGAACTTCATGGTACAGCATTCATCCTACTTGTAGTCGAACGTTCCCAAAAAGTTTAAAGCTTACTGACATTGCAGTGGTTGAAGTAATCCGTTTTCCAATCTGCAGTTTTGAAGCATTAGAGGTTTAGTGACTAAATTCTGGAATTATTAACATACCTTTTCCCGTAAGGCAGGCATCCCGCAACATTTCACAGTGGCTGTAAAAAAACTGGTGCTCATTTGTCGACGCCGCGCAGATGGGCATAAATGGATCACAAGTTGAAATAGCTTTACAGGCTGAGCTGGTTCCACTTAATGGTAGAGATACTGACAGCGTAAGGGTCATAATCATTTTAGAGATTAAGAACCAAATTAAATAAATATTCCGCTCAGATATACTCGCAGAATTATGCGCTTTCGTAATCTTAAATAGCATCGCTTTGGTTATTGTTTCATAAAGCAAGAAGTTAGGGAGCGGTCCTTTAAAATGTACTTAATCGGTGTTATATTTTTTTTTAAGAAATGTATTTGTTAACGTTGTTATGTGTTTTCCTCTCGGTCACTGAATGTATAAACCGACACAAGCATCTATCCAACAACTGATAAGAACTGGGGGACCTACGCGCTGATGCATACTAATTTGTTCATGTTCCTGAAACCTAAAAGTTGCCATGAAAACGGGCCCTGAACACTGGCCGAAGAATCAATGATAACTTCACCTCTACTTTTTACCGGAAGCTTTTGTTTGTTTACTCCCGGAATTCGGTATGAAAGGGGTTGCTCAACTGACTGGAACACCGGCATTGTTCGTAGTTTCGTTCACATTCAATCCAGCCGGTCCAGAAAAAGTGCAGATTCGAGTATGGACTTCCATTATTGTTTAGCGAGTTCATTTGTACTGAGTATGAAATTCGAGTACATCAATATATCTCGATATATATATTATAATTCATATATATGTAAATTTATATTATTAGCTTCATGAGACTTATTTGATAATTGTGGACATTAAACCCCAACTTTTTTATTTATGTATAATTATGATATAAACTTAATTTTACTTTACAAATATTTTAATTATGACAAAAAATAATACCATATAGCTATTCCTGTACATTTATTAGTTGGAAATAGTTAAAAAGTGAAAAGTTTTAGAAATTATGTGATGTAACAATAAGCATACATGATTCGTATGATTTAGAAGAAAAACTGTTAAAAGAAATATTTTGTGTGCACCATAATTTCCATTGCTTCAGCTCCCACGGAAAAACAGAAGGACATCCTCACCACATGAGGCCGGGTCAGGTGAATTAATTGCATTTGCATTATTAAATTTTATGACAGTTGCTGGGCTCAGTAACGCTACATACTGACTCCAGGTTGTTAGTTACGATGCGTTGCAGTGGCAATTAAACATAGGCATCCGCAACGTTGACGCAGAAAGCGCAGCTGCCCCAGAATTTTGGATTGTTGCGTGTTTGCTACGCACTTATTCTTATGTTTGTTAAATTACATCTCTACTGTGGAAAACCTTTACCCCGTTTAATAATTTTACTAATATTGGTATATTGTCGAGACATGGGCGGTTCGTAGCTGTGCTACTTTAATAACACACAATGACCACAAATCAGTTCAGGGTGGGGTTGGCAAAATGCCATAATGTGCCAAAGAAAAGCTGTGAGAAAATATTATCTTTCGTCGTTCATCGATTATCCCTATAGAACAGTGTTCACCCGGCGTGTAAATTGCCCTCTTCATTTTTAGACACGGTTTAATGACAAAGCCGTTCATGAAAATTTTACATTAAACGATAATGTAATAATATATAATATATTTTCTCTAAGCTCCTGCGACGCTTTTATTCTTGCCTAGATTTCATCACAAAGAAACTAGTTAAGCAATTTAGGAATCGGGATATAAATAGAATGGAAGTCTTTATTTGTAGAACATGCGCAGCTCATTGATAACGGACCAGGCGCCGGTGCGCAATCTCTCAGTACAAACAACCGAATAGAAGCGAGAAAAAACGAGAGAAGGGGTTTCCTCATGAGCAAAAAATCCTGCAGGATATTATACATGCCGTGGCCTTTTATGCTGCTGCCTTTATATCATTCCATTCAGTTTCGAAGAGTCGTGCAACGAGAGCAGTTGATACAATCTGTCGTAAAAAAGCTCTTCTGCGCTGAGCCTGAGTCGGGAGTTTATTTGTGTGTATAACTAACGGTTGGTCCTCTGTTTTATTGGTGTACAACTAAAATTGAAATATAAGTGACGGGTCCACGAAAAATCATTAAAAACTGCTCATAAAAAAAATGTGAATTCATTGCACTTCAGACATATTGCTTCTATGCCATTGTGCTGTATGACCATTCCAATTACTATATTATGTATACATATTTTTATATCTTTTTTTTGCTAAGGAATTGCCCTTTTTCTTTTTTTTCCACTGGGCAGCAGCAGAAGTCGCATCATGAGAAATAATTGTAACGTGCTTTTACTGGCATCGTTTGTAACATGGTCAGGGGTATTGTGTAGCACAGTATTTTGCACCACAGAGGGCCAGGAAACACCTCTCGCACTTCCGGTGGCGGAGCAAACCCAGCCCACTACAGCCATACAAGGAGAAGTGTGGGAGGAAGACGATCACGAAGTATTAATAAGGAACGAACGTGGAACTAAAAGCGACGGTGAGTCACTGGCTGGTTACACCTTTTAGGAATATTATGAAGCAGAGCTGTCATAATTTAGCATGTTACCCATTTTTGTAGGTTTGTCGTGTCGATATGGCAAGAATCCATGGACTGAGTGTGATACAAAAACTAATACACGTTCTAGGACATTGACATTAAAGAAGGGCGACCCAGCATGCGACCAAACGCGAACCATACAGAAAAAATGTAAAAAAGGTAATAAGACAAAATTTTTACTCCTGTTAAAATAAGTAAACAAATTAATTCATCGAATACTATAATTTTTTCTATTGCCATAGCTTGTCGGTACGAAAAGGGATCCTGGTCGGAATGCGCAACTGGTCAAATGACAAGAGCTGATAAATTGAAGGCGAGCAGTGATTCATCCTGTGAAGCAACGCGGGTCATTAAGAAGAACTGCAAGCCCGGAAAGTCCAAGGACAAGAGTGCCAAAGAACAGCGTAAGAACAAAGATAAAGGTCAGTTCACAAGATTTGATTTTGATATTGCATTCCAGATAAAGAATCACAGTAATATAGTACGAACGCTGGCAAGAAGTTTTTAGAGTGCAAAGTTGAAATTTTTAACATAGAATTGAATAATATTTCATGTTTTTAACCGTTTACAACTGTTATACCTTTGTCTTTTATTTACATGCAGCTGCCCGTAAAGGACGCGTTTAAGTGATTTCACACTTGATAATTTTAATGCCCGGTGTTAATTTGTGTCACTCCGATGCGAATAATCTAAGTTTTACTTATTTTTTAATAAATTCATAACATAAAATCGTAATGACATAAACTGTCTGCTATGTATACCCCAAAAGCATTTTAATAAAATGCACATATTGATTAATGTTGTAGTTTGGTTTTCTAGCCAACGATAAAACTTAATATAAACAACAGTACGTTCAACTGTAACACGTATCAACAACATTGCGGAAATTAATATACTTATGCAATACAGAACAGAAGATATATTCATACAATACCATGCCTACATAAATACCAAACTATTAAGTTGATTCCAAAAAGAAGATCACATGGACATCCAATCCAACTCCCTCATTCTAAAGGCAGTTGCCTTGTCGGAATAAAGGATGACTCATAAATCCAGCCTCTTTGATTGTATGACCGTTTGACCCCTTCATAACTTTAGCGGAGTTGTTCTTCAATTGAATTTAAATAATATTAACCGTAAAACTAAAATAAAAAACAAAACAATTATCTGATTATTGATGTACAATTTTTGGCAAATATCAGCTTATGTATCTCATCTAAAGAAACCCAAAATGGTGTCGCAAAAAGCCAAAAATCAATATTGAAATCAAAGAGATGCTAAAAAGTTGTTAATTCACAGATAATAAAATAATTAAACACTTAGTGTAAATATTGTAAAAAAAACCTACTATAGAAAGAAGGGAAATTAAATGACAAAGAATAAGGCGCGACGGTCCTAACCAAAGATCTGTCGCGGTTGCAACGTAGGCAATTGGCATTTTAAAGTAGTTACAACTTACTTCCACTGGGTAAAATTAAAAAAGTTTGGATATTCCATTCTCAAAATCAATATACAAGTCAAAACAAGGTAGACAAGACATACATTATACATTACTAACACTCATACATAATATCGAAAAATAATTGTACCATTTCAAAGACATGGTTATCTTTTTAATAAACACATATATAAACTTAGACCGTTAACTACGACTAGATGTGTTTGTCTGTAAGCAGTTTTACAACCATACCTGTGCATTCATAACTTCAAAGTGAAGAAGAACAGCTCACTCATAGCATGCGAATTCATACACATCGTCCTTATGGGCAGTATTTATCTGAGTCTTAATTCCATAAAGAAGCATAAAACCCCTCCTCAAAAGTAAAGTCAAATTTGATTACGTACGTATACACCATAAGAAAAAAGTAACTGAACTTTAATAAATACAAGTATTACGAAATAAAACTTTTGATAATTTTTTACACAATAATTCAATGGGGTAATAAGTAAATTAAGGGCTGCCAAATTGAGCCGCTGAGATAGATTACCAATTTCCCTGATACGCATATATCTTTCTGGTAGTTTGTTATTTAAACACTTTAGAAGAGCAGTATATTGTTTTCTCAGAAATGACCATGCGCACATCGATTTTCGTAGGATGGCAAATAGTCAATTCGTTTTTTTTTTTTTTAAATTTATCAAGCTATGAAACTATCTAATAAAAAAGGGAATCTTATTTTGCGGGCTATGTAAAATCAATTAAAGTAGATGTGAATAATATCTTTCTGCAGGGCGACCCTGGATGCAATGAGAACTTTTTGAAATTGTAAGAGTAAGAGAAAAATGTGTGTATTGGGTCACAGTACATAAGTATATAAAAGTTCATAAATTGGGCTGTAATTAATAAGTAAAAAATAATTTATCCATTAGCTTTAAACATTTTGGTGAGTATCCAGCATTCGAGACCTTTTTCATTTTTTATTTTATTTTATGCTTCCTTTAAGGCTGTTTTAGCCATGCCTATATTTCTTGTTGTTCATTTTCTTTGTCTGTCGCCCGCTCTTTGTTTTTTAGCCAAACCAAATCTGAGTCTCAGAGAAAGCACTCAAAACATGTTTGGTGGAGCTCTCCGAAACAAAATAAAACTGAGATAGAGATATACTCGTATGTACTCAAACTGGCTCAAAACTGTATCTACTTGAATTTTGATATACATAATTGTAAAACTGCTCGAACTGCTCGAAATCTGTTACACAATGCGTGGTCATTGTTTACATTTAGCTTAGTTGTGTGTTTATATGCACCCGACCATATACATAAAGGATGCGTTATCTTATCACTGACAGAACATTGCTACATATACATAATTGTTGCATGGTATTCCATCATGGTCTTTGATTAATTAATTTTAAAAAGTATTCCGAAAAACATATTTTCCATTAGATGAGGGTTTTTATGTATACCCGTAAATGATGGGCATTAATAAGAACAAGAACCGAGTTGCATAATTGGGAGTTTTAGTATTATAATTCTCGTATAAGCTGTTATATACAGTCTATGGCTAAAAATGGGGAGATCTGTGTTTGATGCACAAATGCAGAAAGTCATTGTACTCTCCGGGTACTAACGAAGTGACTGCATTATTAATATTACAACTTTATTTTTCACTGATAACGTTTATTTATAATAGCAGCTTAAGAAGAAAAGCAGCGCAGTACCAGAAAACTGCAAAGTATTCGAATTAATTCAAATAAACACCTAACATTACTGTGCAGATTTAATCGATCCCATAGATTTGAATTTTCTAAAATATGCACTTCTTTAATCTCTTTAGTCGATAAATAGAGTACTAGATGAAGATACTATCTACACATTTTAATCACGGTGTATATAAATTTGTAAATGGTATACGAAAGCAAGTCTCAGCGCTCTCGATGTGGCTCTCATTGGACTCTCTGGGTTTTGAGCATTTTTCAAGTCTCTCGAGTTCATCGAGTTATGGCGTTTTTGCTCAGTTCGAATGCAATCGCAAGTCGTCAGTCTTACAGTGAAGTACATATTCTTAAAAAATTTCCTTGATATTTTACTTGTGGAACTAAAGCCAGAAACTTAAATCTACTTTGCAAATGCCAGAATACTTCCTCTCTGGGATTTGAGAGTGAGTTTTGATTTGTGATTATTGCGGATGCGCGTGTGCAAGGCACCCCTTTCCTGCTGTTTTCCAGAGAGAATATTCGTTGAGTGGAGCAGCCATATAAGAGATCCAAGCTACCTTCGGGTAGAACTCTAAATGAAAATATATGACGTAGTTTGATCAGAATTATGTTTTGAGTTCCAAAGTTATATCTAAAATATTATCATTTGATAAGTGGTAAATTTATTCGTTAAAAATGCTTTGTGAGTTAAGATAACTTAATTTTGACTCATAATTTATAATTTTTTACTTCAAAGTTTCATAACACTGCTTCCGAGTGCATCCACGTATATAAGGTTGTCACAATTTTCCATGCACATAGACACATCAAACTTTTTCATGAATATTTTCTTTTTGATTTTATGCTGCTGTTGAGAGTAAATTCTCAATTCGCTTTTCACCTCATGGGACCACAAAGACATATCAATACTGGGACGACTGTACTCACATTCCGAATCTCGATTTCTTTGACTTTTTCGAAGAAAGTTGCATATGTCAGATTCTAAACTGTCCTTAGAGGTGGTCTCGGTTTCCTTTTCATGAATTTTTAAATTGTTTTTTTCGGAGTCATAGCTTTGTTTTCGAGGTCGCCTGGGCTTTTCCTCTTTTTTTACCGGCGTTCTCAACAAAATGTGATATCCTGCTCTTGACTCAAAAATATCTGAGAGCTCATTGATATTCAAGCGCAACACTTGTTTCTCGAAAACCGAGCCCGTTTGTGTAAGCTTAAAGGGGCCCAAGTCACCGCCGTGTCGGGCAGAGCAGCAGTCGGAGATCGCTTTAGCCAGGTTAGCAAACTGAAATTTGCCGGTTGTTATTTGATACCTCGCGTGCGAAATTCTCTCTAAAGCTTCTGTTTTAGTTAACTTTACAAATCCCGTGCGGTATGAGCTACATGTATCAGATTCATTGTGCTTTACTAATATGTGTCTGCATCGCAGTATGCATCCATAATTGCACTCACTGCGTTCTCCGAAATTGCTACTCCAGTCTTTAGAGGCTAGTTTGTAGGCACTCGAAGGCAATCTAAAATACACCTTTTGCGTATTTGTGTCATAGAAATAGCTCTCCTTAGTGATGGGCGCAATACGCTCTTCCCAACCGACAGGTAACTTGTTATGCTCCAAAAGCACGTCACTAGTTACGATAGATGACTTACTACTGCTAGCCTCAAATCCACCATAAGGGTCGCTTCCATCCAGGTCACTGCAATCTGAACTTTTAGTTTCCGAGCCTAAAATAACAGCAAGATTTATTAGAAACTCGCTATCTTCATATTCAAAAATATCTATTTATTATATATAAAACTTTCCTGAAGACCAGTCGGATACCCCAGAACTTATAGAGTGCATGTTTTCACTAAATATATAGTTTAGGTATTAATAGGACTTCCAACTTCTAAATGAGTATCTGAGTTTTTTTAAATTTTGAAACTTTAGTCAATGTCGTCTAGACCTTTAAAGATCTCACAAGATAGCAATTGACAGTTAAGAAACAGCCAAAAGATTATTATGAGTAAAAACGATTACCTTTACATTTTTACACAGTTTTTCTTATTTACTACCTTTTTTCATGTACTTGTTTTTAGATTTTCGAAATAGCTATGAATCTCATACTGGTTTTTGCTATGGTTTTACAATTGGTTTTGGCCTCATCAATTAAAGAAAAAAGCATTTTCGATGGTATCCATCTGGTCATGGAAAGGAGTTCAGGTGATGTAGTCCATTATCGCCCGGCTCGTGGCGTTCTGCAGGATGAAGCAGTTTCAGCCACAATAAATGGTAATACTCACCGAACCAGAAACAATCGAAAGTCGAACAAGTCGCAAGAGCATTTCCAGCAGGTAAGTGGGCCCAAGCCGGGTTCTAGGAAAATATTGACTGCCGAAAGTGGCAGTGAAGCATCACAGCTATCACAACCGAACCACAAACAAGGCCACAAGAACCCAGATAGACAACAACGTCAAGGATCCAAGCAGCAGCATGTTCATGGCCAGCATCATGGAGGGAAAAAGACTGGACCGAAGGCGAAGACGTCAGAGAACGGTATTCTTTTAGAAACATTTCTGAGCTTATAAAGAAATCATATCACTTTTAATATCTTTTTGGTGTGTTTGTTGGTTAACAGGGTCGACTTGTCGTTATGCGAAAAGTGCCTGGTCAAATTGTGATGATAAAACGAACTTGCGCTCCCGGGTTTTATCTCTGAGGAAAGGAGAACAAAACTGCTTGCCAACACGGACTATACAAAAAAAGTGCAAGAAAGGTGCGTACCCATAATACCAATACCATTTAGTGTATTAATGCAATAAAAATTAATTTGATATGTATTTCTCCCATTTGACTTTGGGAAGGTTGTCGTTATGAGAAGGGAACATGGTCGCAATGTGTTGACGGACAAATGACCAGGAAGGATAAGTTACAAGCAGAGCCAGCCGGTGGCAGTGACCAGAGCTGTAATCCTGTCCGTACCGTCAACAAGAATTGCAAGGCGAATGATAATGCTAGTGGAGGAAAGCAACACGGCCAGAATCGCGGCACAAAAGAACGGAAACAGAAAAAGAGTAAGAAAATTCTGATAAAAGTTTTAAAGTTAATAATTGGATGTTTTACAGGTGCTGGACGCATTTCTTCTCACGATCCATGATCGTTTGAAATTAATAATTTTAAGCATACTATATAACAAGATTTATACCATTTTAAAAGAAATTTTTTAGTTGTTTTGTAAAAACATACATAAAATGCGGTTTATTCAAATCCTTAAAAAGTCTTATTTATTTGTTATTGATATTTTGAGAAAACGTATTTGTTATATGTATGGACATATCAGCAGCACATACGAAATATTGCATAAACCATGCTGGTTGAAACTGACAGTGTACTACAATTGATGTTAAGTTTATTGGATCTATTACTCATTCTTCTCTCGTAACTGTTGAAGTATTTAATTCATCAAACAAACCTCAATTGATAAAAAGGGAAAGACAAGGCTCCCCCACTTCCATTGGCTGCCATATTTTCTTAGTTAGGATCAACATGGCATTGGCGAATTACATACAACATACGTATGTATGTATTGGTATTACACATAGATGGCGCCAAAAACATTTTACATCTACATTAGACACATTTTACACCGCCATGATTAACTCTTCTGTTAATTGCATTATTTTTAAAAAGCTGAAAATTATGAGGAAAAATTTACGGAATATGCAAATAGAGAGGTCCCAGAATACTTAGTTGGCTCTGGCTTTATTTGATTTTTATTTGCCTTCGAAAATCACATCCAATTGGCCATCTACAACAAAATTTCATAAAAATAATTCTCACAAGAGAAAAAATTGCTTTCCATCGGCGTAATTGATATTGCAGTATTTATCTGGCACCTAAAAGACGGTGAACCACTTCCAACGATTTATACAAGAGTCATCGAGTCAAAAACTACTTCCTGAAACACTTCAGGCTCCTTACGTGCAGCCGGCGTATACCTGGTACTGGATATAAAGGACTTGTTGGTACATCCAGACTGGACTTTCGAAACAGGTTGGCGTTTTAAGAAGCGTCCAGGAGTTGACGTTTTTTTAAAAGAATGCGCAAAGTACTTTGAAATTATTGTTTACACGGCGGAGCAAGGAATTACGGTACTACCGCTGCTCGACGCGCTTGATCCAAATAGCTATATTATGTATCGTTTGGTTCTTGACTCAACACACTTTGATGGAGGACATCACTTAAGGAATCTGGGCAATCTAAATCGCGACCTAAAGCGTGTGGTGGTCGTGGAATGGGATAGCAAGTAAACTACGTTTTGCTTTTCCATCCCGCGGTGGTCTGGATAAGACAGTGACACCACCCTTGTCGATCTTGCCTAATTTCTTATTGTTCTGGGCACACGCCAAATGGATGTTTTGCGAGACGTATTGCAATACTACAATCAATTTAGTGATTCTATATTTTAGTTCCGGGAAAATCAACGAAAGCTTAGAGAACAAGTGCAGGCCGCTGAGCTAGAAGGAAATTGCAAGTTTAATCCTGCTGTCAAGAACTGGACCCCCAGCATCAAAAAACATTAAGAAGTTGTGGTTTAAATACACCTTTTGGTTTTTTATTTTCCACTCGTCTAATTTGACTTGCTTTTTAGCGATGTACCAGGTGTGATCCTTAAAAAAATCGTATACGGAATTTTGTTCTAGAGATCTTATGCAGACTCTAGTAATTCCTGCGTACATGGCCCTTGCGACGTAGTTCTGTGAGTAATGTTGTCAGTCTACCGAAACAATCCCGTGTAAAAGAGGCGTTGTAACGATCTCCGACTGGCAGTGACATAATGGTCGGTTTAATGTTTCTTATAAAACTTTGTTAATGCAAAACAATGGGAACTTTACTAGAATGACCCTTTGCCGGGTTATAGTCTGCTTATAACTTAAATACTATATTTTGAATATATATATATATATATATATATATATATATATATATATATATATAGCAATTCAATTTCTTTTATAAGATGCATTTGTGTTAATCAAACTGATACATTTGTTCTTACTCACAAAGACTTTTCGAAGTGGAAAAAAACTAATAGAGTAAATATATTACCACAAATTTTTAATAGATTTTCCAAAGGTTTTATTTTCTTGAGTTACTTGTGTTTTAGAATATTGTGACAATATGCAATATATACAAGAAGCCAGGAATATTCAGCCAGGCTTGTATGAGCACGCAAACTCAGCAACATGTTGCTGTCATGGTACGGTGTGCGTGAACACGTGTCAAAATAGAGTGAACTCCTGCATGGGAGTGTTTCCACAATCAACAATTACGCACTGGACCCCACTAGGCAAGTCATGCGCAGAATCTTTAGAGGAACCGTAATGTATTCGAAATCCCTAAACACAGAATTAGGAAACGTTGTCGATATGTGGGCAGCGGAAAAGGATTCAATACATTAAATCATGCATCTCAAGTATACCTTTCTAGCTCTCCATTTTTTTTAATAAGCTATAGGGTGATCTTACCAATACTTATCGTGTATTGTCCTCAACAAGTAAGACCCCTTGCACACTGAGTGCTCACATTGCATTTTAGGCGGTGAAGGTATACTGCGAATATGCATGGAAACGTCAAAAGCGGACTTATCGGAGCGCAGGCGTGGGTTTTGTTTGACATTTGGTTTATTTCTCTCTCGCTTGAAACGGGCATTGATAAAGCAGATGCTCAGCATCCTTACGAGCTGTTGTCGGAGAAGTCCTAGAGAAAGGCTTCTAAAAGGCAAGGAACTTTCTCATTTATGAGTACGACGTCCTGGAATCGCGAGCGTAAACCATTCAGTTTAGTTTTCACGCAACGGATGGAACGTTTGAAAATTGCGACTCGTCTCAATCCCCCTGTATACAATAGGGCTATTGAAAGATACTACAAAACGCAAGAAAGTGTGTGTATACAGAGATAAATGGTTGCGACTGTGTAAAAATAACAAAATATTGCGAGTTCGCTGTCTAAACAATGAATTTAATACTTCGACAACGTTCTAACTCAACAAGAGATTTCTAACATATTGTGACTCGCGTTTCTTTTGTTTCATAGCTAAAAGATTCTATTATTTTGACCCAGACATTAAATAGACGCGTGTGCAGTTATTAACTAATCAAATCTTATGAACTCCTCTCAACCCGCACAGACTTGTTTAAAGGATTTTGCGTATTTCTGGACATATGCATATGTTAGCATTGGGGAGAGGAGCATTATACTTAATGCATTACTACTCGTCCTTCACAGCCACACCCTAAAATGACAATGCTTTCGTTTACTGTGGAAATTACACGAATATTCAAAGGAGTATAACAACAACTAATTAATGAAGAAAATTAAATATTATTCTTCAGAATAGGCGATAGCTAATGAATTCGGCATGCTTGAAACGCTCGGAGTCGTTAAAAATAACAAAGTAGTTCGAAATGTAAGTCATTTTTATACTATTGCAGAGGTTTTTGTAATTTCAGTCAGTAGTTCAGCGGTTCGTCCGATAGCCTACCGTCCGTTTTTCACAGACTAGTCTCTGAAATTAAGCGCTACCTTTAAAAAGAACTCTTTTAGTGTAATGGTTATCCTACTCTGTTTGGTTATCCTACCCTACGTGTCGCTTTTTAACTCAATCAATCGGCGAAATTCTGTGGCGCCAATATGATTATTGTTGGAAAACAAGTCCTAATCGGATTTCTTTACATTTATATTATTACTGCTAGGTCTAACAAAGTTCGGATTTCTGAACTCAGTTTCCATTCTATTCCAAAATAATAATAAAGCTGTCTTTGAATGCGCAAAAACGATTAAAAATGTAATTCTCTTGTTTTTGTGATAGGCTTGGTTGCTTATTACAGATTATAAATTGCGGACTTTTGGTTAAAGGTTTTTTAATCGCTGATTTTCATAGTTTTGTACACATTCTATAAAAGATGACCACTGAAACCTATTCGGATCTGACGTATGAGCGAGGGAAGGTGTCTAAAAGATCTCTACGACCAAAATTATTAAAATTGACAGATGTGACAATTCCACACCGCAGTCGGAAAAAGAACAAAGTTAAGGTGAATAAATAATTCTGTATGTACTAGTAGTTACGCCTCGGCATCAAAATTACCATATCTCTTTTTCCAATTTTGTTTGCAGACGAAAGACCGCTCAGCCACATCGGTACGGGAAAGGATCTACGATGATCCAGCCTACACGGAGGATATAAGCCATTTGGCGAATCCTATGCGCCGCAGTAGCATTTCCGGGAAAACATTAGTGGATCACAAAGCGAGATCTGAATCACACGGTCATCATTTGTCCAACAGTCTGCTGACAAAGAACCAGCTAACCAAGGAGCTGAAGCAGTATGTGGCGGAAAAGCAGGGCACCATTAAGGTACAAAACCCTTCCTCTGCTGTGCCCGGCAGCACAGCCATCAGCTTAAATTTCGATTGCGATTCGAGCAGCTCCGACAATGATGCACTGGAGCCAATCAAAGGCGGAATGACTAGACGGGTGCGCAGTCTAGAGCGCTGTATGGCCGCCACGGCCCCGGAAAGAGCGGAAAAGAAGGGAACCCAGAAACGCAATTCAAAACAGAAGCGGAACCTTAGCCTTGACAACAACATCCATTTGCCACCAGGTCAACCGCAACGGGAGGCTAGAGCTGCTGGTAAGCATCCACACGACGCTGATTTCCGAACTCGCAAGGAGCGAAATCGGAAGCATTATAACGAGGGCACCGCGGAAGTTGCTTCTAATGAAATTAGTGAACTAGATGACGGATACTCTGCTCGGAGTTCGGTTCAGGACTCCGCCGCCACAGTACCTGCAGACTCTCCCGCTGGCGCGGTTAAGGTTGCTATTGGCAAACGTTTTCTGCGCGGCGAAATTGGAATTAAAAGCTTTAATTATTATTTGATTAAGGAGGGCTTAAAGACCTCAAAAAAAATAGTTGACAAACAACGAAATCCGGCTGGCAATTGGAAGACCTCCCTCAAGACCGATAGGCGACATTCCCGCAGCGAAGAGAACATTTACGAGGAGATTTTCTTTAAGGAAACGGCCAATCCATCGACATCGTCAGTCACTGGCTCCGCCACCGGCGTACCAGTTGTCTCCGCGTTATCTGACAAAAAATCTCAAATTCATTACCTAGAAAAAAGCGGGATTCAGCCACATGGAGTGGGAGCAACCATCGATGGAGACGAAAGCGCAAACACATTAGCAGACTGCGAGATCTGCATGGAGCAGTGCAGCAAAGACAACTGTGAGTACTGCTTGGCACACGATGGACAACAGGCTAGTGAAAAGCTTAAGGCGGTCCAGCCACAACGAGAGCAGTACATCACCAAAGGACAGCACCAAGACAGCTCCATGGAATCGCGAACCTTTTCCAATGCTTGTCCTGGGGTCGGGTTACCGGCTGCCCATATTTTAGAGTTTCAGTCCTACAACCCCAATAATCCGGGCGTGTATAAAATAGAAACGACACCAGTGGCCATAACAGGCGACTACAACCCTATACTCCAATTTCAGCAGTCTTCAGCCACTACGTCCACCTCAAATACTACCACTCCCAGTGAACAGCAGCCGATGCAACAACAGCTCTATGATGGCTTCTATCTTTCTCACCAGAACCAGAGACCGTATCAGTCGCCTATTGTTGGTAACCCACTTCCAAGTCACTATGCTACCAGTGGAAGTTTGCTTTTGGCCAAGGTTTCAGGGGCCACGCATGGTTCCGCCACCCCTCCTCAGCGAGCCCAGCAGCACTACATAGTGGGATATCAAAATGGAGGAGGGTCAGTCGCTGGAGCAGCATCCTTACAGAGACTTAATACGAAGTCCTCCTCCTCCAGTGACTCGCTTCCATATCATAAGTATAATACCATGGCCCGACTGGAGGCAAATGTATTCGCAGCACCTGCTACAGGAGACCTATACTACGCAGTTGGCGGGACGCAGCCGCTGCATCCACTGATATATGCGGCTAACCGACCTATTGGAGGATCCCAGATCTTGGTAGATCCTTACGACCCCCAGATATACAAGAGCGACTCCAAGGCCTCTATTCTCAGCGAGTTTTCGCTTCGCAGCAGCGATAATTCTCAGCGCTATGCTCGGCATCCTCATCGGCGTCATGGCGGACGTGTCAGTGACTCGAGTCTCTTTTCAGTGTATTCGAACTCTGGCCAGAGGCGGTACTTTGGAAGCTCAGAGAGCAGGTTCGGATATGATTGCCGGCGCTGCAGTCTGGATGGTGTCATCGGCATTGGGTCTAGGGTTGGAGTTCCCATCGCAGCTCCCGATAAGTGCAGCTATTCTGACAACTGCCGATACGAGTGTCGAAATTGCGATTGTTCGTCAAATTACTTTAGCTCAGACTTTGACGATGTATACGGGTCCATAGCTCAGGGTGGAAGCAGCGGCATACCGCGAAAGACTGCTGCCGGGACTTTGCCATCCAGTGCGCAAGACGAGACCATGCAGCTTCTGGAAAACGTTTCACCATCGATGGAGCAGCAGAAGTACGCACCGCCGCTAGATCTAAAACAGAACAAATATGCCCAGGATTTTTTTAAACATGTTAATGATGTTAAGCGCAGCATTTATCAGTCTGAAATGCAGAGAAATAATAGTTTGGAATCTGCCATGCGGAGTCCAAGAGCTACAAGCAGCACAACCAGCAATTCCAAAGTGGTTACCAAACGGACCGCCATCCAGGAACCCAGAGAAGAACCCGTGGTAACAACTCTTCCGTTAAGCAGGGGGCGGCAGGCTGCAGGAGTTAAGCCAACGCCTGCTCCAAGAACTAGTCTGCGAGCGCAGACACCATTACCTGAGTGCTCTGTACCAAGTGAGTAAAACATTTAAGTTTTTATATTTATGTAAACACATATTCCATTTAAGGGGATCCTACTCCAAGCAAGCGCAAAAGTCAATCCACTGGACGAAAAGAATATCCATCTCTAGACCGACTGGTAGCGTCTTCTACGGGAACTATTCCCAAAGCGCTGCACAGGAATACGGCGGAGGCAGCCTTGCAAAGCCCGACGATGACTCAAAAACCTAGTTGTTCCGAGGCTCCTATTGCTGGTGAAAAAATAAAACCTGTTGAAGAGCACTTATCACAATCTGCGGCCAAAAGACATCATCGCATAAGCGGATCAAAAGCCCATCAAAATACACCTGGGCCCAGCTTACGCCGTAAAGACATTCCAGCCCCTCCACCGCCTTCTCCAGCTACTTATTCCGACCTTCAGGAGCTCAAGGCAAATATGGAGGGTCTTCAGGACGATACGAATTCTCGAAGTTTAGAAGGAGACACACATAATTTAATAGCTGGCGAACAGTCGGATCAAACTCAGAAAAATTGCTCAATCGGTACTCTAACTAGTGCCCTAGAGGCAAGTGCAGCAGACACAGATGACAACGACGTATTTTACGATGCGCGCAGCGAGGATTCTGTTGGTGGTATCTTGCCTTCGGAGGCTAGTGACATTTTAAAAATGGTAAGTTTGTGGTAGGAATAACATAATTAATTTCATGATTAATTTCAAAATGATAAAAGAAGATAATCGAATTTTTGCTCTTCGACTTAAAATTTTTTAAAATGTTCTTACAATTCTAATTCTTCTCTTTCTTTTTAACCTTCTAAGAAGTATTCAACAGTGTTAAGTTCCCTTCACAGTTCCAGATGTATAAATAGCTTAGTGCATTGATCAATAAGATTTTATTAAATTATTTTTTCAGAGTCCCTCTCACGTGATGACATCCTCACAGGCAGTTAAGGACTTTGCTAGCGAGAATAGCAAGGCCGTGATAGACATCGAAGAAGCGAATTCCGCCGAGGATATCGATTCTCCGTCTCCTGCTGCCCATGCGCCAGTAGGACGAGAGCGAGCGCCAATCGACGGCAGGCCGGAAGACATTGCTATCAATAATTGCAACGGCAAAGCTGAGACCTCCAATCGAGGGGTCGGGAGCCCAGCTGAAGCCGGGAGCGAGCAAAACTCGGTCACACGCTGTCGTCCAATCTCTCGCCAACCGTCGTCCATAGACACTGTGGGGGAAGATGGCGAAAAGGCAACCAAAACAAAACACGATGCTTCACCAGATATCCCCAGCCAACATGTTGGTCCAACATGTGTGGAGGGGCAACGCACAGCGGCCTCAGCAACAAATGTTGCTCGCAGAATCTCAACAACCACCAACGCTGGAAACACGAACGCCAGCACAGTCAAGTTGGAGCTTAGTTGCAAGACGGGAAACACGGATAGCGCAACGCTTGCGGTAGCGCACAGGTACGCGACTTTGTCTCTGTGTCTAAACCAATAATAAGTAGCTTAAAGTGACAGTAAATTATTGTGGCGATAGCGCAAGTTCAAGTGTAAGCATTAGGACACAGCTTTCACTTGTTGTCCATCGATGATACCAATACAGCCGGTTTTCGGGTTCAGTGGGTATATCAAGTGCTAGGGCGTCATGGTTCCCTGAATAACGCGGTTAAAAAAATCAAACAAGTAGTGAAATCAAGTGACAAATTGTCATTAAACAATGGATTGTCTTGAAAGTGCATCAATTGGGCTTGTGGAGCTGTTTGCATTCCGCGAGAGGGCAATCGTATGCGCAGCAGCTCCTGAGAGTTCTACTTTGCGCCACAACTGGTGTTACCTTGTGTTAGCCTCCCCTTAAAACTTCATTTTTAATGCGGGTGGCATCGAAGGTAAAATAAGATGTGCCAGCTGCTACCCCAATTCAAAACTCAGACAGCGCCTGGGGAGCAGGTCTAATTGGGACATAAATGCAATAAAGTAATTACTTAAATAAACAATCCCGATATCTACATACTACTGCCCTATCAGGAGTCTGTAGCGAACCCTTCGGTTTAGAATGATGTCCAATGTAAATTTATTTTCTTATAGGCCGACCTTATGTTTCTGATATTTTGTGAACACTGTCACCAACTTCTATATATTTTCCACCATCCGATTTAGCTATAAATTACTACACAATCCTCAATCGAGCTGTGGCTTTTGCCCGTTCCGCGACGTTCACGATGAATACTTCAACGAGACAATTTTGTCTTTTTATTTTGTAAATACAAACAATTTTTATTGTGCACACCCGCAGAACAAGAGTTTGCTCATTTCTGAAAATATAAAAAATGTTCAATGCCTGGTTTTACAGGAAATTATATATTTTATAATTTCCATTCTATCCGACTTTAGTTAACTATTATAAAAACAGGATAAGTTTTGTAAGCTGTTAAACCAATCTCAACTTGCAATGCAGATGTGCCATGAAAATAACATTACTGAAACATTTCGGGCGCATAGTAGTGAAATAACGAACGACCTTCAAAACCTTCAGGCCGAAAATGAAATGGTTTGTTGGCATTTCGCAATTGGACTACTGCAAATTGCATGCAGCCTACCTCTCGATAATTATGAAGCTGATCATTATGAGCACGGGCTGCAATTTGGTATAGAAAATGTGAAACTCGTTTCCTATGGCCGCAACTTCATTTGGTCATTGGCTTTTAGTCAATGCCGATACAGCTTAACCAACGCTACCACGGCTTTCAGCGAAGAAGCAGCTTCTGAGCTAGTAAAATGACTAGTTGGCTCTGGACGCAGTCGAAAGTGCAAGTTGACTAACAGGTATGCAAGATAATGCAATCGATTTGCTAGTACCCGTCCTCGCTCTCGTCTTGCAGCAGAGCAGGCTGAAGACAAGTGCAGCTTAACATGATTGAAAACCAGTTTTGTGATGCATGCCTCACTGTTTGTGTTTTTTTACGATATCCAAACCGGCAATTACTGCCTCTCAATAAACAGTGAGTTTTGTTTAAAAAAATGCAAACATTTTTAGTGAATGTTTTCGTTCTCTTTAAGTATTTAAAAACGAAAAAGGATCGTTTTATAGTGAATGGTTTGAAAGTTCTTATGTTTCATTGTTTGCTTTTTGAAAACATCGCTGCTAATGCAAATTAATTAAAATTTATATAAAAATTGTCGTGGGCTTTTTCCATTGCCTACGCACTAAAAAAACTCAAGATCATTACCTAATAGGGAACAGCCTGTTATTGGTATATTTATAATTCTCTAGATACCTGTTTTTCACTAGTGGTATATGATTTGAATTGGTAAATTATAATTTATGATCAAACTATTTAAAACACACAATTTCTAATTAAATGTTCGAAAAAAATGTATGTCTTGAAATACTTTATGCAGAAGTGATCATCGCCTTGATTGGTTTAAACCAACGAATAAGTTAAAGAAACAAATGAAGCTATTTTTATTTTTCTTAGTCCACAAGCAAGAAATATCATCGCTTCCGAAATGGAACTTCGTAGGCGTTATAACTCCTACTCAAGCAGAAAACTTGGCAGACTGAGGCAATGAACTGTGGATTTGAATTTTTGTTGGCATTTGACCATTTTGGAATGGCAAGTTTTTAATTGATTATAATCAAATTCCCTAATTGGAGCATTCGCCCATAACAGTTTTTTTTTTAGATTTGCGCTCTGAGCTTCTTGAGTTGTACGCATCTTTGCTTTAGTGTATTGCAGCCTATTAGGCATCTAAGCCACTTAAAAATTATGTCTCAGCAACATCATACAGGCGTTGCTAACCTAATCCAACCATAAAGAGGAAGTGAAATTCCGGCGAAAGCTGTTGGAGCTTGAGGGATACAATTATTGGCGCAAAAGCTATACATATATCCAGGAGTAAAAGCCTATCTGGACATTCCGTTTCATTAAGGACCGCTAAACCGATGTATACGTATAGTATACGGGTTCTTGTCCCATTTCAGAGAACTTTTATTTAGTTCCATTTTGTCATACAATTTTAAGTCTTCATTGAAAGGCAAAACCATACATTTGTAATTAATTTGCAATTGATTTCAAATTATTTTCGAGTGTCTTGTTCTTCGCGTCCGTCATTCCAAGTATTTTAGCAACATTGCCCCCACTTACTGCACAGTTCAGGGCCAAGCGTTAACAGCTTTTCAGTATTTGTATGTATGTATTTAGACCAAAGTGAGCACCTAAGTGAACACCGACGTTAGTAAAATTTTTGTTCGCTTGAAACTACTGGGAAGTGTACTTCGCTTAATTTCCGTCATCCATGCTCTGCAAAACCACCAGCACTGGCAGCAACAAGGCAATGCACTTACATCTGGTGAAACGGTCCAAGCTGCAATGCCAGTGCTTAATGCGGCATGTGCAGATGTCAACGAGTTCAGCGAGTGCTGAACCATGTTCCCGGACATTGAACCGTTATAGGAGCACCAACACTTGGCCTAGCTCGTTCGTCCTCGACATTAGCCCAGGCAGGCTGATTGCACTATGCAGAGCGATGCCCCTCGGTCGGATAAGTGTTTTAAGCCAATCCACCCTTAAAACTTACGCACTTATCGCTGAGTCTCAGTTTTCGGGCAAATTAAAGGGGCACATAAAATTCTAGAAAAATAAAAGCATGCTAAATTTTCAGTGACAAGACGCCTGATGTTACCAATCAGAATCTAACACATCCGAGACCACTAACCCGCCAGGACTACGCCTGCTTCGACTCCAGTGAGGCACACTCTGACGATAGTCACCTGACACGCGATTCCATTACCAGGGAGTCCCAGAATGATGAGCTCTCTTCATCAACACTTGAGAAACTAGACGTTAGCACTCTACCGCTGCCCGCTCTCCCCAAGCGTCGCCGCACTCGTTCCCGCACCAGTCCCTCGAAAAATCGACAGCAGCAGCGTCATGAAGGCATCGAAGACTCCAATGCGGTCGATGAAACACCGGCAGCAGCAGTTCAAAAGCCGGCGCAGCCTCGTCATCGAACAGTCACTTCAGAACTAAGCCTGCCAAATAGCAACACAGTTGGTCAGGATCAGAAACACCTCTCCGCCTTTCAGCAGTACGTTGCGAAGCGACGAGAGAGTCTCGAGACATCCAATCGTTGTTTTAACGAGAAACTCGAAAGGCGCAGAATGCACTACCATATGGGTGGTGGTATCGCCAGTGGAAACGACGCCTCTACTAATTTGAAGACTGGCTCAAACGGAGTACCCACTTATCTTTTTGGAGAACATTTCCACCGGGTGAGCGGCTATGGCCGGAAGTCCATATCGCCCGCGACAAACAAGGAGGAAATATTCCTGAACAAATCCGGCTGGGTACAGGTCAACACGATGCGTGGAAGTAACAAGGATGACAAGGACATTAGTCAACTCAGCTATGGTCAACAGAATGGAGGAAGCATTTATCCAGACAATGCTCGTGCACAAAATTCGGCGAGGGTGACTCTTCCGGATCGTGGGCAACGCTCAGAGCTGGCACGGCAGTCATTTATCAATCAGCACCAGCAACCCAATATAAGCCTAACTGAGGCCAAATTTGTCGGCTCTAAAGTGGAGGAGTTGATTCAGAGAAACGAAGCTCGTCTTAGTGGTTACTCCTCACGGGACCCTGCCCTCCGCCCGGGCTATCGGATTATCGACCCACAACTGGCCAACATTCTTAATGAGCGCCCAGGCTTTTTGCCAGTAAAGAGCCCGAACGATCTGGACTCCCCCATCACTCCGATTTTGTCGCCACCACTCGCATTTCAAGACAACAGCCGAAATGTTCGGCGACCGGAACGTCGAAAGACAGTTAGCCAGCAAGTACCCCTGCCTTTACCAGTGCTGTTCCAGCCACAGGCCCAATTGGCCACTCAGCCCCAAAATAATGGGTCCGCCAAAGGCATGGTTTTCTCTCGCAGTTTTGAGTATGACACACGTCGTCCCACGCCCACCGACAGCTATGTAGAGACGTTTTCCCGCAGCTTTGACGGAAACCTGTCAGAGCGTCCGCTAAACCTGACCGTTATAGCGGCCAGCAGGCAGCGCTCGCCCAATTTCAGCACTCTGACCGGCAACTCACCCAACTATCTGACTAAGCGGGAAAGTGGCGGTGGCAGCAGTGGCTCCCTTCGCAGTCGCGACAACTCTCCCAAATATCTGCATCCGCAGACGACAACGCCCCACTTGAGTGCATCTGTCAAGGAGGCGCCTCCTGTCTACAGCTCTGCTATGGCCACCGGGAGCAAGGCCAAGTATTCACCGCGCTCTCGTCATGAACGGACTGCAGAGCGTTCCAAGGTCCACGCTATTGGACGTTCTCGTAAGTCCCAGTTTAACCGCGTGGGAAGCGCCGGACCTTTGTTGGCGCATTCCAATACAAGCAATATAGGAATGTCCCGTTTTCGAAGCTTTGATACGTCCAAGAACCAGCGCCTCAATTCTTGTGACAGTGGCGCAAGATCAGGTTAGTAAACAGTTCAAACAACACAACAGCACAAGAAATACCGTTAAATGTAAAATCAACGTAAGACTCTCCTCATTCTTTTGCCAGTCACTGAGCCAGAATTTTTCAATTATAATTTATTTGACAGATCTTTCCAATGATGAGTTGGACAACGAAGATGGCGGCTTAAATGAGTTTCTCTCCACGGGCAGCCAAAAGTTTCCCAAAGCCGGATCGTGTAGTGTCAGCATCTCGCCGTTCAAGATGCAGCGCCAACGGTCCCTGACACCAGATCGAAACGACTCCCACAGCTCGTCCAGTAGTTTACGAAAGCAACGATCACTGACCCCGGAATCCATGTCCTTGACTCCAGAAGAGCGGCGCAAGAAGGGATCCCAGCTTTGTTTAAGCGGCTCTCGTCAGAACTTTAGTTCCAGAAGCAACACTTTAGACGTCCGCCAGCGGCACGAGGAAAAAACTCCAACCAACATATCAAGAAGCTCCTCCAGCTCAAGTTACAGTGGCGGCGACTCCAAGGAGCCCCTCAATACCGGTATAAACTCGACTGTAGTAGCCTCGTCCGCCGTTCCTGAAAGTAGTTCATCCAGCCATCGTCGAACAATGTCCAATAAAAAAGCGGAGCAGGAGCACCTAATTCGACGCTCGAGGTGGGTGAAATTGATTTGTTAACGTTTATACCATACCATAAATTAGGCATTTTTTCTTATAAAAGTAACAGAATACATTTTGAACATTCCCGATTTTTTTTACAGATCCTTGCAACTAAGCGAGCGCTCTCCGAACCGAACGCATAAATCGATTGTTAACGTTGGTGCTGTGTCCCCGCATCAGCAGCCCCTACATCGCTTGTCAGGAAGTAACTACTTCCCTCCCGCCATTCGAGCCTCTCCAGCTGGGGCTAAGATCCATGTCAACTCTGTGGCATCCAGCAACTCGATCAGAGTGCGACAAAGCGATGCGGACAAAGCGCTGTCTTTCGACTTCGACTACAACAACTACCATCGCAGAGGAGGGGCAAAGGGTTCAGTACGGACTGCTCAGACAAGTGGGAGCGGAGGGGACAGTGGACAGCCCCGCTCCTTTGACGACGACCTTTGTGAAGCTGTGCTAAACAACAACAACGGAAGCAATATAGGCGTAAGCGGGCAACGTTTCCAACAACATGCTTCCGATTCCGGGCACGCGTCCGTAGCCTCCACGTCCTCGTCACGCATGCGGAAATCCAATTCGCCCGGAAACGCATCAGCCATAGACGCATCACGATCTCCTCTGTCATCGGGGTCGTCATCTAACAATGTCCAGCAGCCAGTTAGACAATCGGGTAGTCCTCAGAGCTATGGAACACGCCTTTGCGATCACGAGCTTACCTATGAAATGCTGCGAAAATCACCGATCATTAACTTCCGCCGAGGAGACAGCGGTGACTTCGAGATGCCGGTGATGCTTCGGAATCGTGAAACCATCAACTCTGGTGGAAACAGCGAGCTCAACTTTATGAGCAACGAAACACGAATCTACGAACACCCTACAACGGTATTAAAGCCGCAGCGCTCTATCCGCCAAAGTCCAGGATCACGGGACGACCTTACCCTTGAGGTCGCGGTCGGAGTGGGTGGCGACTACACTTACAAGCAGCCAGCTACTCAACCGCATAGCAGCAGGTACTAATACATACATATGTACATCTGACGCATTCAGCATACTAAGCCTGCTAACTGTATATAACTGTATAGTATTCCTCGATGTTACCTCCTCACAAGCCGAAATCACAGGCTACCACTTGAACTAAACTTATTAACGCATTATACTCTAACACGACCAGAAAATTGTTTATAATACCAACTAATCTAAGTACTAACCGAATTAAAAACCTGTGCGGTGGAAGCAGCCTTAATTCTAAAAATAATTTTCCATACAAAAATGAATGGCCTAACGCAACTTTAAATAAATTGGATGTATAATATATCCAAGGTAAGCGGCCCTACCACTACGCTCCTACATCATGTATTGATGTCCTATCATAAAGTAAGAGTCAGGTTGAACGACAAAATAGGTATTATGGCTCAGGATTATGTATCTCGCATTGTTTCACAGCAGAAACGCAGAGTACCCAAAAACGGCAACCACCAAAAGCTGCAGCAAAACATTGGATACCTGCGACTATTGGCCACGTTGCTCGGCCTGTCAGGAAAGGAGTTCACTCGGAGAAATAAAAAAAGATCAGACCACGTCCAGCGCATCTGTCATCGAGCTGGATCATTTGCAGCCCCATGTTACATCCGTGGCCGTTAACAAAGATACTTCAGTTCTGAGCAAAAGGCAGTCACGTGTGGAAAAATCAAATTCGTCGTGGACCCTTTTGTGTAGCAGTATCGCCAGCGTGTGCCTTCTTTTGGACCAGACAGAAAGCGACTTGAATGCACACCAAGGGACAGCAGAGAAGAACATCACGGCCAGGTGAGATTTGCCCCTTGTAACGCCATTGATTGGCTCAAATCAACACACAATAAATTGTTTAGTTTTACTTTTCGGAAAAAATAATAGTTGCTTAAAAGTTAACATTTTAATGTACAGAATGAAACATGGATAATTAAAAAAAATGGATAAGTTTGATTTTTTATTTTTCAGAAATGTTGTAAACGAAAGTCATCACTGGATGGGTCGCAGTCGTTCTCTGCCAAGTCTGATGCTACCGGGATTCCAAATCGCGGGGTGAGATTCTTTCTTTCCATTTTTATATTTGGATATTTAAATTAGCATTTAAGATGTCTTTATGCCTTGGATCAATGTTTAATTATGCCCTTTAAGCCAAAAGTTTATTGGTGCGGTTTATTCTACATATCCGAATATTTAGTACATTCCTAGTGGTGCTAAATCTCTTATTATCAACAACTACAGTGGCTCCAAGCTTATTTCGTGCAAGAAAAAATCGAATTTTTAATTTGATACTGCTACTAAACCAGCAGAGGTATCAAAAAAATTTAAACGCAGTAATGTTAAGAATGTCGCATATTATTAAAATAATAACAAAAGTTTTTACTAATTTAAAAAACAAAAGAATTTTTCATACAAAAACTAAAAAATAGGGCAGCTCCGACGCACAAGCTTATTTCGTGCAAGCACTTTAAGGGTTAATAACTCTAAACTAGGACTTTTAAATCCATTTTTTTTTCTTAATACTAGTAAAAATATATTAACAAAAGCATATTTATAAGTTTTCGAGGTTGGGGGCACCCAAAAATTACGGATTAACGAGGATTTTTAAACTATGGCGCCACGAATAATAGTCAATAGTTTGTTGAGCAAAGCGAATTAGTCCTTAAACATTTTAAGGATGGGAAAACCCAGGAAAAGGTTGCCTCAAGCCCTAGTACAAACCCATACATAACCCAAACGCTTTTTTACGAAAATCGGGGGGCAGAAAGGGGCGGTAATGCACCGAACAAAATTTTTAATGACCAGGAGGAGAGACGTATTGTCCCAAAAGTGAAGGAAAACCCCAAGCTTTGTACCAATTTTTCTTTCAAAATAGTTGAATATTTATTGGCATCCATGATTCCGTCAATAAAAACCAAATTTCCGGCGCCGGACACAGTAATACATGCCCAAACTATAGCATGACCACCGCCGTGCTTAGCCGCTGATTTTTTGTTTTTTGAATGTAGCTCTGTATTGGGACGCCGCCAAACATATTTCCTCCTCTGGGACCCAAATATATTACATTAGGACATTCGTCCACAAACATAACGTCTTTCCAGACCAAAATCGGACTAGTTTCAAGTTCCCTGGCGAATTTGACGCGCGCCAACTTATTTTTAGCACTTATAAAGGGCTTTTTTCTAGGAACTCGACCATTAAAGTTATGGTTCTGTAAAATGTTCCGAACTGTACCTGGGCAACATTTTTTGCCCATTTCGTTCTCGATCTCCTCAACTATTTTTGGAGCCGATAGCTTGGGGTTTTCCTTCACTTTTGGGACAATACGTCTCTCCTCCTGGTCATTAAAAATTTTGTTCGGTGCATTACCGCCCCTTTCTGCCCCCCGATTTTCGTAAAAAAGCGTTTGGGTTATGTATGGGTTTGTACTAGGGCTTGAGGCAACCTTTTCCTGGGTTTTCCCATCCTTAAAATGTTTAAGGACTAATTCGCTTTGCTCAACAAACTATTGACTATTATTCGTGGCGCCATAGTTTAAAAATCCTCGTTAATCCGTAATTTTTGGGTGCCCCCAACCTCGAAAACTTATAAATATGCTTTTGTTAATATATTTTTACTAGTATTAAGAAAAAAAAATGGATTTAAAAGTCCTAGTTTAGAGTTATTAACCCTTAAAGTGCTTGCACGAAATAAGCTTGTGCGTCGGAGCTGCCCTATTTTTTAGTTTTTGTATGAAAAATTCTTTTGTTTTTTAAATTAGTAAAAACTTTTGTTATTATTTTAATAATATGCGACATTCTTAACATTACTGCGTTTAAATTTTTTTGATACCTCTGCTGGTTTAGTAGCAGTATCAAATTAAAAATTCGATTTTTTCTTGCACGAAATAAGCTTGGAGCCACTGTATATAGCTTGAGCTCTCTCCTTATTGTGAAACAAATATACCGACGTTCATGCCGCAACCTCCTAGGACGTGCCATGTCGTAAGTTCAACGACCTTCATATTTATCTTTCTCAACTGTAAACACACATATGTACATACATATTGCATGTATGCGCATAGATTCAAACATGGTGCTTGGTTCCTCCTCTATCCATCATAGACTCTTCCCTAACCATCTTCCATTTTCCATCAAGAACTCTCGACCTCCGCCCTTTTAAATAGTCCATTAATAAGCGATGAGGCTGTATAGGAGGAGTCGTGCTTTTGTGCCATTGGTATATAGCATAAGCTAAATAAAGACAGGTCGGACACAAATGGCTTATTTCTCACGGAATATCTGCAAGCTTTCCCGTTTCCTTAATGCTTCTTTAAATCTAACTTAATAACATGGCATACATTTCGGCTGTGAATTACTTTAAAGCTCACGTTAATATCATGTCAAAAAAGTTTTGCAGTATTTTCGCTAGCCTTTAGTCAACAGAAATCAAAGTAGATTTGGAAATTATTCATTACCGCCCAGATTTTATTACTTAAATGGCACATACCACAAACAAACTCCAAATATTCTTGGAAAGGAAAAACCCCCAATAAAGGTGGTGCTTGTGCTCTACGGGACTCTTGTATAACGTAGGGTGGACTAGTATATTTTGGTATTTTTCCATGTGCCAGAGGTAATTTTTTTATGCGCTCGTGTGGTCACACTGTTAAGAAAAAACAATAGCTGAGCAGACGTGAAAAAATGCACTTATTTAAAAAAAAAAATACGGTTCGCGCGTTTGCACCCCTCATCGTTATTTAGTGTGTCTATTAGGAATTATTAAACATACTAGAAGTTAATCAAATTCCAAGCTATGTAAACGAGACATTTTCTCGCCGCTCGAAATTAGTATCGAGTGTAAATAACAGCTACCGAAAGAATCCGTGCATTTGTGAGAAACAATCGTCTTGCCGGTCACCAAACACCAAACGTGGGCGTCCGCGTGTGTGTATACATACTCAGGAACGCTTGGACAGAAGCCAAAATCTGCCAACGCATAGAGAATGGAACAACGCAAATAGCGCATCTAAATAAGAACCATAAGTGAAAATCAATAATACCAAAGAAAAGCGAGCAAAGTTTATTACGCAAAACGGCGAGAGCAAAAATGTCTACAAGGACAATGAGTTTGCCTCAGGCTGCGCAGGCAGCGGGCACCGAGGATTCCAGGGCCACCGATTTCGATGAGTCCGCCGTCGTGAGCGTGCAGCGGAGGGAACTTGTAACACCCCCGCCTTCCAGCGGAAGTGCGGATGTTTACGCCAGCCGCGTTTCTCACACCACATGGTACTTGCCCGTGGAAGATCCACTGTTGTTCCCCATATCTGCCGGTTCTAGAGAATGCAATGAATCCAACGCAACGACGGCTGCAAGAGTCCAGGAAGCGGACGCAGCTGCCGATTCATCAACGAGCACGAGTGGCGAGTAAGTTTGTTCCACAAAGGTTGGATTTTGCCAACGATTAGTAAAATTTATAAATATTTTTACACGACAAATGACTAGTATCATTGTTTTTATTTTTATTTTCAAACGTCAGCTTTAAAAGATCTTTTCATTTCAATTCTTTACAACACACACATCTTCCTCCTCCTTTACACATCTTCCTCAAATATATTCTGAATTATCAACAAAAAAATAAGAAGTATTTAAATGTCACTATAAAAAAATTACCGATGTACATATATTGTTATATAAAGTTATCTTTACAAATATTTAAATAGTACGTTAAAGCTTAAATATCAGTTATCAACCACATAGTTGCTATTTTGTAACCTTAACCTTTATAATCTTTTAGAAAAAATTTGCGGCTCATTGAACAGATATTTTTAACATCTAATTTTTGGCTGAGTGCCTGTTGACTTTTTCTCCATTGCTCTCGCTTGCTGTTTTTCTTAGTTAATCAGCCGAACATAATTTTCTATTATTTTGTTGAAGCCAATGGACGCCGAGTAAGAGCTTAAGCCAATGTCCGCCCTGGTTTAACTCTTTTTGGAAGCATGGGATCAACCAAATTTGTTATGTTTATGGATTACTAATGTGTGCAAAAATGGTATCATATGCTTATATATATATATATATGTCGGGACTTTTAAACAAATATGAATATTAATTATTTCTCGCAAGTAAAGTATGACTTGAAACTTTAATGGTGACTGATAAATGTGACAGCGCATTGTGTTCAAAGGGGGCACTCAATTTTTTCAAGAAACGTGACTAGTTTACTGGTCATCGTGTTGTTTTTAAAAAATATCCTCTTTTTCAATTTTTTTAAATTCAATTTTAATTTTTTTGCGGGATTTGCAATCCTATCCAACCTAAAATCCAAGCTTTTTAGAAAGACCCACATTCCTGACTCATTATACTCCAGCTGCAGTATACTTATAATTTGCTGTCGGATATCGCAGAAATTACTCTTTGTGTGACTAAATATGTTTAATTTATTGTCGAGAGTATGATTATAATAATTACTCGAAACCAACTCTTTTCCAAAATGTGTTTAATATTTTATATTTGTCACTCCCTAATTTCAAACCTAGACTAACAAAAATTATGCGCATTCCATAGAGTAAAACCAATTTTCACAATTGACCTCTCGTTAAATATTTTGACTAGCACTGGAAAGTTGTGTTTGGACACGAAATCATTTGGATATAATAGTGTTTAATATTGCCACCCATACTATTCCAAAAGCATTTCAGGTATGGGGAAAGTTATTGCGCTAAGGCAACCACCACATCAGCTGACCATGCGTTACTGAGTGTGCTGGAACTGTATAACTGTATTATTTTCTGCATATCAAAACAACAAAGTTATGTAGCTCGATACTCTGTGGGTAAATAAAACATCAAGGGAACTATTGCAATGAATCTTGCTTGCTTTCTTCTTTGAAGTATACTCGTCATTCATTAATTCTAAGACTCGAAAGTTTGATAAGTTAATTTAGGATCAAAAAGAAAATCAAAGTATCGTGTTAGAAGCCAGATGATCCATGGGTCAGCTTTCAGTGGCGCACGCTATATCCTTAAAATAGTCAAACCAAAGGTGCATTTGCACTTTTTTTGGAGTATTTGTTTAGGCAGGGTCGGAAAGGGAATTCATCAAATTATATATATTTTTTATTTTATTCATGGTTAGAGGGTAGCACGGTTTTCTTCCTGTAAAGAAACTTTTGTCTTTCTCGTCTGCAAAACTCAGAAAAACGATGATTAAAAATTGTTCAAAACATTTCAGCTGTATGTCCAAGGCCGAATTTAAAAATAGTCAGATGACTATGTTTTTAAAGCATTATATAAACTTTTTCTAAGCGGTACAGGTGTGTATCACTTCTTCAGTTTAAGTCATTAAGCAACTGAAGTAAATGTTCTATTCTATGTGGCTAGATTTTTACATTACACCTTTTAAGCAATCAGTAGCCCATATGGTGTGTTGCCCCATCCTCGGTTGATGTGCATCTGCCATCGCCTTGTTGTTTCTTGGCTGCGATGCTATTTATGAATCGTTTAGAAACGAACTCTTTTCTTGTGGTTTATACACAAATACATTTGTGTACCTTTGCTGCCCTTTCGTTTTCTTAGTTTTTTTTTTCCATTGACTGAAGCAGCGTTAAGTCCATTGAATAAAATGTTTTAAAATTTTATTTCTGCATACGTTTTCAGATGTACATGAAAAATAAGAAGTAAATTATCTTTTTCTCGAGTTCCCTTCTAGTAGTCACTTTGGATTCGGCAAACTTGGTAATCCTCAGTCCTCTCAGTCTTTAGAGAGAACTAAAAATTATATCAGATCAATTTTCGTTATAGCTGTAACGGTTATGTACATTTTGAGTTGCTTCCTGCCTATCTCGGTTACATATAGGGAAGCAAATTCTCTCCGCCGACCTTAACACTATTTGTGTGTGTTTAATCAGTCTTTTAAAAAATGTACTGTCGTTATCAGTAAAAACTGTCTAAGCTCTTCTTGAATACGCTCAACAAGAGTACTTAAACTGATTAATTTTTTAATGTCGACTATATCAGTTCATAAATTTGCGTATACAAAACAACAGTTATCAACAAATCCGTTTAAAAGATGGAAAAAAAATTTCATCTTTGTTATATGTTTAGCTTAATTAATTTCTCTAACTTCTTACAGTCTGAACATGAATATATGTGTTCTCTTAATATTGCTAATGAGAAAAACTTCGATTTTAAAAGAACTTTACCATGGTATAACTATGTGAATCTACAAATATAACGCCGTCAGTGATTAATAGAGACTCGGAGAACCTGTCGTGCGAAAGAAGTAGAAGAGCTATATGTCTGGCATAAAAAGTAGTGAATTCTGGTCCAGATAGTATCTACTCCTTGCCAAACAGAGCATGTCGGAATACTTTCTTTACCCGCATGGTAATAAAATTAAAATTATGTTTAATTTCTCGTTAGTCTTGTAAGTATTATTAGTTGCAATAATGTAATGTAATGTGTTTTGTTTTCATAATAAAAATTTTAACATGTTTTACATGCTCCTGGTCCCTAAAAAGTGTAAGTGGAAACGGTTTCCTACCGACTTCCTCTTCGCGCCTCTCCTGTTCAGATAGTGATAGTAAATGGGCCCAATTCTCCGCGTTGCAAACCTACCTGTCTCTTCACAACAGTCAAGCAAAAACCGGTCCGCTGTTAACGTTAGTTGCAGTTCCAGCTTATGCATCTGCCGGTGCCTTATACTTTGCAATTTAAGCAGTTTCACTCCCATTATACAGATTCCTAGATCAAATCACCAACCTTTGAGCTACATTTATAAAAGCCAAGACTTATCTTTGGATTTAGATCGAGATTCTTCAGTTTAGATCGACTCACCCTTAGACCTTTATAATTATGTTATCCGGTTTATTTTCCAGACGTCTCGGGTATTTCCTGTCCTGTACTACTTTTCAATAGTCAAAGATTTCCACTCTTAAAAAAAAGTGGCTAAAAATTTCTTGCAGCTCAGAGAGAAAACACGAGTTCATCGTAGTTGCAATGTCCTTCAACAAGACCTTGATTTAATATTTAGCCAAACTAAAGTGTACTGTCAGGTCCACCAAAAAAATGGTTTTCATTATCAGATAATATATAATGCTTTCCAAAGTATATAAATTATTTACAGTCACATGGCATCGAAGATCATACTGAAGCACAAAAGAAGGAGTGGCAGGACTCAAAACCGGTCTGATGCTACCAGCGGCAGATGTTTTCTAGCTCGCTCCTTACTGGCTGACCCTTATCCTTATTGAGTCAATCCACTCATTTGAGACGTTTTCGATTTTAATAACGATCTGAAAAGAGATCAGCAACTAAACCATCTTTGAACAAGAAAGAAACTTAGCCAAAGCTAACTAGCCAATCAAGCAAAAGTATAAAGTATAAATTATAAAATCCAAAACGTCAAACACATGTGTGTGTATATACTTTTATCTATATAATAAACTTGATTCTTTCGCGAATTCCAGTTTACCAAGCTGCATGGGAAATAGTTTTTGACACTAGAAGTCTTTGCATTACTATTAACTATTTTTCTACAAAGCATAAGTGTTGATCAGGATCACCAGCCAGATCTGGGCACAGCTGTCACTGTACTTGACTGGACTCAATAGCACCATCCACCATCAAAATGCAACACTACTTTAGGCATGCCAAACTCACTCATATTAAACATCTGCCTGTCTTTTGAGAGAAGTTGAGTGCAACAAGCAGATGGGTACCCTTACCCTTACCTTCTGCGCTACTAGGATCAGTCTGTCCTTGCACTACGAACCTAACGCATACGAACATCGGAAATTTGTTGACACTACTTCGGCACCAAATTGAAATCATCAAGTAGATATCGCTTCGTTAAATCAGTGAAATAGTTTAATTTTGGTTTCATATGTGTTCACATTTGGTCAACTCGGTTTAGTGTGGCAAAGTTCGAATCGTCTTACGCGGCAAATGTGAAAGGTAGCAAAGTGGCGAAAAACAGGCATCAAGCCAAACATGGTCATTAAAAAGCTGATTAAAATTTACAGTGTTCAAAGAACTCCATTTTACAAGCACCGTGCGCGGAGATTTTATCCTGTCATTATGAAGGGTCGAAGGTATTCTACATTGCAACGGTGAGCCAATTTTTCGAAAATCACCCAAGAATGAGAGCTCGTACTGAACCACTCCATATTGTGATCAAGCCATCATCACGTTCCTCGAAGTCCACATTAATTAAACTTTACCTGACTTAACGGTGACCAAATAAAGAGCGGTCAATGGTGATAGGTAAAGTCCATAGACAACGCAGCCGGAAACTGAGCCCTGGATCTCTTTCTTCTAGCTAGGCCTTCTCTCTCCACGTTTCTGTTGATTCCTAGTATCCCACCCTATGCATCACCACGGGCCTTTTCTGCCATTTTAGCGTCGTTTTTGTTTTTGTATGCGAGGAATTCCCAGAATTTACGGTGTTTGCTTAAAATAAACATACGGAAATGAAATTGGCCAATGTTATTTTGGATTTGGTTTGCGCAGACTGCACTAGGATTACCTTCTCTCCCAGTACGAAAATTCCTTATGAGCATTTTCAGTGCCACCTGCTTTTTGAGTTGTAGTATATACCTGCGCGTACTAAAGGGTCTATGTAGAGTGGCGCAACATCAAACCACGGAAACAGTGTCTATGAATCTGATAATTGCTTTGTAAACTGAACCCCTTTCCTGTCGAGTTCAAACTACCTGATCGATTATTGTAGGCGGCCCAAAATGTATAGCAGGACTTTACAAGGCCACGGTTTCTTGTACTAAAGGAAATATATTTCGTATATTTTCAGAATTCCCCGAACTGGAAACCACGGAATAAAGACAAACGCAGGATTCGCTGGTAGCTTGGTAAGTATCTAAAAAATTCACTTTCACTTATTTTTTGATTAAGACAGAATTCCTTGGAGAACGTTATATTGTTGATTTAGTGCAACAAATTGTGTGACCCTCTTGAAACATACTGGTGAACTCTTGAACCATTGTCAAACCCAAGCTTACTCCAAAATACGGTTATGAGACCCTCTAGTCGTCCTACAAGAAATACAAGGTTCAATATACTGATTACATCGCTGATTTAGATGCTAATATGATTTTATATGACTTTTTCATATAAAGGCATATCGAATTACAAATTATCAACGCTATAACCGCAAAAACATATTATTGTTCATAATAGGAAATTTCTTACTGCTCTCTATAAGAGAACTGCCAACTCTGTTTTCAAGTCGATCATGGTAATCGCATCCGAATCGTGTTGGGTATCTAGGTTTTGGTAACAAAACGTCGTGGATAAGCCAGAAATTCGCTGTCTGCAAAATGTAATTGTAAACGTTACTAGTTGAGTGAAGGTAGAATGAAGCGTTTTTAGACCATATAAACTATATTATTATTGTAACATATAAACACATCATGAAGTATTTTGTTGCGAAAAATTCCAATAGGGTTTAGGTTTCCCAGCCATAAGCCTCTAACATCCTGCTGTTCTCCCAGTGCCTTTGTGCTACGTAGTCAATCTCGAGGCCAAAGTAAATCACTGAAGACAAAACATTTCAACTGCAGATACACATTCGCAAAGGCATCGGGCTCTTGCAAGTTCGCAGACAATGTGTTGACCCCGCACGGTCCATGCAACAATGGCAGACAAGAGATGCGGCATGAGGCAACGGCTCGTGCTGTGCCATTCCTTCGCTAATGTAATCAAACCACTTCAATTCAGTCTCCTGACAATGGAGCTCTCAGATATAGTTAATATCACAGCCTTTATGTCCCTAAATGCAATATACCCAACTAAAAGAGGTCTGCCACCCACTTACAACCGGACGACAACAGTACTCGCATTTCACATTTGCAAGTGTCGTTGCCGGCAATCGCGGACTATCAGTTCTAAGATATCGCTTCAGCCGGTTACACCTGCCAGTGCTACATGCTAAAGTCCCGCCAGGTCGCAAGAACCCAGAGGTCTAAGAAATAACTGATAACACCAACGCTCATGGAAACCTATGGCCTAATTAAATTCTGGGACTTCGATACGGGCGGCCCTGGAAGCGTGTCACAGTCCGCCAGGGGACAGGTGGGCTACGTTGTGCCCACTAATGATATCATGCCCGACGACCGTTGCTACAGATGGAAAACCCGTCTTCTTCAGGTCAGCCCTGCTGAGCATTTATTATAATATCAATAACTAATGACGTTGATTTTGGTTATACCACTCTATCACCCATCCTTTCGTCCCTTGATACTCTCTAAGTACACACATTTTCTCACATCAGTTTGTCAAACAAAAAAAAATATCCAAAAATTTGGATTGTTTGATTCTGAGGTATATATTGTGGCTCACGGGTATTGGCATGGACGTAGAAGCTTGCTATTCTTGTGATTACTGTTACTCAATTCTTACTCTCAGACCCAGAGACTGTGATTGCTGTTTTTCATATCATTGTTGTTATAATCCGAGCCCGCCGATACGCTGGCATAAAAAACTACGAAATGATAAGATATTTGTGGTTTCACGTCAAGAGCCGCATACCGTTGATGTCGAATCACTATGTAAGCGTTAGTGGCATAACTTTAGTTCGCGCATTTGCCAATTTTATATAAACATAAAATACAATAGAAGCAGTAATAAAACTACATTCTTTTTTTTCTTTCCGCCTTTGCAGTCACAGCAAATAAAGGCTGTCTCCAGTCCCACACTGACAGAACCGCTCTCAGAACCACCGCTACAGAAGCAAATTGATGCCACGGATGTTCCTGTCACAGGCATCACTGTCGAAAGTGCATGCGGAGGTCTGGGCGTCTTGCAGAAGTTTAAGCGCACTCTGAACAATTTGAACAGCAAGAATCAAATGCACATTTCTCCGTTGTCCCTAACGGCGACAGGCAGCAATCTGCCAAAGATTAAGACATTGCCAACCGCACCGACTGTATCCATCACAGCTCCAGCGACGACAACTGGCGAGACTGGAGCAGAAGGCGGAGATGCAAGCTCCGGAAAGTACCGATTTGGACCTCTCATCTGGCGAACTTCCAAAGAGCGCCGAAAGACGAAGTACAACCGTCGGGACAAGTGCAATTCCGGCGACTCGGGCATTCAGATCGAGTTAGAACAGGATGAGCAATACTCCCGCGCCATAGTCATGAGCGGCCAAGGAGAGACGAGCGTTTCAATATCTACAAATGGGACGTCTAGCATCGCGGACACTAAAATGAGAGCAATACGTCGAACTAACTCCGCCAAGGCAAGCAGCATTTTGGGACCTTTTATGATTAGAACCAAAATCGCTAAGAATATGGATATAAGGGAGTCTAACAAGGTTGAACGCGAAGCACCGGCGTCTTTGCCCATGCGATCGCTTAGCCAGCCAAGTGGCCTAGAGTCCTACGGCATGAGTCGTCCCGACCTTGAGGATAGCGATAGTGACAGTGTCGCATCAAACGAGGAAGGTAAGCTTACGGCATGGACTTCAAAACCCTGAATTGAATTGGAAAAACAGGCAACATTCACCAATGTCGTTTCCTTTTGATCCCCAACAGTCAGCTACTACCAAACTATTTATGCGGAGGTTCTCTACAACTTCACGGCCGGCGGACCGCAAGAACTGGGCTTGGAGCGAGGAATGCTTATTGAAATTTTGCGCAAGGAAGTTGGACCCTGGTGGTTCGGTCGAATTAAGAAGGAGGAAACCAATCTCGTAGAAGACATTTTGGGTCCTGAGCTTGGCTGGTTCCCCAAGGAGTTTGTGCGAGTTATTCACTATCCTGAGACGGATCTATTCTTTAACGCGCACAGGGCCGGTGTCGCTGAAGCTGAAGAGGCTGGTGGAGATGAAGAGTCAATTCCTGTTCCTGTTTCAACATTCGCCGAGGACACAGACGTTATCGTGACCACAAATCAAAGCAACGTTACTCTTATTGTCATTGAATCACCTACGACCTCGCTATGCGCTTCTGGTGTCGATCCAATTGCCCAGCTGGACCACAACACTATGCTACGCCGAAGCGCAGTTCGTGAACTGCTTGATACGGAGGTCAACTATGTCAAACTGCTGGCAGCCATTTGTGATGGGTAAAGAACCTAGTTAGGGGCAATCGTGATCAGATTTTAATTTTGTGTCCTACTTTAGGTACCTGCCAGCCATGAGCAAGCGCATCGATATATTCTCTCCAAATAGTATTCGTCTGATTTTTTCCAATATAATGGCCATTTATAAGTTCCAGCGAAAGTTTCTGGAGGCCTTGCGGCGAGGAATCGATCAAAACCAGATTGCTAAGGTTTTTCTCAAAATGGTAAGAACACATAGAGTTGTACCCTTGTGATAATCAGTTTTGAATAAATTGTACTTTCTGCAGCACAAAGGGTTTCTATGCTATTCCACATACTGCAACGCATATCCCCGAGCCCTAATTGAACTAGAGACTTACGACCGTGTAAAAGACGCTCGTACTATTTTGGACAAGTAGGTTGTTTTCAAAGCTTTGCTTACAACTATATAAACGTTAAAACTATTTTTAGTTGTCGAGAGTCGGGAAACCTTGCCGAGCTCCCCCTGTCAGCCCACTTGCTGGCACCAGTGCAACGCATCTGCCGTTATCCCCTACATCTCAACGAGATCATTAAGTCGGCATTGGTCAAAACAACGAAGGGAGCGGATGAGTTAGACCGTGTTACCAAGCCATCTCACTATGAGGAACTTGACGTCAACGAACTCGACATACCCGACTCTCAAGATACTGTCAATTTGGCTCTAGAGGCGATGCGTGGCATCACAGAGGCAGTAAATGAGGGAAAACGCCACAGCGAAACGATTGCAAGACACCAAGCCAGTTTCCAGAATTTTAAGGGGCCGCCGCTACATTTGCACAGCGCTCGTTTTTTTCTGCAGGTTGATGCTACGAGACAAAAACAAAATCTGTGGAACAGCAGCTACACGCTGTTCCTATTCGATAACCAGCTCGTATACTGCAAACGAGATATTATCAAACGCAGTCACTTCATCTACAAGGGACGTATTTTCCTCGACCGCTGTCGCGTCGTAAACGTAAGGGACGGAAAAATGTTTGGACACACCATAAAGAACTCGTTGCGCATCTACAGCGAGTCGCGTGACAAATGGTACGATTTTAGTTTCCGGTCAGCGAATCGGAAGCATCGCTTCCTAAGCACCCTCGCTTTAGAGCGTCAGTTTGGTGGTAAAGCCTTATACGTATCGGAGATGACAGGTTTTGAATACAACTACGAGGAACGGCCTGGTGACTGTTCAGACCAATCTGATTATGAGGCACAAGAGCTTGAAATAGCAATGGGGGCCACCAGTGGTGAGAGCTCTGTGCCAGAGTCACCTGCCAAATCCACATCGCGTTTGTGTGAGACCTTGCCCAAAAAATCACAGTCAAGGGACGGAATATCCAGCGTAGACAACTCCCAAATAGTGTCCACCACATCAACAAGTTCGTTAGGAAGACGCCATTTTGGCAATTGGTTCCGCAAGCCAAAAAGCACCAACTGCACTCCGAGTCAGTCGCCGACGCATAAGACGGGCTTTGATGCAGATGCGACTCTCACGGAAGCCCGGGTAGCCGCCATGGAACTGGCTGAAGCTGCGGCATCGCTAGTACCAACGGATAGCTCCCTTGCGTAATTGCTCGTCACAGTTAGAAACAAATCAACAATACGACTCACAATTTTCAACATACAAGACACAAAGAAATGTATTCGTAGAAGAATACACGGTAAAAAATATTTGTTACAATAATATTAAATTGCCTTTAATCATAGTTCAGAATGAGTATTTAATTCTGAAAGAGTTTTCTTGTGTTACCTTTTTTGTCAATATAAAATAATAATTGTTTTTTGTTAAATTTCTTTCCTTAATGTCCTTGAATATCTGTAAAAGGATTTGGTTACAGTACCAAATAATTCGGTTATAAATTATTGTTTTACGACAAATAACAATACTATTCTTCCGGCATTTCAATGCGGTTTTATAAAAATTTGTCGCCGACTGCTAGTCTAAAACCCTATTACATGTCCATACTTGTAATTCTAGGTTACGTGTTAAGTCGATAATAAAAACCCGTAAATTATTAACATTTTTCTGTGTCAATACGCCAGGTTGCTTAGAGACCTTCACAAGCTGAATCGAAAACTACCCACAGAACCGATATTGAAATGCGTTTACGAAACGTTAATACATTAAAATATGACACATTTGAACAAGATTAAGTACATACTCATTGTATTTAACGTGCATTGAGGCTTGTATTTCCCATGGCATTTGTTAATTTGTTAGGCCAAACCACTACGGCATGTTTTCAAGATAAAGTTTACGACCTTACATAGTGAACAGAAGATATTAATAAAGGTAGTAAAATATTAATAAAGGAACAATATTATTACATATGAACAAATCGTTGTCATTTTGATATGAATATTATGTTTGGCAAAAATTGGTTTATTGTCAATTTAAAGTCTTGAAAATTAGGCAATGTTAACATTATAAAAGCAAAATGCGACATTACAATTGAGCGAATTTATTTTTTTCTAAAAAGAATGTATGTTGAATATATCCGATAAGCTTATTAATCATTGCCTCCCCTATTGGCAAGAAATATTTAGACAGTATTAGTTGACAAAGAGATATAAATTCATTAAGCAATTTACTATATAATAGACTTTGCCAAAAAATCGAATTGATTTTTGCAAAAGAATTTCTTTTAAAAATGATATACCACAAATTCCCGAAGTCCGTACTTGCACTATTGTACAACATCATGAACAACAGATCAGGATAGGGCAATGGATAAAAATTAGATTAGGAGCAAAACAACAATGGAAAGGTCGCACTGTTTGTTAAGTTTTAATGGGATTAACGCGATATTACAAAATATGTAAAAACATACAGATTTGAGTTGAGCAAGTTGTATTGGATCGCGTAAACGTTTCACAGAAATAACATGTACCCTAACTGAAAAACCACAACTTTATACATTTAGCACCCTCAAATATGCTCTCTATGCCAAATAAATAAAAATATATTTATCCAATTTTGTGTCTTCTTTAAAATATTGTATAAGTAGTTTTGGTTAATTAGCTTGACTTTCGTTAAATCTGAGGCAGGAGTGCAGCCTCTCCTCCTAGAAATACAGTTTCAGTTTCATCGTATATATTTTTGCTATTTTTTTACCATGTATTTGACAGCAATCAACGGATGGCTACCAAAAAGTTAGATTCCTATTAATCTAATGTCGACTGCAAAAAATGTAGTTTCCTGGAAGTTACCACAAATGATGAACTTAAATATATCTTATTTTAAATCACCAGACGAACGAAAAAGTTCAAGTTATCAATTAAGATCTCAGTTGTGGTCCAGTCTACTCATTATATGTATATATATATATTGGCTAACAATATTATGCTCATTTGATACCGGTATTTTCCATTCTAATTGGTCTAACGATATTTAAAACCGTTTTGTCGGAAAATATTTTTTAAATATATTTTTTTCCCATTAAATACATGTAACGCAATTTTTTTTATTCAGTATGCTTATTTATTTTTAGTGGCATTATTAATAAGTTGTAGAAATATTACTTTACAATTTAAATAATTGTAGCCAATGGTTGCGTTTAATATACACACATGTTAGTAATCAATCAAAAGGGCTGCACTTTATTTTACACACTTGAAACTATTCACTTTCAGTGGCTATCTATTTGTTTTAGCACTTGTATTTTTTGCTTGAATTTCACATCTTTATTGAAATAGCTTAAAAATATGTTAAGTTAGAAAATCATTAGGCTTTTTTTACGTTTTATAATTGGTTAATTAGGCTAATATAAAAAGATTTGACGGCGATTTAAACTTGTAATTTATTTTTGTATGTAATCGTGGCATATCTTTGTTAAAATTATATTAATTTGTTTTATAATTAAATCGTTTTACTTAAAGATTATATTGATGTATTAAAATTGTAAGCTGCGGTAAAGTGGCATTCCACCTTATTCTTATGACTAAAGATTGGAATTAGATGCTTTTACATATATGTATACTCGTGAAATACAAATCGGCGGAGGCACCAATGAATGAAGTTGTCGAAATATAAGCCAGGTTATTGAAACTATGTATATATGTACAAGTATGAATTTCAAAATGGAATAACAGACTGGCAAATTGCGATCTCACTCAGACAACTAAAATTACATTTAAAACATTTAGATATTTTTCTCTTAAAAGCTAGACAACATACACATCACGTTAACCCTACAATGCGAACGCATACAACAATCAATTTAAGCTACGATAACAGATTTAGGTTTGGTACAATTTCATTCTTTTTGTTTTGTTGTCGCTGATAATTATATATTATATTATATTCAATAATGCCTTTACAAAAGTCAGTCCCTTGATTTGGATACCAGCCCAGCATTTTCATACTGTTAATTATGAGTACCCACTTAGATCTTCATAAAAAACCGTTCTCACAATATGCCATTCGTATAGTACTGATAACCATCGTATAGTTTCGTTGACAAACTTTTTAACGAGTCCTGTACAAGCTGCTCAACTTTTCGTTCCATTTCTTGCTCGGTTAAATTCATATGAAAGCGTTTTCGGAGATTCTGTACGGTTCCAGAGCATCCATTCTTAAAGCATGGCAACTGAGCATCTGGAAAAATAGAATATATATTAACATTGCAGGAATATTTTTGAGCGAAATCGCCTTGAATCTTACTACTGCGCATAATTTCTACAAAATTTATAATGCGATCCATATGCTTTCGGGCAGACATCATCCCAACCAACAAGAGCCTATTAAATTCCCGCCAATGCTCCGAGCTAGTGCCTCCCATGACTTCAACAAATTCTGGGGTAAGCTTAAAGGGCGATTGTTCGAATCCTGTAAAAGTCCAATTAGAAATAAGTTGAGCTGTGAAAAGTTCAACCAATTACATACCTAAGTTCTTTGGAGATATACTCAAAATAAATCCAAAGTCGATGTGTATGATGTGCCCATCCGAATGGAATAGTATGTTGCCATTATGCCTAAACAAAAAAAAGATATATGTCAGTTAAAATTCTTTAGGAACATAACATTTTTAGTATTACCTGTCCTTGACTTGCAGCAAATACGAAATTAGACAATAAGCTGCACAGCTTTGAACGAAATTTTTTTGAGCACGCCGAAAACTTTCCCCAGTGGGTGAGCCGTACTCATCAAGAAAGTAATCTTTTAATGATTTATTGGAGTTCTTCTTAATTTGATGCAAAGAGACTGTATTGAGAATGGGCTCAATAAGACCACTATCATTCGATAGACATACTATCTTGTACGGGCGCACCCACAGATCCACTTGTTCTTCTTGCCATATAATTTTAAACATCTGCGAAATAAACATTTTTGTTAGGGGAGCATTCCAATTGTGTAATCGAAGCTACTGTTACCTGTAACAGTTGGGTGGCCATAAGTTCCTGGCGTAAATCGTCACCACACTTGACAATAGCGGAAAGAAGCCGCCAGTTAGATAGATGGCCATAAGGCGAAGACTCGCGTATTAGTTTTTCCTTTTCGTGCCACGGTTCCTGTAGTATAAAACAAATATTTATATTAATCAGTTCAGTGCCTGAATTTAAATAACAAACCTTAAGGGCCGCTGCGGAGGGATCTTCTGGGTCGTTGCTGAACGATTTCGTATTCTCGCAACTCAAATTACTGCAGTGGCGCAATCGCACGTCGCCAATATTGAAGACGATTGGTGGACCTGTAAAATAAAATCCGTTCTAGAGCTTCGAAAGATCAATACCATTCATTTTTATATCCTCTTACCTTGGTCCCGCGAATCGCATGATTCAAGTGACATCTGGGAAATGGTGTCCCGCTCGCTCACTTTACGCATGCTAAGGTACTGCGCTGTAATCTCGTCTTCTTCCTGCGACCACACATCATCCTCTTGATGCTGAAGTCCGCCTAGTGAATGTGAGTTGCCGCAGCAGTTATGAGGGCCAGCGTCGCCGCACCCACCATCCCCTTCTGCGACCTTTTTTCGGTGGTAACTGCCCTGGTGACTGCTGCTACAGCTGGAAGTGCGACTGCAGCTCAGGTGTTGGTGTGAGTTGAGACAGGACCCCTCCAAGTGCTCTTCGCTCTTCGTATGCCGAAGCGAAGGCATCATCTTAGGTATCAAGGGTGAGGTGTATATATCAGGAATTTCGACTACTTCTACGTAAATGATATACGGGGTCTTGTCCTTTGAGTTGAGAACAGCGGTTTTTTCCTCGGTAATGCGAACAACATGATGCGGAACATCAGAGTAGAGGGGGAGCCAGACTCTTGCAGGCAGGTTCTTGTTGATTAAGTTTAGGGACATTCGCAACGCTGAAGTTTTCTCCGCTTTGGAAGGCCACGAAGTGAGATTTTTACCCACGTTCATCAACGCCTTCATAAACTCTTTCTGGGGCGCTGTTTTTGGAGCTCCACAGCTGCATAACGTCCTCTGGCCAAGAAGGCCATTTACTTGTCCTCGCACAGTCTCGAAACAGGTACATCCGTTATCAAAGGCGTGTCCTGAGGTTAAGTCACCGAGGCACAGTTTTGCGGGCGTAGTAGTAAGTGTTTGTGTCGTATAGGGCGGTTGCTGGTACATACGTTGGGAGATACTTAGTGTGTGGAGCGACCGAGAGTCGGTAAGCAACACAGTGGCATCAGATTGTGAGCGGTGGTGAGTCTTCTTAGCGAAGGCGACTATCGATCTGGGCTCCCCGACGGCTCCGGTGCCTGTTGACTTGACGTTGTTCTGCGCCTGTTTTTGCTCCTTTTTAGAGCATATTTCCTTCATAAGCGCCAATTTGGATTTTCGGGAGCTGGTGTGCGAGTTCCCCAGCGAGTCTACATGATAGTTGTAGGCCTCTAAGAGCCAAAGACACTTTAGGGAAAAATCTACGGACTTGCGACATCGAATCGTCAAATACGGATCCAGAACTTCAGCTAGTTCATCCATCTGAATATACATAACAATAAGTTGCGGTATGTACAAATCGACTTCCTGGTCCGGAAAACTAAAGATTTTATTGCCGATAAAGCTGAGCACTCCTGGTTCCTTGGAGTAAAAGAGGTAATGCACAGCGAAATGTATGTTAAAGACTGGCGACTCAAAAAAACGCAAAAGGCCGCTTTGACCTTTCTCTGGCCTCTGTAGCAAATCCGACACTGGAACTCGTTCACTAATAAAGTACTTTACAACGCCGGGAACAGGGAGTTTTAGTTTATGTAGCGAGTTAATTGAGGAACATTTCGCCAGTGTTCCATCACTGGTTTCACTATCTGCTCCAGGGAGGCGCAAATTGAGCGTCCGCTCATTTACTTTGGACTCATCAGATGAACTAGAAAGCTGTTGGAGCTTTGAATCTATTGACACCGCTTGTGGTTCTGTTGGCGTGGCGACGGGCGTATTGGCAGCTGAACTCGCTGCAGCCGCTGCCGCGGCAGCGGCAGCTTTTTTGCTAGAGCTCGACGTCAGCAAACTGAAAAATTCCTTTTTTTTTGATATGTCTGTGGGCGACTTCACCTGGTCTTGTGGCGAAATACTTCCTCCACTTACTAAGGCAACTGCCGGAAAGTGATCGGGCTGCTCCTTCTGCTTAGCAGCGTTCTTCTTCTCATGATTTTCAATAATGCTTTGCGCTGTGCGAAAAATGGCATTCTTGGTGGCACCAAAGAAATTCTTGAATAACACTTGGTCGTTCTTAGTACTCTCTAGTGGTGTAGGTGTTGGTGTGGCCGATGGCGTGGCTGGCGTCGTTGATGCAGAATTTGATGTTGCCAGTGAATCCGCATTCACGTAGTGACCTTGGTTAATTTCCGTATCGTCCAGCACCGGTTCGATTTTACTTGGAGCTGCACCAAGTTCAACATTGATGGCTGCTTGGGACATGTTCATAACACGGTAGCGTGTTCGCGCATCGACGCCAACATCCACAATTGGATTTGATTCGCCTAGACTTGCATTCTTCATAGACTGCTGCTGCTGTTGGAGAGACTTCTGTTTTCGAGATGGACGCAGAGTTCGAAAATCCATTTCGGAGGAAGCGGCTTGTGGGGAATAGAAGCAAAGATGTTCCGGTTGCGTTATGTGGTACTCCTCGTCAATAGAAGTTGTCTCCATTAGATCAACGCACTGCTCTGCTTCGGCATCAGCATCGGGGTCCGCATCCATTTCACCCGAATCGAGCGATTCATGTGAGTGGTGGCATATACGATTAAGAGATATTTGGTCCGACTCTGACCCACAGATGATACCTGCAGGTTGGATTAGTGTAAAAAGGAGAGGTTTCTCACATGATTATACAGAAAAGCAAAAGGCACGATTGATCGGCCGAAAGTTTGCTAACACTTACCAGAGTCATCTGACCCGAGACTAGTGAGATCTTCTCGCTTTTTGCTTCCAGCGCTGCTGCAGCTGTTGTTGCTACTACCGCCGTTGACCGCCCCGCTGACAACAGTGGCCATAGCCTCCTGCCCGTTGGCCGCAACTAAGTCGTTAGACTTTGGTCGCACTCGCAGCGTTGGGCAAGTTTCCACTGCAATGCATGTATAACTAAGAGGTTGTTATTAGGCAAAAGAGGTCGATCTTACCGATGGAACTGGTACGGCAAGCATTTGGCAAGCAAATCGATTGATGTTGCTTCGGTACTGCATGTGTGTTCCCTTTATTCACTGTTTTCGTGGGTGTGATCGCCGTCGAAGTAGCTACAGACATCAAGGCCACAGTGGACGATCCTGGGGGGGACAAAGCTGCCGTTACACTCGCCGCTGTCGTGGCAATTTTCGAGCACATATTTGCACCGAGAATGGACGGGGAGCAGAACGTGTTCTCGCTCTCGGCATTTGGTGATGAGACTTCGACCTAAACACGAGATAACAGACTTTTGTAGATCATTTTATGGATACGGGAGCTGGGACCTGGGAAAGATCTTTCAGATCAGTCTTTCTTTCAGTTTACAGTTGGCAGGGTCTAAAGCGGCTCTTCAGCTGATCTCGATAAAAAAATACACAAATATTTAGCACTGTGTTAAATGCAAAAGTGAATAATAACGCCAGCAACGCAATGATAAAAATATATATTAATAGTTCGTCTCACATAGCCACATACCTAGAGACCTAAAAAACTGTAAAGGTTTTACTGATTTCGCTGCGGGTGTTGCTTGTTTTTGTTCATTATAGCATCCGCGCCCAACAAGACTAACACGATGCAGGTAGGCCCTTGGGTGCGCGGAAGAGCTATTTAGGATATAGGACTCACCTCCGGAATGCGTTGCAGGGCACTGTCGAGACTGCGATTGCGGTGATGCTGTGTGTGATTGATCCGATTATTGGTAACCTGCGAAAGGGGGGGCAGTAGTATTCCCATGGATCTGAAAGAACAGAGAACTCTGATCAAAATCTGAAAAAATCAATGCACTTTTACGATAAAACAGTATAGATTGGAAATGCTAAAACACTCAGGCAGTCACTCACGATGAAAACTCATTCGTACACTACGTCGCAGTTATCATATCGCTCAGATCAATTTTGTTTGACGGTAAAACCTATCTAGGCAGCAATTTCCTTTAAATTAAATTAGCAGTATCCGTGTTTGCAAAATGCAAACGTCTGAGAACAATGCGCGTAAAACATGAAAAAAGCCACAAAACACAGGGAATCGGATATAGATTATGGTGTCTGAGAGACAAGAAACAGAGGCGTAGGAAAAATGCGAGTGCGAGTGCTCTGCCTACAATGGCTGACTAATCGAGTAGCTTTCGGGTCTTTGTTGTCAGCTGGTTGGTGCCTAAGCTTGCGGGTTTGAGCCAAAGCTCGCGACGAGTCCAAGTACGAGGCGTTGAAACGATGACGTAGTCGAAAACCCGAACGACTCGCCGAAACTTTGGAGAGTGCGATGTGAGGGTGCATATAAAAGTCGTTTTCACAGTTATCTTAGGTATTTGCCAGAAATTGTTATCTCTGGAAACACACCTATTACGCGAACAGCAATCAGGCAGGGCGGTAAGCGCGAAAATACGATAACCGATCCGCCTTGATATACGCTCATGATTTTTAAAGACTCTATATCGACCTTCGGCGGGAAAATAGGTGCGCTTTTTCCGTCATCTCACTTGTACTACGGGTTCAGCAAACTCTGGTAGAACAAAGCTGCAACAGACAACCAATGGATTATCTCTTCAAACCAGATGAGTCCAACTTAAGTTGCGTAAGTACAGAGAAGTTTTGGTTCTGATAGGCATCGATGTTATTTCTCGTTCTCCTATCTCCCGGCAATGACCACATCGCGGACAGCAAGTCGAGCATATGGATGTAATTGTAGTGTAGTGTATCCGTCTTTACGATTCCATACACTCGATTGATGTGCAGGCGAGTACCAAGCTTACCAAGTCCCATTAGTTGACTCGCTGTGCCGGTTCCGGGGCCACCACCCTTTATGGGATTGGCCCGCATATTACTCCCAGATTAATGCTCGCTGTTTAGGTAGTCGGATTTCAGAAAAAGCCTTTAACACTCGTTAATCAACATATTCCCACGACTAAGAGATGTCAAAAGACAGTCTATGTTTCTTGGTGGAAACCAAGGTGGCTGCATAAAAGTTTATCGTTGCAAAGAAAATGTAATAATAAATGATGCTGACTAAAGTGGAAAACTATGGAAATTAAACATTAGCGGTACAAGGCGGTTTTCGTGTGGCTGGTCTAGCTGCACATTCGTATACGTTGGAACGACCTCATCAAAGACAGGGTGTGGCATATCATCTCAAGGCGCAACTGGTATACATACAAACAGTATTGCAGCATGCAACAAGCCCTTTTACTGTTAATGCTGGTTTGCATAATGCGTAACCAATGTTTTACTTAAAGCTCTATTAAATTGTCTGTGCTATTTCAGATTAACTGTCATATTTGTCTTCTAAAGAGCAGGCTAAGAGAAGCCAATGATCCATCGTCGGACAATTTGTTAGAGAAGTAAAACTACACTTACCTAAAATCCAAACTGAAATTTCTTTGGTGCGTGGAAATTCTTTTTGGGGCATTCGTAGCACATTCCGCAGCGGTAACTGACGCTCCGTCGGCCGACTGAGCCACACTGAGATTGGGCCGGCCGTGCACGGAGGGCATGGATTGGTTGAACACGCGACTAAGACTGAGACGAGGCTTGGAGTAGCGCGAGTGCTTGGGCGTACTGGCCGCGGAGCTGGCTCCCGGCAGGCCCAGGGCCGGAGTCATCTGGCGCCCAATGGGTAAAGTGACCGGGTCGACCATTAAAAAGGCGGGCATGTTATTTCCGTTTTCGTTGCCCTGCTCTAAGCCTAGTGAGGAATGCGTGGTGGCGTAGGGCGAATTCGGTTCGCAGGTTATGGTAAACGACTGGCTGTGCGGGCTACTAATTCCGCAGGTGGTGGGCGAGGTTCTCCGCTGACTCATGATGGGACTTTGCTGGCTGACCGAAGAGGATACGGAGACAGAGTTACCCTCCGATACCGATGGGCTGTTAACAACAGTACTGTTGCTGTGTTCGCTGGAGCTGCTGTTGCTGGTGTAGGCAGCATTTGAATGCTCAGAGATGTCCTCGTCGTCCGTAGTCGCAGATTGCTGTGAACAAATCCAGGTGTCACCTAGGTCCTGGATAGCACTATCGCCCATTTTATTAAAATCGGTCAGCGCTTCGGTACTGGACAATCGTACCGTTGCAGGCAGACAGTGGTCTACTACATCTACTCCGGCAGCCATTGTGGTCAGTGCTGCCGCTGAGCAGACCTTGCCGGCTGAATTGTCCTCCGTGACAACCACGACGGGGGAAAGCAGCTTGTTAGCAGTCTCGATCTCACGTATGTGCCGAAGGTACTGATAACCACTGCTCTGAACCACAGGAATTTTCTTGGCCACGCCGCCACCCATGGTGGCAATGCTGATCCCCACGTTGACGAGTGCTCCGCCTTGATTCTGTTTGGTGTCACCGAGGGCGTTCCCACTTGGCGCACCCGTGGGCGAATTGGAGCTCGCTACGCTGTTCCTTTTACCCTTAAATGCAGATATGACGGAGTTCATTTTGATTTCTATGCGTGGTGACCGGTCCAAAGGGTTTAATTTTGATTTTCGATTGCTAAATGGACATAAATGGTTGAACAAGCAGCTTGGTGTGGCACAACCGTGGAATTGCCTTTGTGCTCCATTGCCTTGCTAAGGGCTCTCAAATAAAGTTTAGTTCTGAGTCATGGGTCGACTTAAATATCCGCCCTGTCGGCTTTGCTTAGTGGCACGAAGCGTGTAGTTCTCATATCACCTCGCCTTTGGTTATTGCCATAGCTGCAGGCTCTACTTGCATGTCAAAGCGCTGGAAAGATAATCAAAAATTGGTGTCAATTAGTAATTTTTAATCAATCGCTTGCCGATTAAATTATACTCAGGCTCTTGCTTTTACATTCATTTATATCTTTTGCTGCGTTTGAGCAAAGGATAAACTTTTCTTGTCAATTCTTTACACGGCCAAATGCTTTGATTTATGTTGTCTAAAACTCATAAATACTTAGACTCCCGCATACAAAAATAAATGAAAAATTAAATTAAATATATAGTTATCTATATGGTACCACAAGGGCAATGAAGTACCTGTTAGATGGACCAATTTGATAAGTAAAATTTATCTAGGGGGTAGGCCTGATATTCTCTTTGCTCACTTTTTTTAAGCTTGTGCGTTATTTTTAAACGGAGCAACATCCGCATAGCTGACAGACACTCCTAGCTCGATGAACGAAAGCCATAATAGGGATAATCGAGTCTGTCACAAAGACAACATAGAATTCGTAAAATGACTTACAATATAATATAAAACTACCTTCCAATTTAACCAAATTTCCCAGCTTCTCATATCAGAAGCGCAGGCGCAGGGCGTGGTCGCCGGCTGGTATAAAAAAACTAGAAGGAAGATATCCGTTGCTCAGCTAACCAATATCAAAATAATTTTAACATTCTCTTTGCTATATCCTTGTGGTTAAATACAACTTACTACTCGTGACAACGCAGTTGAGTTCAGACATACATATTTACGCAGTTTCGCTGCTGCTAGTTTTTTCGAACTTTGCTATCAAGGTCAGCCTAATCAAAGTGGGCACGACAGTTCATACACATGCTGGCTTGTACTTAGTTACATAAATTAAAAAAAAACAAAAAAATATGTTCGAAATGCTTTTATAGGAAATCCGCTCGTAACCGTGTCAAAAATATCAGGGAGCTATATTGACTCGAAATAACTAGTTCAACAGGGTTCAAATCTGTTCATCAACCGCCAAGGTAAACAAGCGCCAAATCGGGCAGACTTCAAAATAGTTGCATGTGAGACACTCACTCAAATAGTTTTTCCCAAAGATAAAAAACAGCTGGTAGACAAATTAGTTAGTTGCTAGCTTAGGTCAGTTTGAATATTGTAAGTGACTGTTTCTAGCTATTAGTGCCATTAAGCAGTAGAAGCTTTCCCACGTTGCAGCTAAAACGTCGAGCTCTAAAAAGCCAGATTGAGAAAATTTTATTAAATACTTGATTTTATGTATAATAAATAAGTAAATCCTATTAGTTATATTTTTTATATTAGAGAGACGTAGCTGTGAAAGTGCCAAGCCCATGGTATTTTGCTTTAGACAGAAAACTTGAATTTTATATTACAAATTTAAAAGTTTCAAACAAATCTTTTAACGTGCTAAGATTCAACCGTTAAAAAAAAAATTATTCCAGCTTCATGAAGTTTCAAAGTAGCGGCAGAAGCAAAAATATATTATGAACGGAATTGTCACACGCCATTAACTTTTTGATGCACTAAGGAGCGGACAGCAAAACAGAGAAAATGAGGAAAAGGCAAATGAGCGTTTCTCATCTTTGGACGAGGGAAAGTTTCTATATATAACGATTGGGTGACTTAGGTGCGTAATAATAATTAACAAAAATTCTGCATTCAAAGAAAGTGATTCCTCGCATTAATATGGTTCACCTTATCGTGAAACTTGGGGCTTACAATAAAAAGGGAGGAAAATTTTAACTACCAAAATCAAAAATGCAAAAATAAATTCGTTAGCCGAACGATTCTGTTCATGTCCTTTATATATAATTATGTGCTTAAAAAACACTTTATTTGCGTCTCAGAATGCGTGCATGCACTGCACGAACTTTGTTCGGGCGGATGCAAAATGAGCCTTATCAGTGACTCTTGAAAGCACATCCCATTCAGTTGGGCATAAATAAATGACCGCTGCTATTGAGGGCGAAACAAAGCAGGGAGACTGAGAACAGAAATCAGGAAGAATTTATAGGCGCGGCGAGAAGATAATGATTTCGTTTTAAGTGTAAGCAACCGTTGAAATCTTAAAGATGAGACTGATATTTTGTCACTTTCGCTTTCTTTTTGTTGATCGGATTTTCTTTTGAGTAACTGTTTCAGAAAAAAGTCACTTGCATAGGAACATCCAAGTAACCTTGAGTTTTCCCAAATTCTCGACATCGATAGTGACTATACAGATTATTTTTCTATTTTGATTATTAAAATGTGATTGGACAAAGACCCGGTTTCTTCAGTTAATCCAAGACATTCTCTATGACGCGGCCACGTCCGAAAATGATCCGCGCTGCAGGAGTCGTTGACGACCCAAGCCGAGTGACCCCACTGCCCTACCTTAACTTCCTCCGTTACCTTAAGCACAAATTCTTTCAAAGATCCAATCTGTGTCGTTTACTCCAGGTGGGTCTTGTACATTGGAACTCATTGAGCGATGCCAAGAAGAAGTTATTTGAGCCAGAAGTAAGAATATAATTCAGTTAAAATCTTCCGCTCATTTCCCTCATGCTATGCTCCCCAGCGCATCTTGGCCCGAGTGATTCGAAGGCGACGTCGTCGATTGTTACGCCGCAGTCAACATGGGCAGAAATGTCGTGCTACAGTGAGACGCCCAATCTACGACAAACGCCCTCCGCCAAGACGCCCCAGACCGAAGTAGACAGTGAAGTTAGTGCCCTGTTCGATCTGACAGCTTAGAAGTTGCTACGTTTGTTCCCCTGAAGCTCAACCAAGACACTCTTTCAAAATCGAAGAGTTCCTAACAGCTTTTCATTATTTCCAGACTATAAGCCCTCCTCTTCCGGTGGTTCGGTGACCTAGTAACACCGACAAGCTCTACAGGTCATTAGCTGGCGCTGCCAACATCGGTATCGTGAAGAGTTCAACTACTTAGCATTTGTCGGCCCTCGTCAACTAACTTGCTTTGACATATTGGCGCCCGCAAGTTAATATTGAGTTGCGTAAATAAATTTCTGTTGCGTGAATTGATGTTAAAAAAAATTAATGACAAATATTTTTTAATCACTTTCACTTTTTAGACTACTTTCCAACTCTTCACGTTTCTTTCTGAAAAAAAAAGCAAGAAGGGATGTCTTCCTTTGAATTGGGTAGGGCGCCAAAACTTTTAATAATTTATTTTAATAATTTAACTGCAATACAGTAAGAAAAAACGCCATCGTAACAGCTTTTGCTGACTTGTCACTCTGTCAATACAATTTTATAGCATTTGAATTCCGCATAACCAAAGAAGCCGCGAAAGTAAATTGATCCTCAACTAGTTTTTAACTTTAGTTTACGCTGACAAAACGAATCCGAAATTTTTTTTTGCGTTTTTACTGATCGGAAATATATCCAAACTGGTTGCCGTTCGCTCTAAACGAATTCCCGTTTTGGTTGTTTCCACTCGAACCTCACTTCTTGCCATGGTTAACTAACTCAACCATTTGGCAAGCGTCCGCCAGCGCAACCTGCGGAAGCGGGCATGCGGCAGGTAAATTGACGGCAGCGCTTATGTCACTTATCGCCTCTCAAACGAGTAATTACACCACAATTTATATTCCCCGCAACTCCTTTTTCCCCCTTTAAGAGCAACTCCCGTGGAAAGATCGAAACGAAACCAGAGTCCCCAAGTCAAGTCAACTTGCATTCACCCGGCCTGGTGTTCTGCGGCAAGTTCACCGACCTAAGGACATTTAAGTCTTGTCGATCTAAATATTACCGATAGAAATTGTGGCCAACTTACCTTCCCAACAAGCCAAAAATGGCATAATTTGCGGAAGTGCACCTACAGCCAGCCATGCCTAAATGCCAGATTTCCGTGTCTGTATTTACAAGCAATTTTTATTCCCATCCTGCAATGATGCCACTACAATTCTATTGATCTTAATGTTTACTTGCAAGTAAAGTCAGATTAAAATAGAGCCTAAAAATACCGGAAGGAAGACCGGACCTGTATGCACTCAATGGTGGAATGTTGATTAATGCTTTATCATGCGCTGATAATGCTATTTATTTCATTGAATATATTAAAGACAAGAAATACTCACAGTATATTGGTATCGAGACAGCTGTGTAGAAGGGATGTATATTCCATTAGGTATTAAATATTCGATGCCAATCAGCGTAGTTAAGTAGTGTTTGCCACTTTCACATGTGGATTTTCGCATTGAAACTCACAAGCAGCGGCGAGTAGAAATTCCTATTATTATCACCACGATTCACACAGTCACGGACGCTGGAGCAGGTGAAAACGAGGAGGCGCCACAGCGACACCTTATTGTTGCTGTCTTGTTAGGCCCGCACTCCGGTTTGCCTTATGTGTTTCGAGGTGCGGGTACAGGGTATGACTTATGCCCAGCAATAAACAATTGAATTTTATAGTTGCACAAGCACTAACACAGGCACAACCAAAAACTACAGCCACCACTACTAGAGCGGACGCGACTTGCAAAATCTCGTTTTGCTTGTATGCGTATGTTTGAGAGCTACTCTGCATGTGTGTGCGTTCAAAAATTCACTCGACGATAAATCACGATTCAACGACACTTGTGTCAATATTTTTCCCAGCACATTTTATTTCCAGCCTTAAAAGGATTAATTCTCAAATATAAATATATAATTACTTTTACATGCGCGTTTTGACGGAGGAGCAAGACACAGACACAGCGACGTCAGACTTACACACACAAAAGAACAAAAAGAGACGCGCCCATAGTGTGTATGCATTATCAATTCGTATACTGTGTATACGGATGAAGCAACGCGTACTTCTTTTGCGTGTGCCTACACACTTAAAACGCACTGCCACCGTACTGGAAAATTCGGTTTTCCGTACTTAATTCCTTTGTATTTCACTACAAAAACAAATTACGCGACCATCGAGCGTCTGCACGTCCAATTTTTTTTTGGAATGATGCGTTGCTGAGCGAGTTTATGGGCACAAGGCGAAACCGTGAGAAATCACTAACGCGTTTGAAAGCATTTGCTCTCTGCGGTCACACTGACCAACGTTAGTTTTAATATAAGTGTAAATATATTATAAGGCTTAGAAATCTAAGTTACAAGTTTTCTTTTATTGGTTTTTCGTTTGTGTAAAAAGAAACTATAAGTAAGTTTGCTTAGAGACAGTATATAATTTGTTGTTTTCCCTTTTTAAATGTTAAATATTTCTCATTTTTTTGTAATCGAACGGATCTAACCATTGGCCTGCAAAAGGCGGGCAACTCTTAGTCAAATATTTATAAATATTTTGTGTATGCCTTATAAAGATTTTGAATTTAATTTTTACCTTTTATTTCCGTATTTTGCCAACCAATGCAACATAAATCCAAAACGTGCGGACCTAAGAACATAAAAAGATATCGTTCAACAAAAAACGTTTATCTTTAATATTTGTTATAAATTATCTTTGTAAATACTACGAAAGTTTTTAGGATATTTTCTTATATTTCATTTTTCTTTTATTACGTTTTAAAGCCATTTTTAGCCACATTCTTCAAGTTTTGTCAAAATTGGATTACTACATTTCATTACCTTACGCTTTTTTGAATTATTACAAAAGTTTAACAACAGTCATGATTGCCAGAGAAATACATATGTATTTATATATGTATATACATATGTATATCCTACTCTCAAGCTTTAGCATTCCAACTTGTTAGCTGCAGACTTCAGACCCTGTGACGCTTTTCTTTCGATTGCATCTGGAGGACGGCATAAATTGAATAATGCGTTTTTAAGTGACGCTTAGACGCATTCCTTAGCAGATTGTGCAGTCGTCGGAGAGGTCCAAATTAAACACTACTGAAAAACATTTTCAGTTCTTTGACTTTTTACATACTCACAGATAAAGATCTCCAGGCGTAAATTAGACCCATCAGACCGGACAGTCACAGTCGGTCTTTGAGAGTTCAACAATCTCTAAATTGGTCACAGCAAGTCGATCTAAATTACTCTGCATGCAATTGGACCTTCCTTTACTGACTTGGATTGGCTTTCCTCAAATATTATCGTTCTTACATACCTCAAAAGAAACTAAGTCCATCTTACTTGTATCTCAATTAATACTTGACCTTAAGCAAACCTTGTGGGCGAAACAGTGTAATGGAGTGCAATGTTTAACCTTTTTTAATGTAAGAAGAGAGACAGTCTGAAGTGAATAACTTTAAAATCGGTAATGTTTTTACACACAGAATTTCAATGATCGTGAAACACATTTTACACATTCCAAGTGCTTTTCTGAGGTAAGCAAATGATTTTTAATTGTAAGCATGAACGCCATTGCCTTTCATGGATATGAACCCGCATCTTTGACAGGTCAATAGTAGCGTCAAATGCAGGCACCAGCAGCACGCTTCAAGTAGCTGCAAAGTGTCAAAGTAATGCATCTGAAAAACAAACAAAAATTGTTGTCAGAGGCAATTGAATGAACATCTGCCTTCCTCTCCGAATTTTAATTCAAAGTCTGATCGAATCCAGCGACTATGTACGTATTTCTAAGCAAATACTTAAAACTATCTTAGGATACAAATGCGGGAACCAAAATCGAATCTATTTTTAACACCCCTTGAACTGCGGACATGGAGTGGTAGTTAAGCGCATGGGAGTTCCTGAGCTACGCTACATTTCTTCCGTCACATTCGCTCCGCTCAGTAGTTTACATTACAACGACGATGTACTGTAGATCACCAGAACATACAGTAAAAACTGGTCCATGGGGAATCCCATGCTACTACCATATGTGTCTCAGATTATTTTTGGATGCACACTAAATGCCATCGAAAGGGGAGGTTCCGAAGTTCCGAGTAAATTCAATTTTAGGCTCAAATTTGTGTTACATTTTCTTGTCGCTTTATTTTTTACTTTTGGTTCTCCTAATTTGACGATGATCATATGGTCACCCAAGACCTTATTTCAAATGATTTTGTATTTTTATAAAAACACTTTTTAAATTTTAATGACATTCAGAGGTCACAAATATTTTAGGCGTTTCATTTGACGGATGTAATAAATCAGCAAAATGGCCAAACAAACAAATATCCCTGTGGATGATAAAAAGTAAATTTGCGATTAAATTATTTTAAAATAAATAAACAGTCACAACAATTTTACATTTAACAGTATATTAGAAAATATTTTTAAACAGCATAAGTCTATTTTCTTTTAGATTGTATTAAAAATTTATATAATAAAAATGCAATTCTTACTAGCCTTTTTAAAACCCCTCATTTCCGTTTCTTAGATCCTGCAGATGAATGAACTTTTGGACGCTGGTTTTTTCGCATACTACGTTTTCGGTTCTCATTCTTTCGTTCCGCGTTGTCTTCGTTACGCTTTTTAATAAACTCCAGTCGCATGCGCGATTTAACAATCTGCTCCGGCCGCCGCATCTCCTTGTCGTTTCCGCTAAGACGTTTCTTAAGTTCAAGCTTAACGTTGTGTCGCGCATGGCGACTGACTGGGTAACGCTGCGCATGGCTCAGTGGCTTAGCCTTATCGTCATCGCTACCTATATTTTCACGCTGCAGCTGGTCCTCAATCTTTGATTTTTCTTTCCATTCATTGTAGCGTCCAGTTTTAAAGGAGGCAGGAATCCATGCTCCAGACTCGGTTCGAATTTTATTGGCTCGAGGATCCTGCACTGAGACCATTTTCTTCTTGATCCGGTCCCACTTTTTTAGACCAGGCTTGTGTTTCACATCTTGTGATGGATTCCGGTCTGAAACTGAAAACTCTGCATTTTGGGCTTGTCTTTCAAATGTGTTGATGGCGAGGCCATCCTCAGTGTGCTTGTCCGCTGACTGGTACGGCACAAAGTGCTCATTGTCTTTACTGTTAATTTTTCGCCTTTTTTTCTGCTTATCTTTGTAAAGTGCGTCCATGTTTTGAAGCCTCTTGGGTGCAAGGACTTTGTTGAATGTTTTGCTAATAGCTTCCTCGTCAGCGGTAAACATTTGGTCTGAACTTGGTTTTTGCGCATCGGCTTTTTTCTTTGCCTCGTTGATATCCTCGTCTGCGCGCTGCTGCCTAAACTTTTGAATTACTTCTGAGTGCTGGTTACGTTTTTCTTTCATTACAATAAATTGAGTTGATTTTTGTGTGGTGTTAAGTTCAAAAACGGTCTACAATTAAATAATCTATTAGAAGTGTTAAAACTTTGATAGCTGTGATAAACGTACACCACCTGGTCGGAAATTTCTCATTTTGACCAGTATGTCGTGCTTCTCCTCCTGCAATACGCGTTCAGCTGCAGCCACCTTTGCTTGCGACTCTTCAGATTGCCCATTAACTTTGGCAGCTTGGGCTAGGACAGGAGCAGCTGTGAAGAAATCCTCCAACGGCTTGAGCGCAAAGAACTTAATTTTTTTTACGCGCGCATTGGCATCAGTGGATGCTACAGGTCGGGAACTTAGGTACTTTTTGTAAGCGTTTTCGCTGGTGCGCAATACTCCTGCCTGCAATATTTAATAATTTTCAATATAACGCCAGTAGGCTAAAATCCATACTTACAATATTGTGGCTCTTCTTTATATCTGTCACTGTTAAATGTTCTTCCTCGAGCAAATCTTGCGGAATGGTACCCAATGCCGAGCTATCGTTTATATTGAAAGGCCTGTTTAAGAACAAGTGCAAGTCCAGTAGATGGGCTGTGTCGTCTGTTGAAAATATAGAGTAAGCGGTTCCTGTGCGACCAGCCCGAGCGCACCGACCCACCCGATGCACAAAAAGCTTTGGCTTTCCCGGAAAGTGCAAATTGACCACAAAATCTAGACTCGGAATGTCTATTCCACGCGCTGCCACGTCTGTAACAATTAATACGGACACCTTCTTGTTTACAAACTTAGCGGTGTTGATTTTGCGAGCAGCCGGGTCCAAACTCGAATAGACCGAGGAATTAGAAATGCCAGCCTCTGTGAGGATGTACGAAAGCAGTTCCACGTGGTGCTGCGTACCAACAAACACCACGGTCTGAGACTCCGCCGGTATCACATATTTAAGAAGAACCACTAGAGCTGTGTAACGATCGTCCGGTCGGCAGTAAAGAAATTTTAGAGCCAGTGCATCCGGAAGCTTTGACTCAACGTCCAAGCGAATAAGAACTGGATCGTTTAGCCCAGCGCGTGCAAAATCCACTAAAAGCTTTGGAAGGGTTGCTGAAAACATGACCATCTGCCGAGAAGACGGCAATCTGTGCAGAGTTTCGTTTAGCTGCTCGCCAAAGCCCATCTCAAACAGTCGATCGGCTTCATCAAACACAACATACTCTGAAAGATAAAAATCGTTAGTCCTTGTAATGTCTTTTACCGTTCTCACCATACCTATGGAATTGAGTTTTAAGTCCATTTCTACACATAAATGTAGAAATCGACCTGGTGTTGCGACAATAACATCTGGGCATGTATGTATGGCCGAGAACTGGGAGTCCATGGAGTCGCCTCCTAGCACTAGAATAGTCTTTAGCTCCATAAAGCGGCCCAGCTCCTTAATAAACTTGTACGTCTGCACAGCTAGCTCTCGCGTAGGGGACAGGATCAGGGCACGCGCACCCTTGGTTGGCTCGCGCCTCTGCAGCTTTTCAAAAAGTGGAATCAGAAAGCAGGCGGTCTTACCGGAGCCTGTCTTGGCCATGGCCACCACATCGCGTCCTTCGAGGATAAGGGGAATCGTCTTTCGCTGAATAGGAGTCGGTACCTTGTATCCACGCTTAGTGATGCCCTTGATCAACTCGAAACCCAAACCCATAGATTGGAAGCCACCGCTTTTCTTAGCCTTTGGTTTACTGATAATGTCATCGCTTCGTCCGCCATCGTTGTCCAGCGACGGGAACCCGGGCACTTCAATACTTTGCTTCTTCCGCTAACAACTTTTATCAATATACATCCAAAGCAGTTTTAACTTTCCTTACCATTTTTTTGTTTAGACTAAACAAAGCACACGTGCAAAATTCAATACCGTTTAATAATATCGATGTTTCTCGAAACACGGGTGTACCGTATTTTCCTTTCAACTATCGATTACTTTTTCCTTTAAAATTTACTAACGCCATCGTTTTCGGCCTTTTTTTTGTTAAAGTGGTTTGTTTATAACGCTTTTTTATAGTTGTACAAATTTAAATCAAACAAATTATTTAGAACCCGTTTTAGATTTGTAAATAACTATATCAAATGATTTATTTATAGCTCTTTTCACGTTTTTAATTTTTTTTATTAAAATGGGTACCTAATAACCGACTAAAAATGCAATTTAAAGGTAAATAAGTAACTATCAACAATATAAATGTGTTGCAGTTATTTTTCCCATTTATGTATGTTAATACGGTTCTGATATAAAATAGTATGAAATTCTTCGTTTACTGAACGATGAAAAAATGCACTTAACGGTATATGGTTACCTTTTCTTAAAACCTACCTTAACATATTTACAATAAGCCTATCTTAGAACTAGCTAAATGTCATCCCCGAAATCCATGTCCGCCTCCGATTCTCGAACAAGCACCATTTGCTCTAGACGGTCTATGCGCCTAAGCATCTCCTCCTTTTCCCGCTGAAAAGAGTCTGCTCGCCGACGTAATTCTTCGTTTTGCCGTCGGAGCTCGTGCAGCTGACGACAAATTTCGGAAGACGATAGCAACGGCATTACGTGTGGAGATTTCGCCGTCGAAAGCTTTGTGGCATTGACAAATGGTTTGCTGGAAGCCACGCCGTTGTTCGTTGTCCCCTGTCCAGATCCTGCCGGTAGTGAAGGCCGCAGCTGTATCGTCTGCACGGTACCCACCTGACCCCTGAGCGTACTACTGGATGGGAGATTGTTTGCTGGCAGTGTAGAATGGACCACGGATTCGTTTAATCCATGCGACTCCTCCACTATGGTGGTTGGCTCTAAAGGTTTTTGCAATGATGGGAGCTTTAACTAAAAAAAAGAGAAGATGAAAGCAGTTTTTGAGATTTATCTGATTTTCTGCGGCTTAAACCAGAAAAATATTCAAAGAAAGTTAATTAAATTAGTCAGCTATGTGTACAATTTCCACAAACCTGACGAGCCTGCAGCTGGCGCATGTTGACTAGCTTTGTGCCATCGGGAAGCTGACGTACCATTCCAGAACTATTGTAAGGTATAATATTTGGTAAATACTCAACAAAAAATTAAAATCTACGTACCTTGCTAACGATGCTGGAATTTTCTGCAGAGACTTTGTCTGACTGTCCGACCCGCAGAGCTTCTTGAAATCAGTCAACGAGATTATACGTATATTCTGCTCATAAATAAAATGTTTTATGAGAATGTGTTTGGAAAATAATCAAGAATGTTTACCTTGTTCTTGGTAACCCCTGCCGGTGACGGAATGTCTTTTTGCTTAATGACATTCATGCGAATCTTCTGAGGAGAAGAGTTATTAACATTAGTGCGGAGTGCTACTACCGGCGACCTGGCATTTCCATTTGAGGATTGTTTGCAGCTGATAACCGCTTTTGTTTCGTGAAGTAGCATACGTCCACCTTCAGAGAGGACGAGCTGGCGTCCATTCTGCAACGCTGTGTTTAGCATTTCTTTTGAGGCCTGATCATCGTTTTCCTGCACCATATCTGCGATTCCGTGCGTCTTCAACATATTAAGCGCAGAGTTTCCCAGCACATTGGTATCTGCAAGGACAAAATTTTCATTCTTGAACTGACAACACATTATTTTACTTACGCCCTCGCAGGTTTTCCAGAACATCCATTCGTTCTTCCACCGACATTTCCCGGTCATCAAGGCTTTTAGTAATTTCAGGCTCGTCCATAATTGAGTTGACTGCTTCACTAGTTTCTTTCTAAAAATCAATTGGATAATAAAGCATTATAAATCAGTTTTTAGTGCGGATTGGTTCTAAAATCCAAAGTAGAGTATGTTTAAAGTATTAAGAATCTAATGAAACTTGTTAGTTACAAATTATAGATTTTAAAGTACATACTTTGCTCTTATGCGTTTGCCGCTGAAGTTCAATAATCGCAGCGCAGCCAAAAACATCAAGAAATTTTACATTAGTAAGTATAAGTATAAGCCAACCCAAATGTAACTATAACTTACAATTAGCATACAACTATCATAATCAAGTGCAATCGTATTATCGTACTCACTTCCGTTTCTTCATTAAACTTTTTACTGGCCTGTGCTTGCCGCGCAGCTTCAAGTTCTGCTAGCACATCCGCCTGTTCTGTGTAGACAGCCAATGCGATCGGCGTCTTACCAAATTTGGACACCAAGGCTACATCGGCTTGGCACTTGAGCAGCAGGCGGACAATGCCCTTGTGCCTCTTCTCAACTGCCCAATGAAGCGGAGTCATACGAAGCTGGTAAAGAGAAAAATGCGTGTTACTACGACAGTCACCACTTGGAAAACTTATATTGATCCTTGCCATATCACGGGAGTTGACGCTGCACTTTAGAGCTAGCAGTAAGCTAACAACCTGTTCATGCCCGTAGTAGCAGGCTAAGTGTAGCGGAGTCCGGTCCACCTTGGTCTTGGCGTCCATGTTAATGCCTCCTTGCAGAAGGATCTCGCAGATCTCCAACTGGTTGTTCATAGCAGCAAAGTGCAGCGCCGACATACCAAGCCAGTCGGACGCGAAGGGCGCACCATGGGCCAGCGCTGTCTTCACCCCAGCCACATCGCTGTCCCTCGCACACTGAAGCAATTGCTTGCCCAAGTCCACGCATGTGGCGGGCCCCAGCAGGTTTCCCTTCTTTTGTTGGACTTCTCCTTCGGTACGCTAGAAATTAAATCATCGTTAGTGTTTCTCTGAAGCAGTGCTACCTCACAACTCACAATCTCGTAGTGCATCAGGTTCGAGTTTTCTATGGGGTAGACATGGCCATCTGCTCGGAGAGTAGCAACAACTTTGCTAGTGCCGTGACTGTGCATCTTAGCAGGAGAACACTTTCAGCAGCGATGGAAGGAATCCAGTTAGCATCACTGTAATAAGTTTATTAAGCGACGGCCAAAACTCGCTTTAAATATAATGTTTACGTTTTTAGAACTCAATTGTTATCTAAAGAAAACACAAAACCGATAGCACAATCGATATAACAATGGATAATATCGATTTATCAACATTTTTTCTAGCGTGATTTTAGCTATAGTAGCTGAAACATAAAAGCCAACTATGGTATTCACCGCCACGCAGTTTATATTATGACTAATGTTACGTTGTGTCTCTAATTTTATACCGTACGCCCTGTTGTATTTATACCCTAACGCGAATATGTTAAAACCATGGTTACTTACCTTTTCTGTTAAAAACCCGTGCGTATTAACTTTCGGGTTCTTAACACGGCTGCAGGTATTTTTAACATATTGTGATTATGGTAACACACTGTTATTTAACATTTCTGTTTAAAGTATCTACGTGTTAACATTTAGGGTTCTTGTCTTGGCTGTTGGTATTTTTAACATAATTACAAAATGTTAGCATACTATGTTATTTAACACTTCTGTTTAATAGCAGCTGCGTATTAACATTTCGGGTTCTTGTCAAGGCTGTAGGTATTTTTAACATAATAAAAGCACGCTTAGACGCTATGTTATTTAACATTTTTGTTAAAAACCCACTGTTTATTATCTTTTCAGGTTCTTGTGTCTGATGTAGGTAATTTTCCTAACTTAGCAATTGTGTTTTTTTTTCTAAAATAAAGTAAAATAAATGGCAACGATGCTAAAATGCTATTTATCAAAATAGTAAAATAAACAAAATGAAATGCAATGACATGGTTATGATATTTATAAAAGTACTTAAAAAAGACATGAATACACAACTGCATTTGGCAAAACTGCTGGCCCAATCCATATATATAATCAATGCACATGTAGATTTCTTTTTACATATTTTACTTGTTGAAAATATGTCTGTGATATTGGGAAGGATATACATATACATATGTTGTGTGTTAAATTTGAGATGGCAATAGTGCATTACGTCTGCAGGGGCACTATATCACGGTAGTCAGAACGAGACGACAACGCTACCATATTAAGCACAACGCAACAGTCCCGCCCGCTAACGCACACTCAAATAAAGCGACGCCACCTGTGGTTTGGCCAATTCCGTTGTTGTTCGTATAGTTCTTTGTGTCTGTTCTTGCCTATTGTGCTCTGTGTAACTAAAAACATTAAAACTATTAAAAAAAAAAAATGCGCATCACGCTAAGCGTCGCTTTCAATTACAAAACTTTTGTTTTTGCCGGCGTCGTTCAAAAAACACCATTTCCCGCCATTACAGCGCCGTCGTTGGTTTAGCTTATACCCCGCGTCGGCCAATATCGCAGAGTGCTGAGAGCAGAGGCGCACCCGTTATGCTTTGATCGCTTATCATTTGTGCGTTTGCTATTTTGCTTTTACTTGTGTTAAAGAATATAGAATACCTTTGCAAGAGTCCGCGGCGCGTTATTGTTAACATCGTTAAAAAACCGTTTGCCATAAAATGGTGGCGTTGTTTGTTTGGCTCGTACACATATTTATATGCATATGTTTGCATGTATGTCCGCTCGTGTGTCAATAGCCGAAGCGCCACTGCTCGCGTCGCATCCGGAGTGCAAATCAGCACTTAAACCACATCCCGCCATTCTGCAATCGTTCGCTATTTAGAGCGCTTTTTGATTCAGTGTTATTGGTAATAAATGGAATAAATCGACGCGGTAATGATAACTTGCAAGGTGCCGTTGCTTGGGTGACGTATACACATGTACAAATGCATGTATAACTATTCATTGGTGTGCTCAAAGCCTAAGCAAGTCTGCTCGCGTCGCGACCGAAGTGCAAAATAAGCCCCCGAGCCGCAGTTAGCCATTCTGCGTTCTCTTGTCATTTGGTGCGGTTGTCTGCTTGGCTCTATTGACATTGACATATACACACACATTTATAAAAAGTGCACTCGGTCACCAAAGCGCGAAGCGTCGTTTCTTGCTGAGCCGTTTGCGTTTCTAAAGCCAACCACTTGTTGCCAGCATCGTAGCTTGCATAGAATAAATGCAACCGATAATTTGCCCGCCACTTTTTAATGTTTTGTTGTTTGGTAAGGGGACTTGTTTTGTTCTCTCGTTGTGAAAAAAATAATATGGGGCGTCAGTGTTATTTTTACAACAAATTTAATCAAGTCGGAATTGTATTTCAAAAAATGTTTTGCCAGTAATTTACTACAAGTGAATGTAAATATATCAAAAATTTTAAGTTGTGTTAGATACAATTTTGAGTCAATTAGCACACGCAATAATTTAACATATTTAAATAAATCTTTACGGTTTTTTTTCGGACAAAAAAGCGCTTTGCCATATTGTCTGCACACTTCTTGTTTTTGCCGTCGCCGTATTAAAAATACGCTGTTCTACTTTTGTTTTCTTTTTCATTGTAAGATGCAGTTGTTGTAAATAAATAAATGAATGTAGTAAAATTGCGTGCCAATTAAGATTTATGTGCTTTTCAAGTATCAATATTTTATATTTTAATGCTTTTATTTATTTTCAGTGTCAAAAAACAGCAGTTTAATTGCGGTTAGCGGAAAGCACATCATCAGAGATTATTTCAATATCCCAATTTTCACTTTTCGCGGAGAAAAAGCGATTTATTAAGCTTCCTCCTATTTTAATAAAAGTGGTTCAGCTTGCTTGTTGCGGAGCGGAATAGAATTAAGTGCCACCAATATATTTTTGTATGTATTTATTTTTATTTTACAATTTTAAATCTCACTCCTTTCTTTTATTTCCAGAGTATAGGAATTGTGGTTTGTTGACGTTTAGCGGGAAGTGAAACAACTAAAATATATTTAATGGCTCAAATTTAAGTAGCCGAAAGGTTGCAATTCTTTACCAAAGGTTGCTTCTATCCGCATACAAGACGTTTGGTTTGCTCAATGCAGAATAGAGAAAAACTAAATGAAAATAAACTGCAGTATGTATACTTTGTATTTTGTTGTTTCGTAGCTTACTTCTTTGCTTTATTTTCAGTGTTTAATCAACTAACGGATTAATGAATGTTAATAGAAAGTGAAACAAAGATCACGTCAATTGTCTTATAATGAATACAGTGGAAAAAAGCTGCAATTTATCCAGACGCATTCATCTATCATTATAAAAGAGGTGCGTACACATTTTAATAAACGTATACAAGACAAGGGGTACCTTTAAGCAGTTTGTCATATTTTATTGAAACAAAAAACTAGCATGAGATTAGACCAACTTTTTCTTTCAATTATTTTCAAAAACAATTGTTTGGACATAAATGAGCATACCTAAAGTTAATAATTAAGAGTAAGCCAATAATAATTTTAAAGTTTTATTAGGCTTTTCTTTTACACCCGCCCAACTAGTGACGTTTAGCTGCCATCGTAAAAAGAAAAACTTACGTGACCTGCCAATCGTCGGTTTTTCTTTGTAAAGGGGTGTGTTTTTCGTGCCGCCTATATATACATATATACATATATATATATCTCTGTACTGCTCTCTTGTACTTTAAAGGAATAACCCCCGCTGCCGCTAGACCTAACTCTAGCGCCATTGGACATTCCTCTTTTTGGAACTTTCGTGGTTGTTGGTTGTTCTGCTTGTACATAGTTATGTATGGCATGTTTAGTGTACGGAAATTTTATAATATTGTATAATTTTTTACACGTTGTCTTTTAATACAAGCACCTCAGTGGCAACGCTCAACTTTTACCGTAAAAGAGATAATAGCGGGACATTTGTTTACATTGCTTATTTGGAGCTTTTTTTATCGTTCGTCTTTGTTTATATAGCTGTACTGCTCTCTCACCCGTAAAAAGTATACAGGTTGTTGCCACATCGCAAAAACAAAACACCGCGGCCGGGAATGTTTTTTGTTGACTGTAATTACACGCTACTCTTGTAGAAAAAGAGTACATGAATTACATATGAATTATATTTGAAATCTATGTAGTTATACTGATAATGCGGGTTATTAAGTGATGAATTGTACATAAACTACCGATTGTTTATATATTATTTGCACATTAACAAGAAACAATATTACCAGGAAAAGAAGAAAAGCTGTTCCGCGTATTTTTTTGCGACGCCAATACTGACCAACAGATGTTCGAAAAAAAACGCGAGTTTGTTTATATTTTATTTGAACATAATAAGAATCAGTGTTACCAGAAAAAAAAGGCGAATGGTATTTGGATAAAGTTCGACTCGCCGAGAGTGACCAACAGATGTGCAAAAAAAGACGCAAATCTGGACGGTTTTTTTTTTTGTGACGCCGAAGCTCAGTCCGCGGCAACGCAAATTCTTTTGGCACCAAAGAGAAATACAGATACAGAATATATAAAAAAATAATATTATCAGGAAAAAAAGACGAATGGCACAATGGTAAATGTTGCGATGCCGCCACTGACCAACAGATGTTGAAAGAAAAAGAGCAAGTCTGGAATGTTTTTATTTGTGACGACAGTGCTAAGCCCGCAGCGACGCAAATTCTTTTGGCGCCAATAGAAAAGTACGCATATAGAACTTATACTTTTTGTTGAACTTTACAAGTGTTTCACTTAAAGGAAAGAGAAGTTGTAGTTCAATTATAAATTAACTACAGGTAAATTGAAAACAATTTATACATAAAGTGTAGAGAAAAGAGGAATTAATTACATGTGAGTTATAAATAATTATATTATTGTTTATAATTGAACTATTGTACTGCAAAGGGGAAGAGCCATGCAGATTACTAATAGTTGGAGGCTGGTTAAACGTAAACTAATTATGCAATAGAGAAATGCATACATTTATATACCTAACTTATAGGTAACATGAGAGTGAATTATTTAAGTCTTTTACTTATCTAAAGAGGAATGATAGGTGAATTATGAATTGATTACAGGTGAATTATAAACAAATTATGCATAGAGTATACATAAAATATAAAGTAATTACATGTTTTTTATAAATAATTTTACTAGTTTTTCAGATTGCATTATTTATTGTAAAGGAAAAAAGCTTTGCAGTTTACGATTGGTTTCTGGTTGGTTATATGTAGAATTTTTATATAATTTACCCAAACTTATGCACATTTTTTATTTATTGTAGGTGAACTATGAATTTTGCTGTGTAAAGGAAGAGCTTTGCCGTACGCTGACTGGATTTTGATTGTTATCCGAGGAAAGGTTCCGCATCGATTGACATGCTATATAGATAATTTATGTATGTGGCTTATACATGGTAAGTACTTGATGAATACATGCTATCTAGATAATATAAAAGAAAAACATGCGTTATATTTATTTTGTTATTTAGTAACGTACACTTTACTGCATGGTTGTGCCCTTTTGATATTCAAGTACATAATTTACAATACATTTAACAACATCTCAAGGCCGACAATTTTTAAGGGTGTTGCGGGACATTACCATTTATAATACAAGGCGTTTATAAATAAGTGTCTTTGTACTGATTGACGCTGCATCATATTAGGCGTTATTATTATACGTTGCTTTGAATATATGCTGTCGTCCTAAAAGTAGGCTGTAGTTTTCTAGCACGGGCTGGTTTGTTGTAGAGGTCGCTTTATTTAGGGTTACCGTATAAATAAAAGGCGCTCTAAAACTTTCTACTCTGAAATAGGTAACGCCTTATATTTAAGTGTATTTTATAGTGCCTTCCGCTTGATACAAGAGGGAGCTAGTAAATAAAATGTGTCAAGTGTATACTGGATACTATTATTCAAATTATTTAAATAGTGAATAATGTTTATTAATACGCTTTTTTACAGGTGTAATATTCGACGCAAGCGTTACATAGGAATTGGCGATAACACAACAGACATACGGATACATAATGTTGTCTATAACAGAGGCTCTTTCCAGTATACGGCCCTTTGTAGAGAAACTGACTCACATTATTGGCGTTGTTTAACAGATAACATGAAGAAGAGGACACTAAGGGATCGCTAACCAACACATCATATGCTCCTATATATTGGACTCCTTCAAGCGGACGACGATTGATGGTATCAATGTTGTTTGATAGACGGCGCTGTAAAACTAAAGGCGCATTACACGTCCGTCTCTAGGTTACATACATGAACAAATAAGACATACCAAAGACAATTTGGATTATATTAAGGATAACGCAAATGTTATACCACACTAGTGATGGTAGAACAATAATAAGAAATGTTAATACTTAAGAATGTTAACCTAAGCAAAAATTGTAAACAAAGCAAAGATTGCACTATATAGATATTGCACTCAGAGCTGTAAGAATATGTTAAAAGTATCTTAAGTAGTCGTAAACAATGTATACACAATGTTCCGAACGATGTTATTAGTTTAAGCAACTGTTAAGCCGTATATAATGTAACACAATGAGCTTGTACACATAGTTAAGCTAGACATAAGTAACGTTCAGCCAATTGCCAGACAATGTTAAGATAATCAATGAGGTAGAAAGGAAGAAAACGACTCAAAGAAGGAAAAGGAGCCCAAGAAGACTGCCAAGGAGTCCAAGAAAGAAACCCCCAAAGCCGCAGAGCAAAACAAAAACAATGATCAGTCCACGATTGATCTCTTTACAGCCAAGAAAGCGGACACCAGCAAGAAAGAGAAGCCAGAAGTTAAGACTGCGGAGAAAGGCAAGAAGAAAGATCAAAACACCAACGATTCCAAGCCAAAAGAAGCTCCCAAAAAGGATACACCAAAAACCTTAGGGAAGCCAAAGAAGGAGGAATCAGTAGAAAAGAGCAACAAAGAAGAAAAGTCGCAGAAAGAAAAAGAAGAAGACTCACCTGCCGCCAGTAATCAAAAAGAAACAAGCAGGAAGAGTAAAGGCAAAAAACAGAAGGAGGAGGTCAACCAGAAGGAAGAAAACGACTCAAGGAAGGAAAAGGACCCCAAGAAGACTACCAAGAAGTACAAGAAAGAACCCCCTAAATATTGTTTATTAATACGCTTTTTTACAGGTTCAACATTCGACGCAAGCGTTACATAGGAATTGGCAATAACACAACAGACATACGGATACATAATGTTGTCTATAACAGAGGCTCTTTCCAGTATACGGCCCTTTGTAGAGAAACTGACTCACATTATTGGCGTTGTTTAACAGATAACATGAAGAAGAGGACACTAACGGATCGCTAACCAACACATCATATGCTCCTATATATTGGACTCCTTCAAGCGGACGACGATTGATGGTATCAATGTTGTTTGATAGACGGCGCTGTAAAACTAAAGGCGCATTACACGTCCGTCTCTAGGTTACATACATGAACAAATAAGACATACCAAAGACAATTTGGATTATATTAAGGATAACGCAAATGTTATACCACACTAGTGATGGTAGAACAATAATAAGAAATGTTAATACTTAAGAATGTTAACCTAAGCAAAAATTGTAAACAAAGCAAAGATTGCACTATATAGATACTGCACTCAGAGCTGTAAGAATATGTTAAAAGTATCTTAAGTAGTCGTAAACAATGTATACACAATGTTCCGAACGATGTTATTAGTTTAAGCAACTGTTAAGCCGTATATAATGTAACACAATGGGCTTGTACACATAGTTAAGCTAGACATAAGTAACGTTCAGCCAATTGCCAGACAATGTTAAGATAATCAATGAGGTAGAAAGGAAGAAAACGACTCAAAGAAGGAAAAGGAGCCCAAGAAGACTGCCAAGGAGTCCAAGAAAGAAACCCCCAAAGCCGCAGAGCAAAACAAAAACAATGATCAGTCCACGATTGATCTCTTTACAGCCAAGAAAGCGGACACCAGCAAGAAAGAGAAGCCAGAAGTTAAGACTGCGGAGAAAGGCAAGAAGAAAGATCAAAACACCAACGATTCCAAGCCAAAAGAAGCTCCCAAAAAGGATACACCAAAAACCTTAGGGAAGCCAAAGAAGGAGGAATCAGTAGAAAAGAGCAACAAAGAAGAAAAGTCGCAGAAAGAAAAAGAAGAAGACTCACCTGCCGCCAGTAATCAAAAAGAAACAAGCAGGAAGAGTAAAGGCAAAAAACAGAAGGAGGAGGTCAACCAGAAGGAAGAAAACGACTCAAGGAAGGAAAAGGACCCCAAGAAGACTACCAAGAAGTACAAGAAAGAACCCCCTAAATATTGTTTATTAATACGCTTTTTTACAGGTTCAACATTCGACGCAAGCGTTACATAGGAATTGGCAATAACACAACAGACATACGGATACATAATGTTGTCTATAACAGAGGCTCTTTCCAGTATACGGCCCTTTGTAGAGAAACTGACTCACATTATTGGCGTTGTTTAACAGATAACATGAAGAAGAGGACACTAACGGATCGCTAACCAACACATCATATGCTCCTATATATTGGACTCCTTCAAGCGGACGACGATTGATGGTATCAATGTTGTTTGATAGACGGCGCTGTAAAACTAAAGGCGCATTACACGTCCGTCTCTAGGTTACATACATGAACAAATAAGACATACCAAAGACAATTTGGATTATATTAAGGATAACGCAAATGTTATACCACACTAGTGATGGTAGAACAATAATAAGAAATGTTAATACTTAAGAATGTTAACCTAAGCAAAAATTGTAAACAAAGCAAAGATTGCACTATATAGATACTGCACTCAGAGCTGTAAGAATATGTTAAAAGTATCTTAAGTAGTCGTAAACAATGTATACACAATGTTCCGAACGATGTTATTAGTTTAAGCAACTGTTAAGCCGTATATAATGTAACACAATGGGCTTGTACACATAGTTAAGCTAGACATAAGTAACGTTCAGCCAATTGCCAGACAATGTTAAGATAATCAATGAGGTAGAAAGGAAGAAAACGACTCAAAGAAGGAAAAGGAGCCCAAGAAGACTGCCAAGGAGTCCAAGAAAGAAACCCCCAAAGCCGCAGAGCAAAACAAAAACAATGATCAGTCCACGATTGATCTCTTTACAGCCAAGAAAGCGGACACCAGCAAGAAAGAGAAGCCAGAAGTTAAGACTGCGGAGAAAGGCAAGAAGAAAGATCAAAACACCAACGATTCCAAGCCAAAAGAAGCTCCCAAAAAGGATACACCAAAAACCTTAGGGAAGCCAAAGAAGGAGGAATCAGTAGAAAAGAGCAACAAAGAAGAAAAGTCCCAGAAAGAAAAAGAAGAAGACTCACCTGCCGCCAGTAATCAAAAATAAACAAGCAGGAAGAGTAAAGGCAAAAAACAGAAGGAGGAGGTCAACCAGAAGGAAGAAAACGACCCAAGGAAGGAAAAGGACCCCAAGAAGACTACCAAGAAGTACAAGAAAGAACCCCCTAAATATTGTTTATTAATACGCTTTTTTACAGGTTCAACATTCGACGCAAGCGTTACATAGGAATTGGCAATAACACAACAGACATACGGATACATAATGTTGTCTATAACAGAGGCTCTTTCCAGTATACGGCCCTTTGTAGAGAAACTGACTCACATTATTGGCGTTGTTTAACAGATAACATGAAGAAGAGGACACTAACGGATCGCTAACCAACACATCATATGCTCCTATATATTGGACTCCTTCAAGCGGACGACGATTGATGGTATCAATGTTGTTTGATAGACGGCGCTGTAAAACTAAAGGCGCATTACACGTCCGTCTCTAGGTTACATACATGAACAAATAAGACATACCAAAGACAATTTGGATTATATTAAGGATAACGCAAATGTTATACCACACTAGTGATGGTAGAACAATAATAAGAAATGTTAATACTTAAGAATGTTAACCTAAGCAAAAATTGTAAACAAAGCAAAGATTGCACTATATAGATACTGCACTCAGAGCTGTAAGAATATGTTAAAAGTATCTTAAGTAGTCGTAAACAATGTATACACAATGTTCCGAACGATGTTATTAGTTTAAGCAACTGTTAAGCCGTATATAATGTAACACAATGAGCTTGTACACATAGTTAAGCTAGACATAAGTAACGTTCAGCCAATTGCCAGACAATGTTAAGATAATCAATGAGGTAGAAAGGAAGAAAACGACTCAAAGAAGGAAAAGGAGCCCAAGAAGACTGCCAAGGAGTCCAAGAAAGAAACCCCCAAAGCCGCAGAGCAAAACAAAAACAATGATCAGTCCACGATTGATCTCTTTACAGCCAAGAAAGCGGACACCAGCAAGAAAGAGAAGCCAGAAGTTAAGACTGCGGAGAAAGGCAAGAAGAAAGATCAAACCACAGACGATTCCAAGCCAAAAGAAGCTCCCAAAAAGGATACACCAAAACCTTAGGGAAGCCAAAGAAGGAGGAATCAGTAGAAAAGAGCAACAAAGAAGAAAAGTCGCAGAAAGAAAAAGAAGAAGACTCACCTGCCGCCAGTAATCAAAAAGAAACAAGCAGGAAGAGTAAAGGCAAAAAACAGAAGGAGGAGGTCAACCAGAAGGAAGAAAACGACTCAAGGAAGGAAAAGGACCCCAAGAAGACTACCAAGAAGTACAAGAAAGAACCCCTAAATATTGTTTATTAATACGCTTTTTACAGGTTCAACATTCGACGCAAGCGTTACATAGGAATTGGCAATAACACAACAGACATACGGATACATAATGTTGTCTATAACAGAGGCTCTTTCCAGTATACGGCCCTTTGTAGAGAAACTGACTCACATTATTGGCGTTGTTTAACAGATAACATGAAGAAGAGGACACTAACGGATCGCTAACCAACACATCATATGCTCCTATATATTGGACTCCTTCAAGCGGACGACGATTGATGGTATCAATGTTGTTTGATAGACGGCGCTGTAAAACTAAAGGCGCATTACACGTCCGTCTCTAGGTTACATACATGAACAAATAAGACATACCAAAGACAATTTGGATTATATTAAGGATAACGCAAATGTTATACCACACTAGTGATGGTAGAACAATAATAAGAAATGTTAATACTTAAGAATGTTAACCTAAGCAAAAATTGTAAACAAAGCAAAGATTGCACTATATAGATACTGCACTCAGAGCTGTAAGAATATGTTAAAAGTATCTTAAGTAGTCGTAAACAATGTATACACAATGTTCCGAACGATGTTATTAGTTTAAGCAACTGTTAAGCCGTATATAATGTAACACAATGAGCTTGTACACATAGTTAAGCTAGACATAAGTAACGTTCAGCCAATTGCCAGACAATGTTAAGATAATCAATGAGGTAGAAAGGAAGAAAACGACTCAAAGAAGGAAAAGGAGCCCAAGAAGACTGCCAAGGAGTCCAAGAAAGAAACCCCCAAAGCCGCAGAGCAAAACAAAAACAATGATCAGTCCACGATTGATCTCTTTACAGCCAAGAAAGCGGACACCAGCAAGAAAGAGAAGCCAGAAGTTAAGACTGCGGAGAAAGGCAAGAAGAAAGATCAAAACACCAACGATTCCAAGCCAAAAGAAGCTCCCAAAAAGGATACACCAAAAACCTTAGGGAAGCCAAAGAAGGAGGAATCAGTAGAAAAGAGCAACAAAGAAGAAAAGTCGCAGAAAGAAAAAGAAGAAGACTCACCTGCCGCCAGTAATCAAAAAGAAACAAGCAGGAAGAGTAAAGGCAAAAAACAGAAGGAGGAGGTCAACCAGAAGGAAGAAAACGACTCAAGGAAGGAAAAGGACCCCAAGAAGACTACCAAGAAGTACAAGAAAGAACCCCCTAAATATTGTTTATTAATACGCTTTTTTACAGGTTCAACATTCGACGCAAGCGTTACATAGGAATTGGCAATAACACAACAGACATACGGATACATAATGTTGTCTATAACAGAGGCTCTTTCCAGTATACGGCCCTTTGTAGAGAAACTGACTCACATTATTGGCGTTGTTTAACAGATAACATGAAGAAGAGGACACTAACGGATCGCTAACCAACACATCATATGCTCCTATATATTGGACTCCTTCAAGCGGACGACGATTGATGGTATCAATGTTGTTTGATAGACGGCGCTGTAAAACTAAAGGCGCATTACACGTCCGTCTCTAGGTTACATACATGAACAAATAAGACATACCAAAGACAATTTGGATTATATTAAGGATAACGCAAATGTTATACCACACTAGTGATGGTAGAACAATAATAAGAAATGTTAATACTTAAGAATGTTAACCTAAGCAAAAATTGTAAACAAAGCAAAGATTGCACTATATAGATACTGCACTCAGAGCTGTAAGAATATGTTAAAAGTATCTTAAGTAGTCGTAAACAATGTATACACAATGTTCCGAACGATGTTATTAGTTTAAGCAACTGTTAAGCCGTATATAATGTAACACAATGAGCTTGTACACATAGTTAAGCTAGACATAAGTAACGTTCAGCCAATTGCCAGACAATGTTAAGATAATCAATGAGGTAGAAAGGAAGAAAACGACTCAAAGAAGGAAAAGGAGCCCAAGAAGACTGCCAAGGAGTCCAAGAAAGAAACCCCCAAAGCCGCAGAGCAAAACAAAAACAATGATCAGTCCACGATTGATCTCTTTACAGCCAAGAAAGCGGACACCAGCAAGAAAGAGAAGCCAGAAGTTAAGACTGCGGAGAAAGGCAAGAAGAAAGATCAAACCACAGACGATTCCAAGCCAAAAGAAGCTCCCAAAAAGGATACACCAAAAACCTTAGGGAAGCCAAAGAAGGAGGAATCAGTAGAAAAGAGCAACAAAGAAGAAAAGTCCCAGAAAGAAAAAGAAGAAGACTCACCTGCCGCCAGTAATCAAAAATAAACAAGCAGGAAGAGTAAAGGCAAAAAACAGAAGGAGGAGGTCAACCAGAAGGAAGAAAACGACTCAAGGAAGGAAAAGGACCCCAAGAAGACTACCAAGAAGTACAAGAAAGAACCCCTAAATATTGTTTATTAATACGCTTTTTTACAGGTTCAACATTCGACGCAAGCGTTACATAGGAATTGGCGATAACACAACAGACATACGGATACATAATGTTGTCTATAACAGAGGCTCTTTCCAGTATACGGCCCTTTGTAGAGAAACTGACTCACATTATTGGCGTTGTTTAACAGATAACATGAAGAAGAGGACACTAACGGATCGCTAACCAACACATCATATGCTCCTATATATTGGACTCCTTCAAGCGGACGACGATTGATGGTATCAATGTTGTTTGATAGACGGCGCTGTAAAACTAAAGGCGCATTACACGTCCGTCTCTAGGTTACATACATGAACAAATAAGACATACCAAAGACAATTTGGATTATATTAAGGATAACGCAAATGTTATACCACACTAGTGATGGTAGAACAATAATAAGAAATGTTAATACTTAAGAATGTTAACCTAAGCAAAAATTGTAAACAAAGCAAAGATTGCACTATATAGATACTGCACTCAGAGCTGTAAGAATATGTTAAAAGTATCTTAAGTAGTCGTAAACAATGTATACACAATGTTCCGAACGATGTTATTAGTTTAAGCAACTGTTAAGCCGTATATAATGTAACACAATGAGCTTGTACACATAGTTAAGCTAGACATAAGTAACGTTCAGCCAATTGCCAGACAATGTTAAGATAATCAATGAGGTAGAAAGGAAGAAAACGACTCAAAGAAGGAAAAGGAGCCCAAGAAGACTGCCAAGGAGTCCAAGAAAGAAACCCCCAAAGCCGCAGAGCAAAACAAAAACAATGATCAGTCCACGATTGATCTCTTTACAGCCAAGAAAGCGGACACCAGCAAGAAAGAGAAGCCAGAAGTTAAGACTGCGGAGAAAGGCAAGAAGAAAGATCAAACCACAGACGATTCCAAGCCAAAAGAAGCTCCCAAAAAGGATACACCAAAAAACCTTAGGGAAGCCAAAGAAGGAGGAATCAGTAGAAAAGAGCAACAAAGAAGAAAAAGTCCCAGAAAGAAAAAGAAGAAGACTCACCTGCCGCCAGTAATCAAAAATAAACAAGCAGGAAGAGTAAAGGCAAAAAACAGAAGGAGGAGGTCAACCAGAAGGAAGAAAACGACTCAAGGAAGGAAAAGGACCCCAAGAAGACTACCAAGAAGTACAAGAAAGAACCCCCTAAATATTGTTTATTAATACGCTTTTTTACAGGTTCAACATTCGACGCAAGCGTTACATAGGAATTGGCGATAACACAACAGACATACGGATACATAATGTTGTCTATAACAGAGGCTCTTTCCAGCATACGGCCCTTTGTAGAGAAACTGACTCACATTATTGGCGTTGTTTAACAGATAACATGAAGAAGAGGACACTAACGGATCGCTAACCAACACATCATATGCTCCTATATATTGGACTCCTTCAAGCGGACGACGATTGATGGTATCAATGTTGTTTGATAGACGGCGCTGTAAAACTAAAGGCGCATTACACGTCCGTCTCTAGGTTACATACATGAACAAATAAGACATACCAAAGACAATTTGGATTATATTAAGGATAACGCAAATGTTATACCACACTAGTGATGGTAGAACAATAATAAGAAATGTTAATACTTAAGAATGTTAACCTAAGCAAAAATTGTAAACAAAGCAAAGATTGCACTATATAGATACTGCACTCAGAGCTGTAAGAATATGTTAAAAGTATCTTAAGTAGTCGTAAACAATGTATACACAATGTTCCGAACGATGTTATTAGTTTAAGCAACTGTTAAGCCGTATATAATGTAACACAATGAGCTTGTACACATAGTTAAGCTAGACATAAGTAACGTTCAGCCAATTGCCAGACAATGTTAAGATAATCAATGAGGTAGAAAGGAAGAAAACGACTCAAAGAAGGAAAAGGAGCCCAAGAAGACTGCCAAGGAGTCCAAGAAAGAAACCCCCAAAGCCGCAGAGCAAAACAAAAACAATGATCAGTCCACGATTGATCTCTTTACAGCCAAGAAAGCGGACACCAGCAAGAAAGAGAAGCCAGAAGTTAAGACTGCGGAGAGAAAGGCAAGAAGAAAGATCAAACCACAGACGATTCCAAGCCAAAAGAAGCTCCCAAAAAGGATACACCAAAAACCTTAGGGAAGCCAAAGAAGGAGGAATCAGTAGAAAAGAGCAACAAAGAAGAAAAGTCCCAGAAAGAAAAAGAAGAAGACTCACCTGCCGCCAGTAATCAAAAATAAACAAGCAGGAAGAGTAAAGGCAAAAAACAGAAGGAGGAGGTCAACCAGAAGGAAGAAAACGACTCAAGGAAGGAAAAGGACCCCAAGAAGACTACCAAGAAGTACAAGAAAGAACCCCCTAAATATTGTTTATTAATACGCTTTTTTACAGGTTCAACATTCGACGCAAGCGTTACATAGGAATTGGCGATAACACAACAGACATACGGATACATAATGTTGTCTATAACAGAGGCTCTTTCCAGCATACGGCCCTCTGTAGAGAAACTGACTCACATTATTGGCGTTGTTTAACAGATAACATGAAGAAGAGGACACTAACGGATCGCTAACCAACACATCATATGCTCCTATATATTGGACTCCTTCAAGCGGACGACGATTGATGGTATCAATGTTGTTTGATAGACGGCGCTGTAAAACTAAAGGCGCATTACACGTCCGTCTCTAGGTTACATACATGAACAAATAAGACATACCAAAAGACAATTTGGATTATATTAAGGATAACGCAAATGTTATACCACACTAGTGATGGTAGAACAATAATAAGAAATGTTAATACTTAAGAATGTTAACCTAAGCAAAAATTGTAAACAAAGCAAAGATTGCACTATATAGATACTGCACTCAGAGCTGTAAGAATATGTTAAAAGTATCTTAAGTAGTCGTAAACAATGTATACACAATGTTCCGAACGATGTTATTAGTTTAAGCAACTGTTAAGCCGTATATAATGTAACACAATGAGCTTGTACACATAGTTAAGCTAGACATAAGTAACGTTCAGCCAATTGCCAGACAATGTTAAGATAATCAATGAGGTAGAAAGGAAGAAAACGACTCAAAGAAGGAAAAGGAGCCCAAGAAGACTGCCAAGGAGTCCAAGAAAGAAACCCCCAAAGCCGCAGAGCAAAACAAAAACAATGATCAGTCCACGATTGATCTCTTTACAGCCAAGAAAGCGGACACCAGCAAGAAAGAGAAGCCAGAAGTTAAGACTGCGGAGAAAGGCAAGAAGAAAGATCAAACCACAGACGATTCCAAGCCAAAAGAAGCTCCCAAAAAGGATACACCAAAAACCTTAGGGAAGCCAAAGAAGGAGGAATCAGTAGAAAAGAGCAACAAAGAAGAAAAGTCCCAGAAAGAAAAGAAGAAGACTCACCTGCCGCCAGTAATCAAAAAGAAACAAGCAGGAAGAGTAAAGGCAAAAAACAGGAAGGAGGAGGTCAACCAGAAGGAAGAAAACGACTCCAAGGAAGGAAAAGGACCCCAAGAAGACCTACCAAGAAGTACAAGAAAAGAACCCCAAATATTGTTTATTAATACGCTTTTTTACAGGTTCAACATTCGACGCAAGCGTTACATAGGAATTGGCGATAACACAACAGACAATCGGATACATGAGGTTGGCTATAACAGAGGCTCTTTCCAGTATACGGCCCTCTGTAGAGAAACTGACTCACATTATTGGCGTTGTTTTAACAGATAACATGAAGAAGAGGACACTAACGGATCGCTAACCAACACATCATATGCTCCTATATATTGACTCCTTCAAGCGGACGACGATTGATGGTATCAATGTTGTTTGATAGACGGCGCTGCAAAACTAAAGGCGCATTACACGTCCGTCTCTAGGTTACATACATGAACAAATAAGACATACCAAAGACAATTTGGATTATATTAAGGATAACGCAAAATGTTATACCACACTAGTGATGGTAGAACAATAATAAGAAATGTTAATACTTAAGAATGTTAACCTAAGCAAAATTGTAAAAAAACAAAGCAAAGATTGCACTATATAGATATTGCACTCAGAGCTGTAAGAATATGTTAAAAGTATCTTAAGTAGTCGTAAACAATGTATACACAATGTTCCGAACGATGTTATTAGTTTAAGCAACTGTTAAGCCGTATATAATGTAACACAATGAGCTTGTTACACATAGTTAAGCTAGACATAAGTAACGTTCAGCCAATTGCCAGACAATGTTAAGATAATCAATGAGGTAGAAAGGAAGAAACATGACTCAAAGAAGGAAAAGGAGCCCAAGAAGACTGCCATGAGTCCAAGAAAGAAACCCCAAAGCCGCAGAGCAAACAAAACAATGATCAGTCCACGACGATCTCTTTACAGCCAAGAAAGCGGACACCAGCAAGAAAGAGAAGCCAGAAGTTAAGACTGCGGAGAAAGGCAAGAAGAAAGATCAAACCACAGACGATTCCAAGCCAAAAGAAGCTCCCAAAAAAGGATACACCAAAAACCTAGGGAAGCCAAAGAAGGAGTGAATCAGTAGAAAGAGCAACAAAGAAGAAAAGTCGCAGAAAGAAAGAAGAAGACTCACCTGCCGCCAGTAATCAAAAAAGAAA